AATTGACTTCAATGGGAACCAGACGGTCCAAGGTCCAAAAGACAGTTATTAACAGTTTCAGATGCATCTTCGAATGTCTTTAAACGACACCAGATGATGAATAAGGGTCTTATCATGCGAAACGATCGGTTATTTCAAAACTTGTAACTTTTCTAAGGACAAATGCTAGCCTTGCTCTATTCTGTGAGGCGCGTTTGTAACGTCACGTAATACGTAATTACGTTCAAAAGGTCACGAGCGACGTAGCCGGAAGTACAGAATCAAAATCGTCCGACATCGTTGTTTTACCTTTTAATTTCTTTTTTTGTAAACGGCGTTTGAGTTAGTTTGCACGTTCAACCTATGCGTTCAACTTGTAAACACTGACTCTGTACTTCCGGCTACGTCGCCCGTGACCTTTTGAACGTAATTACGTAATACGTGACGTTACAAACGCGCCTCAAAGAATAGAGCAAGGCTAGCATTTGTCCTTAGAAAAGTTACATTTTTGGAATAAGTTTTGAAATAACCGATCGTTTCGCATGATAAGACCCTTATTCATCGTCTGGTGTCGTTTAAAGACATTTGAAGCTGCATCTGAAACAGTTATTAACTGTCTTTTGGACCTTGAACCATTCGGTTCCCATTGAAGTCCATTATATGGAGAAAAATCCTGGAATGTTTATTAAAAACTTTAGTTTCTTTTCGACTGAGGAAAGAAAGACATGGACATCTTGGATGACATGGGGGTGAGTAAATTATCAGCAAAAGTTTTTTCAAAAGTGAACTATCCTTTAAAGCAGCTAGAAAACAACGGCAACAAAAAACTGAAGGATAGGAATTGTATATTGGATTGTAATATGGGTGTTACCAGTATTAATACAGGTGAAAAGGAAGTGGTTTCAGTGGTTGAAGTAATAACGCTTTAATAAAACCTTATGAAGACAGACTTGTTTTTTTGTTTTTTAAAATAACATGCATGATTAATAATTCATAGTAAACAATGAACATGTATTAGAAAAAAAATCAAGTTTAATTTCATATTGACTTCTACTTCTATGCAACGCATCGAGTAATTCGGACTACGGATCAATTTGGAGTGTTGCTAAATGTTTTTCATTCTGTAGTGGAAAGGAGAAGAAGAGACAAAATCAACAACTGGATTGTCACACTGTCTAAAATCATCCCAGACTGCAATATGGACAATACCAAAACTGGAGCAGTAAGTGCCAGATCTTTTCTTCTGGGACATATATAAGCTCTTTTCACCTGCTAATGTTAATGAAAACCTTTCGTCTCTAGAGTAAAGGAGGCATCCTGTCGAAAGCATGCGATTACATTAGAGAACTCCGACAGACTAACCAGAGGTTACAGGAGAGCTACAAGGAGGTGGAGAGAATACAAGTGGACAATGAGCTACTAAGACAACAGGTATATTTTTTGGTAACGTTGAATATGTAAGAGATACAGTGGGGTCTCAAAGTCAGACAACCAGTTGCTACTTTTCTTCCTCATTATATTTTTTTAATTGCAAAATGTATTGTAAACATGACAATACAAGTGCTAGTTGACTTGAAAAATTAACATGTATTAAGTTTGTCACTCTTTTTGCTTTAATGAGTAAAAACTGTGTAAAAACCTGATCATCATTAGGGCCCTATAAAATCAGTTTTATTTTATTTTATTTATTAATTTTTTTCTAAAGTTTGTCTAATCATTTGTCTTCATGAAACTTCAACAAATTGATAATTTATCAAAATGTTCATAATAGGGCCCTATAATTTTTTTTTCTAGATCCTGTGTTTTACGATTTAATCTAATAAAGTGGATGCATAAAATGAACACATAACTTTAATAATTTAATCAAATAAATTAAAACGTAATCAAATTACCTTTAAACAATTTCTTATTTTTGGGGCAAGCAAAGTGGAGGTTTACAGTTTAAATAAAAGGTTTTTTTTTTTTCTTTGACTGTCCTAAAGCACAAAAATACTGAGATTTAGGACACATGCTAAATTCAAAAACTCGTTTCTCCAAAAAATAATAGTACAGCCAGTCATTCAACTTTGTTTTTGTTTTGGCACATGTGATCCCGCCCACTGCCAATTTACCCAATAGTATTTTGACACGCCAGAGTCGTCAAAAAAGCAGCCATGAAAGTCAGCAATCGAACTGGGTCAGAAGCACTTCCTGTTTCAGTTTTTTAACACTACATAAATGCTGGGATAAAATACAACCAACAGAACATTTAAAACTGAATCAAAAAGTTAAACAAACATCTTTAAGATGTTTTCTTTACATGTGAAAAAAAGAAAACGGTTACAAACTGAAACAGGAAGTGCTTCTGGACCAGTGTTCTTGTGAAATGGTCTATACATTAGCTGATCAACTTGCAGTGTGAGGCTTGTCACTTTCCATTGTCAGTTGCGCTCCTTCCTGTTGTTGAGTGTTCTCAATCTGGCAACCAGTGAGCATCGAGTCTGAGGAGGAGGATCAGGGGAAACGACTCTTTCCGATATTTTGAATTTGGCCTGCAATACCCATTTCAACAGCTAGCTGTCAATATTACATACAAAAATTGTACAATATTCTGTGACATTCCATGTTATACAGAAAATGATATTTTTGTGACTGGATTTTGTGATTCCATCCACATTTTACGCATTGTAGAATACATAGAGCCCTAGATCAGGTTGAATCTTGGATTTTCAATAGATGCAAGTAATAATGCAAATATAAAGAAATGCTGAGTTAAGAGATATTAAAAGTTAATTTTCAGGAAAAAACTAAAACTGATTTTCAATGTGCTCTGTTGACTTCTGAGAGATTATGTAAGGTTTAGAACACAGATTATTAAGTTAATGAGATCTGTGGTGGTTTGCTGACCAACTCTGATTGGGCAAATAGTAATATGTTGAATGTCTATCGTCCTGCAGATTGAAGACCTGAAGAATGACAACGCACTTCTCAGAGCTCAACTACAACAGCATGGCCTGGAAATCAGTGAAACTACATCACAGTGACAAAAAAAAAAATCGTTATCACGAATAAACAGTTTCAAGTGGAGAAATAACCCCACTTGCTCACGCCTCATCACAGACTTAAGATGTTCTGCAACTCAAGTAGTGTATGAATGCTTGTTTGATACACAGACACACTTCCTTCTGAAGAGAGACTCTCTGACCGTTGTGAAAATAAGATCTGCTGTAAAAGCACACTTTGTTTTTTTTCTTCACCCCCGTGAGAACTCTACAACCTGGACTGATCCACATGGAATAACCCTCTTCTTCCAGAAGTATCCCGCTTGTCACAGGTCTTTGTCTTTGGTTTGAATCTTTGAATTGTGAACCAGTAATATGCCTGCTCATGCCTAATAGTCATCTTTTGTTCTGTTTGAAATATTTTGTCTATTTTATTTTTTTTATACTGTCTCTGACACGACAGAAGGTCTTTTTTCAAGGGTTTGTCTATATCGTATTTATTAGCTTTCAAGAAATTGTGCAGCAGCAGGTACAAAAAACCTTTGCATTTGATTTTGTTTTTCTATCCTGCAGTCTTTCCATATATTCGTCAGGCTGATCAGAGGCTTGACTTTTGTGGCACATCAAGACTAATTTACAGTATGAATATGCTTAGAATGCAAATGAAAGTGTATGTTCTCATTTGAAATAGAGACGTATGATACCTAAAACTGCATTACCTATGAATTTCAGTTTTCAGAGTCCATCATATTTAATGCACTGTGATTTTAGTGAAGGATGAACGAGTAGCTCAGGGTTTTGAGGTGCTGGACAATAGCCGAGGCTGTGGAACTCCCCGCTAACCTTGTAACCCTGCACTTTTTGCCCGTTGGCTTTAACATACTAGATTCTAAACATGTACTGTATATATATGTTTCAACCAATTGTTCTGAAGTCATTACTTAATTCAAAGAAATGTTCTTTTTAAGTCCTATATATCCCAGGGTCATTTATGTACAGCAAATAAAATGGAAGATGCACATTGGAAGCGGATAGAAATGCTACTATTTGTAGTGTTGGCTCATTTTTGTTGTAGCTAATCTTCCATCTTATTTTGTAACAATTCTATTTAGTTTAAATATCCATCAACAACAACATTTGAACAATAAAATCAAAGGTGAGCTATAAAGAGGAAGAAAACCCACTATTTATTGGGAGTTATTGTTAATGAGCTATGCATAAGGAAACCAAACCTAGTTTAAAAGCTAACCAATTTATTTTCATATACTTCTTGATCTTTCTAGTTTTAGTTGTTTTATCTCCTTGTTTTAAGGCTGATTCAGGCCAGTTTTTCCCTTTCGTTGTCAGACGGGTTTGTTGCAAGGTTTGAATTATATAATGCTGGATTATAAAAATACTTTTGACTGTACTAGCAGCACCCATTTATGGTCTAGGGGGAAAAAGCGACAGCTTTTAAACAGATTAGAAAAAGCATTAAACAATCTGTGATAGCAAACCGTATGTTGAACCAGTGAAACCAATATATGTTTGAAATATTCCACATAGCAATACAGAGAGCGCACAGATAACCCTTAAAACACTGTCCTCTTCACAGTATTAATGCTGAACTTGAACGACTGTTGATTTACAGAGTCCAGAATCATAGTCTAATGCACTGCTGCTTTTAAAATCAAAGTATAGTAAGAGAATATTTTTATTCATGTACGTCTGGTTAGATTGATGTACACTTAGCATGGCATTCTTACCACTGGTTTGATATCTATAAGCTATACAACACAGTTGCTTTGTTTTTACCTAATGACTGTTGATGTTTATGTATGTACTTGTATAAAAAAGAGAAAAACAGAATTACAATATGTAGTTTTCTTTGAAATAAAAACAAAAGTGCTGAAATAAATGTGATTTCGCATGACGATTCATTGTGAAAATTACAACTTAATGTGTTTTCACTGGTTCTCACTAGCTGAGACATAGAGATCTTCTAGAGGAACTCTATATATGGTCTGTTCACGTATCTACTTAAATGAAATGAAAAGCAGGACAGGCAGGAAACACCTCTGTAAAGGTGTGGCTTTAAATGTTTGTGTTGAGGATACAAAGGAAAAGACTGGGTGAGTGCGTAACAGAATTGTTAAGTCGGAAGATTTTTAAAGATAAAGCTAAAATTAATTTTATTACGCTGTGGAGGATGCATTGTCAATATTTATAGATTCCTGTATATTTATAGGATGAATACTACTCTTAAAGTTATGCTTCATCAATCATTATGTTAATATTTTTTTTGTTCATTTCTAAAATTCAGCATTAAATATTCCCTACTTGGATGAGAACTATTGCATGGGAATATATTTCTGGATCTATGTGTAATATATTTGACAGAATAATGTAAATGACAAATCCATTTTATCTGTAGTATACATCATATTTATATTTAGTATCAATCGTGAACCTTTGACAATACAGACCTTTTCTTGTTTATTTTCTCTATAGACAGTTTTAACAACAAATGTTGTCGACCCACAATTAGCTGCAATGACAACGTCCCTGAAACACAGACGTTTCTGTTCTGAGCCAATGGGGGATAAACTTGTTTATGAGATTCCTGGAATTGGTTCTGTGCTGGGCGGACGACTACAGAACAGGGGTATAATGAGAGCACGAGACGTCCTGGGGCGATTCCTGGTCTTGAACAAGGATGAGTGGAAATTTAAGAACTGGCTTAGAGACACATGTGGGGCAAATGCAAAGCAGCAGAGGGACTGTTACAACTGTATGAGGGAATGGACAAGTAATAATTTGTAAATTAACAGATTTGTCTAGATAAATCGAGAGGGGCCAGTCGAGGTGGCTCGGGCATCTGTTCCGGATGCCTTCCTGGGAAGGTGTTCTGGGTGCGTCCCACTGGGATGGAGGGACTATGTCTCCCGGCTGGCCTGGGAGCACCTCGGTGTCCCCCCGGAAGAGTTGGAGGAAGTGTACAACCAAAATAGTTTCCATTCACTTTAATGTCATTGTACGAGTATATCAATTTATTATATATGGATAATCTGTTTACTAGGGATTTATGTTCAGTGATGTGGAAATAAACAATCTGTGATTGTCAGTTTTTGTAATGTCTCATCCATGCCTTTATTCGTCCCAGTAATATAATGTCTTTGAATTATCTTAATTTATTGGCTAAAATAATTTGACCACCATTTCAGTGACAGCTATTTGTGATTTAGTTATTGTTTGGCCATTGCTATAGATGACAGATCCCCATAGAAGACAATGGTAAAAATCTGAAATGTGTTTCTTGTAACAACAGAATAGTTAGTCACTATCAAAATAAATACTATATCTAATGAATAAGTCTTTAATAAGTGTTAGTATTTAACTTCATATTCTTCACTGTATAAATTAATTACATTTAAATCCTTATTAAAGTTACAAAATTGATTTAGTCAAGACTGGTGAGAGATTTTTATTTGCCTTTTGTTGTTTGATTAACATTTAAACGCAGACGGCAGCAAATCAGGTATATTAGGCTGCTGTCACTTTAAGAGCTGCACGGATCCTATATATGGTTACACGAGCGTATTATTTCTCAGCTGTTTATGTTTATTTAAGACATAACCAATTATATTTACAAGGGTACTTACCAAGACTGCCATTTTGATATCATTTTGAAGATGCAGCACTGGGCCACTCAGGACAGTGACGGTGTTGCACAATTCAATTGTCCCAAACATTATTCACACTGACCCCAGATGGACCTTACTGATGAGCCCTTCTGAATTTTGTACAGATTTAATTTTGTTTTGGCAAGTATTGAATGATTTTACCCAGAGAGAAACGTTAGATTATGAAAAAGACATTATACAGCTCAGTGCCTTCACTCGGTTAATTAATAAACCATCGGTTTGTCATATCTGCCTTTATGTAGTCAATATGCCGATGGTTGTAGATAGATCAAAAATCGTCCGATGGATATCTGTGGCCTATACATTGGTGCATCTAGTATTTAATAATAACGACTGGTATCTAGTGAATAAGCAAAAGTGTCTAATAAATAAGCACTATTATCTATTTAATATAGGTAGTATCTAACAAATATGCACTGAGTTCCTGTATCTAATTTATAATAACTATAGGATGTAGCCTAATGGATAAGTAGGCTACTATATCTTTAAAAAAGGTATAGCTAAAGAAAAAGCACTATTAGCTAGAATAAGTACTAGTATGGAACAGATATACTGGGATATAAAAAAAAGTACTATACTAGTAGCATGAAAATAGATACATTTAAGGATTAAATGTCAAGCTGGGTTGCCATAGTTTGTTAGGCTATATATAGCCACTAAGTTTCGTTTCTGGATAAATGGAAACTTGAGCCTCACATTGGAATTCTTTATGCCATTTTCATATGTCCCATAAAATTTCCCGACTTGTCAAATCAAATTTAATCAAGGTGTGATATAAAACGCATAATTCATTCTCCAATACACTTTTAGATTTGGCTATGTAAATAATCTATGACGGTAAAGATTTTAAGAGGCGGGGCTTCCCTGTGTCTTCCTCAGAATACAACACAAACGATGAACAGGTAGGCCCTACAAAACTACTGGCAAGATCTTTTTTTTTATTATTATTTATTTATTTTTTATTGTTGTTGTTTTTAAAGGCACTCTGCAAGATCTGTACCTTAATATAACAGCTTCAAAGTCGTTTCGGTGGTTAACAAAGTCATAGTAGGGCGAATCATCCTGGTAGTAGAGCTTGGGGGGGGGGGACGCCGCGGGAAAAACTAGCCATGCAAGTTTGAGAGCGGCGCCCCTGACACATAACGAAATGGTTTACGGCAACGACGTCACATACATCAACAACAACATACTGTGTGAAGCTACTTGTGCGCATCCAAGAAAACTCGGTCAGAAATGTCCAGAAAAAGGGAAAGAGAATCGGACCGTGCTAGAAACTGCACAGGATCGAGTCCACTCGGTCGGACTTTTACTCCTTGGCGCGAGCTTAAAAGCAGCACTGGATTGTAACAGCGATGCTGACCTGCCGATCTTGTTGATGGACTTGTAAGTAAATCTCTTATTTGTAAACGTGTTTGCGTTCTATGTTGCTGCACTAGCTTGTAGTTTGTCATTTTTTTAGGTGCTGTTCATTCATCCGTTGTTGATAATTAGACCAGTTCAATAATTCCCACACGTCTAGCTAGCTTTCGTTTACCAAAAGCTGTAAGCAGACTTCCTAACAAACAGTCGTTTCTCTTAGTTTTGTTGTTTTTTTCATTATGTGTTATTGCCGAGGTTGCCACAAGAGCTAGTTTGCCAGCTGAACTCAGGTGTTGTGATGTGTATCACGTAATGTTAATCCTGTGTCTGGTTCGGATTTCTTATATCGTGCGTAAGTTACTGTTCTAAACTTTATCTGACTAACTTCCTGACTAACAGTCACTTCCCGACTGTAATTTTTCTTCAAATTGTGTTGATTATGAATCAATTAAATCTTGACTCTGTTGATGTTGATTCCTGCGATTATAATGAGGGCATAGTCAATATCTCACATTATTATTAGGACATATAAGCCTAGAGGTTGTAAATAGTGTAATTGAACAGAATTTGCTAACTATTATGATAAATTGTAATAATCGTGTCTAATGAAATCATAACGGCCAATGTTATGAAATAATGCGAAGTACATTTAACTTTATTGATGTCATCTGACATTTTGTAATGTTTACATTACAATCAAAAACACAAATGAAATTTTACATTAGTCCTACACGATAGGCTATTTACTTGTGATTTAGCAGAAATCATGTAAAAACTTTATAAGCCAGCAAACGCGATAGGCAACTTTATTCTTATTCCAAAGAATTGACAGTAGTTCAGTATGCAGTAACAGGGGAATAACGGTTATTTACGACAGTGCAAGTACACCACAGCGGCTCTAGAGGTCACTGTTTTACAAAAAAACCGGAGAGTGCATTGTGTGCCTTTAAGAGATGTGTTTTAGAGTTGTATTGTATTGCATTGTAAAATAGATGTGCTGAGGAATTTAGTGTTTTAAACAAATCGCATAGCCTATTGCAACACTTGTCTCAACAAGGGAATTTCCTCAACAAGGTCAAAAAACTTTTTTTTGAGAAATTACACATACGTTTCAGTTATGGGTTTGGTGGATTTTGGATTAAGCAAATTTGTTGATTTTCTTTTTCTTGTTTTTTAATCAATTAGAAGATGGATGTTTAGGAAGAATGTTAATAGATAGGCTATATAAAATTTGAGAAAAAAACATTTACACGTTCAGTATTGACAAAAGGGTGGACATATTGTGTTTTATGCTATAAGTTCATAACTGATAGTTGCTTTCATTGAAGGAAATTACACGTCTGGCAAGACGTGATTTCGACAGGGCGTGTCAGGTTATGGGGCTGATGGAGATTTGTACAAATTGTCAGTATTTTTCTTTGTGAACTCTCCGCTCTCGTCTGTCCCTCTTCTCGAGAGAAGAAGAGGGTTCACTGTCTGGTTGTCAGGTTCCCAGATGAAGCCCGCCGATGAAGTCCGCCTCAAACGAAGAGACCGAGTCTGTCTGTCTGCCCGAACCTGCCGTAATGAACTAGCATACGGATCTGGGCCGCCAGCCAGTATAGGCTTCTCTTACCTCGCTGAACTACTGCTCGAGCATTGGGTTGTAGGTGGTTTGGCTCACAAACAAGCCCAGGTGGGAGTATTCCCCTGTGATACAGGGTAGGTCGGAGTACTTCACTTTTAGTTCTGTATTGTCCTACCTCGCACCACTATGGCTCGGGTCGAGGTATAAGAATGATTCATTAGACATTTGTTATCAGCAAATGTAAATATTGTGCTGCTATCCTTAAAGAGTAAAGGCTCAATATAATGAAGTCTGCATAGGTAAACTTTGGTTATCAGCTCCTTCTTTAAAGGAGTAGTTCACTTTAAAAAAAACTTTTGCTGATAATTTACCCACCCACGTCATTTACCCACCAAGATGTCCATGTCTTTCTTTTCTTCATCAAAGTTTTTGATGAAAACATACCACGATTTTTCTCCATATAATGGACTTTACTGGGACTAAAAGGTTCAAGGTCCAAATGACCGTTTCAGTGCAGCTTCAAAGGGCTTTAAACAACACCAGACGATGAATAAGGGTCTTATCAAGAGAAACGATCGGTCATTTTAAAAATAAATACAAAAGTTTAAGTTTTATAAGCACACAGGCTCGCCTTGGTTTGTTCTGTGATGCGCGTTCGAGACTCTCCTGTTCGAACTCGTTCATCAAAATAAACAAATCTTTTTTCGAGTCATTTAGTTCGTTGAATGAACCAAATGGCTCGAAAAAAGATTCGTTCATTTTGATGAACGAGTTCGAACAGGAGAGTCGAGCAAGGCGAGCAAGAGTGCTTATAAAACTTAAACTTTTGTATCTATTTTTAAAATTAGAATATTTATTTATTTTTATAGAAATTCACCTCCATTAATGAATTTTTGACATGAAATACTTTTGGAAAGAAAACATACACTGTTGTAAATACAATCAAAATTCAGTTTTTGTGTATCAAAATTTCACATTTACTTCAGAGTGTTATACTTGGCAATTCTTTGTTAATGTATTTGTGAGTGAAAAATTGTTTCTAGACCAATTTTTCCTGAGCAAGTTACTTTACAATTATAGTGCTTGCAGCCTTTATGACCACATATTAATTAAGACTATTTGTACTTTTAAAGTTAGTCACACCGCAGAACCAAAATGAACTAACAAAGTGGTGAATTCAAATACATTTTATTCTGATCATTTATGTTGGGGGAGAGGGGGACCATCACAGTTCTTCTCATAAATACATTTTCTGTGTAATCCAAATAACCGATTTAATTTACCTCTCATCAAGTAAACTTCCCAGTACATGCACACAACACCTATAGTCCTAAGTGAAATGAAATACTGTCTGTGTCTCGTTGCTCACCCCAGGTCAATAGGTGGGTTTGTCTCCTTGTTGGCCTCAGCTTTGGAAGGGCCAGAAGGACAGCATCTTCTGCATGTCACAATGTGCAGTTTCTCTTTCAGACCATTAACGCATGCTCGTATGGCACTGCGAACGGCAGCCGACGAAAAATAAAAGATGATTGGGTCCAAACAGGCGTTTAGGGTGCTGGAGATCAACGCCAAGTGACGCCACCCCTCGCTATTTTCGTGGATGAAACCAACCACATGCGAGATGTTATAGGGGCTAAAAGAAATGGTGAAAACCAACAGCGTCCCAACCGCAAGCCCAATGGCCCTGAGTCTACGACGTCTTCCGAGATGGGGCAGCTTGGAGAGAATTCGAATGAAGTTAATGTAGCAGAAGCAGCAGATGAGGAGGGGTATACAGAAAAGCATGAGAAAAAGCTCCAGACGAACAGGAAGTAGAATTTTCAGCTGCTCTTTGGTGAAATTATCGTAGCAAATTCTCACGTGGGGATTGGGCTGTAGCATGCTGTTGCTCGAGTTGTCAGTCGAGTTTATGTATGGCACGATGTACACGATGCTGAGGTTGAGAGATCCTAGAAGCCAGAGGAAGCAGCTTGCGATCACAGCGTTGCGCGGCCGGCGGCCCAAAGCGTACCGGATCGGAAAAGCAACGCCTAGATAGCGTTCTATGCTAATCGCAGTCAGAAATAATGTGCTGGTGTAGATGGTGGAAAAGAAAAGGAAACTGCTAATGGAGCACAGGTAATAGGGAAGGCTCCAGTGTAAGTTGTCAATGGCCTCCTTCATCTTGAAAGGCAGGACTGCGAGGAAGATGAGGTCAGATATTGTCAGGTTTAGCAGGAGAATGTCGATTGGGGTGGGTTTGCGGTAAACTTTTCGACAGAATGTAAAGAACGCTAGGATGTTGGCAGGAAGGCCGAACAAGAAGGTGAGGATGTAGAATATCAAGAGAGTGTGGTGGATCAACTTGGCCATTGGTCTGTACCTCACAGGTGGTCAACAGGTGGTAGAAACACTGCAGAGAACAGAATAGCATGAGTCAGTAAGATTCAATATGGTGATAACAGACAAATTGAAAAACAAAAATTGAAAAACTTTTGTCATTATCCGTGATTAATAATGATTGTAGCGACAAATGACCATCTTGTCACTCAGAGGTGTTTGTAGGGATATCTGACGCGTGGCTCCTAAACAAACTCACTTCAGTCCAGTACTTCATTTACACAGTTTATTTTGGTTTCAGCTCAGATGCTCAAACAGCTTGCCATCACCAGTTATCATGTCCTCTCTTGATCTTAACACGGTCAAAAATTGTTTGCTTCCCATTACACCTGGCTTCTCTTACTCGTTGGTTACCTTTATACCAAATAAAACCCATACTCCACCCAGTGTTCACCAGTGGAAATACAACAGACATTAAATGAACATAATGGCTCTTACACTCCGGCCCCTAATTGTACATGACAGATAGACATTACAATTCAATACAATAATTATGCAAAGAGCCATTAAAGTCCAAAGCGACTCTATACGACATGGTACTTGAACAATCTTCTGTTTGTTATAGCATAAAGTCCTTGCAATCAGTCCTTACTTTTCCAGGCTGTCATACAATAGACAAAGCTTGGTCACAGGTCTCTCAAGTACACTGGTTTTAGTTTGTACTCGCACAGAACGTACAAGTCCATTTTTATCAGGAAAAACTTCCAAGACTCGTCCCATCAACCAGGATCCACGTGGGGCTGTGGAATCCACAATGACTACAATATCACCAGGAGCAAAGCTCCTTCTTTCCTTGTTCCATTTCTGTCGCTCTTGAAGCAAAGGCAAATATTCATTTGTCCATCTTCTCCAGAATAAGTCGCACATGTATTGGACCTGTTTCCATCTCCTCCTGCTGTATAACTCTGATTGGCCAAAGAGTCCAGGTGGTAGAACTGGTTTGCCTTTCATTTGAAGAAGGTGATTTGGAGTAAGTGGCTCTAGGTCATTAGGATCATCTGACAGCTTTGTTATTGGACGATCGTTTAAAATGGCCTCAATTTCACATAACACAGTATGAAATCCCTCATCATCCAGAGTTTGTTGATGTAAGATAGAACTCAAAATTTTCTTGACCATTTTGATCATACGCTCCCACACTCCTCCATAATGTGAGCCCCCTGGAGGATTGAAACTCCACTGAACACCTTCCTGAAGCATTGCCTTTTGAATCTGGCTCTTATTCCATGAATTAAGTGATTCTCTTAACTCTCTTTCTGCTCCAATGAAGTTGGTACCATTATCTGATCTTATTTGAACAACTTGTCCTCGTCTGCAAATAAATCTGCGTAGAGAATTAATGCATGCATCAGTGTCCAAGGAATAAGCAACTTCCAGATGAATTGCTCTACTTGCCATGCAAGTAAAGATGACCCCATAACGTTTCACCATGGAGCGTCCTCTTTTGACCTCTACAGGACCAAAATAATCCACTCCTACGTTCGTAAATGGAGGAAGGTCGGGAATGAGTCTCTCTTTTGGCAAGTCCGCCATCTTCTGCTCACCAGCTTTAACTCCATGACGTCTACAATGGCCACAATTAGATATGATTTTTCTAGCAGCTGCATTACCTTTAATGATCCAATATTTCTTTCTCAGCTTGGAAAGCATATGATTTCTTCCGCTGTGACCCAATTGTTGATGAATATGCCGCAAAATAAGTGTGGCACAGTGCTGATCTTTATAAAGAATAATAGGATGCTTCCTTTCCTCAGGCATAGCAGCATTCCTCAGTCGTCCTCCAACTCTTATTAACCCATCTTGAAAGACAGGATCCAACTTGTACAACTTGCTGTCTCGTTTTACTCTTAACTCAGATGAAGCTGATAAGGCAGCAATTTCCTTTCCAAACTGTTGCTGTTGACTAAATGCAACAATAGCGGATTCTGCTTCAATTAGGTCCTCCAAAGTTAAATTCCTTGTAGTCGTTGAGAATGTTAGCGTTTGAAGCTCATTCTCTAATTTCTTGGAAGATGGCAATACACCCAAGGAATCTAAAGAGGTTTTGATTTCTTTTCGCCTTTGACTCCGTTGCCTAAGAACTTTCTTTAGCTTCAAAAACCAGGCAACAGCAACTTTCAGCTTTAGCCAGTCTGAGAAGTGTACAATCAGTCTATGAGTGGCGTTTGTTGCACTCGACACTTCATTTACACCAATGGTGTTCACAATCATGTTCCTCTTTACCTCAGGATCATTGACCTTAAGAGTAGAATCAACTATTTGCACTTGCCACTCTTCCTGCGGTTTCCATAGAAAGTGTGGTCCACTGATCCATTCTTCACTTGATAACAGCTGGTCTGCTTTCATACCTCTTGAACAACAGTCGGCAGGATTTTGAGATGTAGATATATATCTCCACTGTGACGGTCTTGTAACTTCTCTTATAAAAGAGATCCTGTTGGCCACAAAGGTCAGAAAACGTTTGTCCTCATTCTTTATGTATTTTAGCACGGATGTACTATCTGTCCAAAATACTGATTCCACCAATGGAAACTGTAACTCTGCCCTCAACATCTTATCCACTCGAGCAGCAAGTACAGCGGCTGTCAGTTCAAGACGTGGAATTGTCACATGCTTCAATGGCGCTACTCTTGATTTGCCAAGCAGGAAATGAACATGGACATCCTTGTTTGTCTCCATTCTAAGATATGTTACAGTACCGAATCCAAGTGTACTTGCGTCAGAGAAATGATGCAACTGAATGTTGGTAAGTTGGTCCAATCCTGTGGGCTTTAAACATCTATTCACCTCAAAATCTGCAATCCTCTCAAGCTCTTTTAACCATAAAGACCATTGTTTTTGAAGATTTGAGGGTAGCGGATCATCCCATCCATATCTTGTTCTACATAGTTCTTGCAGAAGCAATTTTGCTGTAAGTGTGAATGGTGCCAAGAATCCTAAAGGATCATACACAGAGCACACAATCGACAAAACACCACGTCTGGTGCAAGGATTGTCTTTGATGTTCATTTTAAACTTGAAAGTATCTGATTGAACACACCACAACAAACCAAGAGCTCTCTCCACTGGTAGTTGATCCTGGTCCAAATCCATAATTTTTATGCCATGTGCTCGGTGTTCTTCAGGTACAGTTTGTAGCACAGAACGGCTATTACTGACCCATTTGGTCAATTGGAAACCTCCAGTTAAACACACAGCTGTGAGATCTTTGATCATCAATATGGCCTCTTCCTCTGAAGCTACACTTTTCAGACAGTCGTCCATGTAGAAGTTGGCATGAATTGTGTCAATGACCTTTTCTGGAAAATTGAACTTATTATCTTCTGCGGTCCTACGTAGTGCAAAACAAGCACAACTTGGGGATGACACAGCTCCAAACAAATGGACGTTCATTCTGTATTCCACAGGTTCTCGCTTCAAGTCACCATCTGGCCACCACAAGAAACGAAGAAAATTTGTATCCTCTGTGGCAACTTTGACCTGATGAAACATCGCTTTCACATCAGCCATAAATGCAATAGGCTCTTGTCGAAACCTCACAAGAACTCCCAAAAGTGAATTTGTCAGACAAGGGCCCTGCAGCAATTGATCATTAAGCGATGTACCTTTGAAAGCAGCTCCACAGTCAAATACCACTCTTAACGTTCCTTTCTTAGGGTGATAGACCCCATGGTGAGGGATATACCAAACCTTTCCTTTATCCTGTTTTAACTGATGCAATGGTACTCTTTCAGCATAACCTTGACTGATGACCTCATCCAAGAAAGTACTATATTCTTGATGAAACGTCTTATTTCTGTCCAATTTCCTCTTTAATCCCACGAGTCTCTGTTTAGCCACACAAAGGTTATTTGGCAACATGGGATTTTCCCTTTTGAATGGAAGATTCAATTTGTAGTGTCCATCCTGAAGCTTAATTGACCCATTTACCTTTTCCATAAATGCATGATCTTCTCTTGACATTTCTTTGGTTTCAGAAGCAATCTCGTTAAAGTCATGGTTATACTGTTTATTGAGCATCTCCTCCAGCTTGTCAACAGAAATCCTATTAACAGTAATATTCGTCCTTTCACTTGTGCTCCCATTGTCCTTTCTTCCTTGGAGAGGTCCATTGACAACCCATCCAAGTAGAGTTCTAACTGCATAAGGTCCTTCTCCATCACTGTTTTTAACCTCCCAGGGCTCCATTACCTTGGAAGCATTTGCTCCAATTAGCAAATCCACATCAGCAGGAATTTGGGGAATCTTAACACCTTTCAGGTATGGCCATCTATGTAAATCCCCTTCAGTGACAATGTTCTCTTTGGACACAGGCATTTTCTCCTGAGTGAAGACTTCCGGAAGACTGTAAAATATGTCATCATAAAGGCTAGACACTTCCAAACCAGTCAAAATGGAACTACTAACAGATCTTTGATCACCCATTGTTTTCAAAAGAATATTAGTCTTCCTTCCTTTTAATTTCAGACGATGCATTAAATGTTCTGAACAAAAGGTAGCAGAACTTCCAGGATCAAGGAATGCATATGTTTGAATTACCTTTTGTCCTTTACAGGACTTAACTTTAACTGGTACAATTGATAATGCACATTCTCCATCACCGGCCCCTGTTTGACCATATGCTTGAAGGGCACTTTGGACAAAGGCATTTCCTAGTGATGGAAGGTCCTGTCCTTGAGTGCACTCTCTCTCCTTTTGTTGAATATGCAGAATGCTGGGATGCCTTTGGGCACATATTGTGCAAGTCAAGCGCTTATCACAGTCTCTGCTCATGTGTCCAACACAAAGACAGCCAAAGCAAATACCTTTCTCCTTTAGAAAGTTCAGCTTTTCATTGTGCATCTTGCTTTGCATTTGTGTACACTGCTCCAATAAGTGATCACGTTTGCAGTACAAACATATAACTTGGGAATTTGATCTGAAATCAGACACACAGCACTGACTTGATTTGTTGTTGGTAACAACCGTTGTTGCAAAGCTGTTTCTAATTGTATTCCTAGGTTGAGGTTTCTGCTGCACAGTTTGAGTACTCTGAATATCACCAAAAAATGGATCAGATGACATTTTGACTTGACGTTCAACAAATGTAACAATGTCCTTGAACTGCGCTCTTCGATTGTGCCTTTCCATTAGTTCACAAGCAACAGTTCTCCAATTTTCCCTTAATTTATAAGGCAGCTTCATGATGACTGTTTTTAAATTGCTTGGCATCTCCAGCTCCTTCATATACTCAATTTCTTCCATAGCATTACAGCATCCACGCAAAAAAAGAGCATAACTATGCAATGAACTTACATCCTCTGATTTTACAGAAGGCCATCCAAGTACTTTCTCTATATATGCAGTGGCTATTTTGAACTCATTGCCAAAATGTTCCTTTAGCAATGCTTTAGCTTGCACATATCCTCTTTGTGGATCCATGTGCTGGCAACTGCGCACAAGTTCCTTAGGTTGACCTTGCGTATATTGTTCCAGAAAGTACAAACGATCTCGATAATTACTGGTTTTGTCCTCTATTCCATGTTCAAAAGCTCTGATGAAAGTTCTATATTGCAAAGGATTACCATCAAACACATTAATATCTCTTTGAGGCAGTGCGCTGGCTTGATGCTGTTGTACAAGAAGAGCAGTAATCTCATTTTGCTTTTGCATTATACTGTAGATGTTTGACGTTGATGTTCCATTACTGTTCTGTATTACACTTGAAGTTTGCATTTGTGAAACAGAATGAAGATCAGATTGCAGTGCACTGTGAGTTTGCTGAATCACATTCCTTGGCTTATATTCCTCAACATGAGGGTTAAGAGTAACTTCTTTGCCGCTCCTTGTAGTTCCTGTATCATAATATGCATTCATACCATCAGAAAGGGTTTTAGGATGCTGATTATCAGAGTTGTTTAAAACCGCAATTTTAGCAGTAGCAGCAGCGATTTCTGCATCAATATCCATTTGCTCTTGTCTTCGCCTCAGTTGTTCCTGTTGTACCTCCAAAGCATGTTTTTCCTTTAAAGCAGTTGCACGTGCAATTAATGCAGCCTTTTCTGCCTCTGCTATAATTCGTGCTGAAGAAGCAGAAGATCTCCCAGTACGCACACTGCTAGAACCTTTTCCACTTGATGGTTTACTTGACCCACGTGAGGAAATGTTTGAAACACTATCATTTGGTTGAATGTCCTCTTGAAAAGCATCACCATCGACACCGGAACGTGAAACTTGACTTTCAGTATTCAACCATTTTTGAACATCATCTTTGAACCCACTGAAAATTAACATCTTTCCATTGAACCATGTTTGTTGCTTTTCCTGTTCGTCATTGGGCAAAATAACCATCACAGAATTGTGCACTTCTCTTGCTTCATCACACAATCTTATGAATTTCCCAAAAGAACATTGCACTTCCTTTTCATACTCTCGGTTAAGCATAAAATCTTTTATAATAACCATCAAGTTCTTTGCTTTTTTGACTTTAGTTGTTCTTGTTTTCTGCAATGCTTCCAATTTTTCTAATAATGCCTTTGGAGTAAGTTTGATAAGCCGTTTTTCTTTCACGGACTCAACCTCAATCTTTTCAACCGGTACACTTGTCTCTGTTTGTTTACCAGCCGCCATAACCTCTTCAACACCCTTATTCACACTCATTTTCACAGTGTGCTAAGTTCATTTCCCTTGTCAGTAACTTGTCAGCAACCAATGCATTGGATTTACGCTATTAAAAGTGTGCACACTTCATATGTAGCGCTAAACATACCTTGAATCCATTAGCTCACTTCGTCGCAACTGGTCCTTAAATCACGTCCGGTCCAATTAATCCAAACCTCATCGGAATCCATAGAAAGCTCAAAAGTTCCAAAAGTGATGCGTGATAATCCACAAAGAAGCAATTTTTGACAAAATGTAGCGACAAATGACCATCTTGTCACTCAGAGGTGTTTGTAGGGATATCTGACGCGTGGCTCCTAAACAAACTCACTTCAGTCCAGTACTTCATTTACACAGTTTATTTTGGTTTCAGCTCAGATGCTCAAACAGCTTGCCATCACCAGTTATCATGTCCTCTCTTGATCTTAACACGGTCAAAAATTGTTTGCTTCCTATTACACCTGGCTTCTCTTACTCGTTGGTTACCTTTATACCAAATAAAACCCATACTCCACCCAGTGTTCACCAGTGGAAATACAACAGACATTAAATGAACATAATGGCTCTTACAATGATCAAAAATGGGTTTAATAAAGCAATTTAAATAAAACATAATGTTGAAATTAACTCTAAATTTACTTACATTTTGAAACAAATCAACAGGGGTCTCATTTATAAAACTGTGCGTAGGATCCTTCCTTACTAAAAGTGTACGTGCGCCCGAAAGCCAAAAATGGCGTACGCCAAAAAATATTCAGATTTATAAAACCGTTCGTACGCCAGAAACTGCGCAGAATTCACTTTTGAAATCCCAGTCAGTGGGAGATTGTGCACACATGCGTCTCCTCCCCAAAATAACCATACATGGAGCTTACAACGCCAAGTTTAAATATGCATATCCTCATCTGCATATCATTTGCATATGATTATTCATCCTCGTGATACCATGTTAAGGTAAGACGTTAGGAAAATATGAAATACAGATGTGCCGTGTCACAATAAATTATAATTATTTTTATTTTTTTTGTATAGTAGCCTATATCCTTGCCTTGTTTTTGAATGAATAAATCAAATGGTGTAAAATACATTTCAGAGGAAGATTTTCTCAATCTTTTCCACTGGCCAAATAGTATTTTTAATTAATTTATATTTTTAATAGAAACAGATAGACATGGTTGTTCATTATTTGCATGGAACAGTTTACAACGCATGCGCGAAAAGTAGAATGCGCGAGTAGAAGAAGATTCAGCAGTTCTCGCGCATGCGTCATGGAAATCTCTTAAACTCTCGTCTCAGGCCTACAAGGAAGAAAAGTAATAGTCGAATAAAGTCGTTATTTTTGATTGTTTTTTCGCACAAAAAGTATTCTCGTCGCTTGATAAACTTATAGTTGAGCCTCTGTTGTCACATGGAATTTTCTTCAATGACTTTCTGGGTTTCTTCTTTAATGTCAAGTTTCAATCCCTTAGGGTGCCTATGTGGTAGTGATACAGCTCTCAAATTTAATAAAAAATAACTTCATTTGTGTTCTGAAGATGAACGAAGGTCTTACAGGGTTGGTACAGCATGGGGGTGAGTATTTAATGACCTAAATTTCATTTTTGGGTGAACTAACCAGCATGCCAGAGGGAAAGTGGAGGGAAAGTGTTCAAAAGCCTGGCATCCACAACAAATTCTATTTACTGAATATATGAAGAGTTCAGATGCAAAAGCCTCTAAGTGCCATTTGAAATTTTCTTCTAAAATGATCATTTTTATCAAGCTTATATATTTAAGTTCAGTAATTTCACTTAAATGACAATGAAGATTACCTATGAATTGCCATTTAAGTGAAATTACTGAACTTAAATATACAAGCTTGATAAAAATGATCATTCTAGAAGAAAATTTCAAATGGCACTTATGGGCTTTTGCATCTGAACTCTTATACGTATATATACCTTCTCAGTGATGATTTCATGTAGTTTAAGTGTTTAACTACATTACTGAGAATGACATCACAAACTTTGCGTGAAACTGCCGTACGTACGTTTCCAGCCCCGTCTTGTGCGTACGCACGCTTTATAAATGAGACCCCTGTGACAGTGACAATTCATTGTATATGCTAGAATGCTATAAAGTTTTATAACAGGATATTTATGCAGTTATGGGCATGGTCTGACTCTAAAAACACCTCTCACTAATTTAAGAATTTATAGACTACCCTTTTTCAGAAAGTCATTAAATTTCACACCTTTTTTAGTGTTACTACCACTAAATTTTTAAATGATGCATTGTGTTTAATAGTATTCTGCGATGGAAATGAAAGTATGAAATGAGATTTTTGTTATAAAAATGATTGAATCCTTTGTCTTGCACAGTGTTATTTTCATAGTATTTTTAATCATAATTAAATCATAAATTTTATTAATCATTGATATCATTTTCAAAATCATAGCTTAATAGTAGATGCCTCACAATACTAATGGCATTTACTCTGCTTTTACTTATCTCCACATACCATGTTGCTAATGCTCTCTTAATTGCATCCTTGGCAACAAAGTTCTACTAACTTTATTATAACAAAATTCTACTGCCAAATGTGGTACTGTCATAATTTCTGAAATATTTACATAAATAATTTTCATACAATATAAATCTAAATTGTTTATATTTATTTCACTATTTGGGACAAGTGTAAAATATTACATAAACATAAAATTCCAATGTGATCTTCCTATAACAAAGAATTATTTTTTTAGTTTTTTTTATACAAATCAATCCTTGCAACATTCCTGCATGTTGAGGGAATATTCTGCTCATGAAGTATAACGAACAAAAATTACTCACCTTTACAATGTAGGAAAATTAGGATCCTCAGCATTTTGTCGCATCAGTTTCACAAAGTGTCTGCAAGCTCCCTTCACCTCTGTCCTAGGCATTTCGACTGCATAATTAGACTACATGATGTGTGCAACGTCTCAAAAGAGCGGAAATTTAATAAATTCAGAACATAATCTGCAACACTGAAGCTCATCAAACAATGTCTCTTGGCAACCCCCCTAGGAACAGTCTGTGAGAACACAGGAAGCCGTCATAACTGCCGTGTGTGTGTAAACACTATGCGGGGACAATCCCCACTTAGATGGCAATATCTGAAATCCTTGTCCTTGTGGGGAATTTTTTATCCTCTATGAGGAAAACAGCTTATCATACTTAGTGATGTTTTTGTTTTGTTGTGTGTGTTTGTGTGTACCCACTGTGACGTTAGAGTGACGTCTTTTCTATGTCATTTTTGGACGTCCAATTTCGGTCCACTGAAGGGGTTGTTTTGTAATGCCAGGCGACGTCTTTATTTGACGTATTTTGCACGTCTAATATTGACGTCGGTGGGACGAAATGTGGTCGTTTGTGGACGTCTTTTCAACATCAAATTTAGTATCTTCTATAACTGTATGTTTCCAAAAGGTAGAGGACATTTTTAAAGAATGTCTGTACCATATATTTATATTTATGCATTTGGCAGATGCTTTTATCCACAGTGAGTTACATTGCATTATACATTTACATTCCTGCTTTCCCTGGGAATCAAACCCATGATCTATCTAAGCATTGCACTAGGTGGCCGTTTCACAAGCACTAATGTTCTACTGTTTGAGCTACAGCATTACACCTCTGTATGTGTCAATTACCAGCTTCTGCTAGTGGTATAGCTAGCTGCTACCTTAAATAATAATAAAAAAAACTATCTTAAATAATTAAATATAACCTGTAATAGACGTCCAAATGAGGTCCCAAAAAAATTACCTAGATCACAGTCAAATGTTGAACGTCAAATGTTGCCGTCCAAATTGGGCCATGGTTAGACGTCCAAATCGTGGATCTAGTTTGGATGTCGAATAGATGTCCAGAATTGGTCAAGGACCGACGGACCCAATATAGACATGATCTGCACGTCTATCCGACGTCCAGTGTTTAGTGATATACATGGAAATTTTGTATTAATGTGAAAGGATTCAGCTGTTAGGCAGTTTGCATAGCATCACAAGTTGAGAGAAGGCTTTAAATGACCTCATGTCTCAAATATCATAATAATAAACAACTTACTGCTCTGGGCTGGGTTTCCCACAAGCATCGTAAGCTTAAGTTGTTCGTAGAACAATTGCCACCAACAGTCTCTACGATCAACTTAGGTTTACGATGCTTTTGGGAAACGCAGCCCTGACTGCTGCAGTTTCATTTCGGTGTTGATAGTGATGACAACGAAACACAAAGATTGACACAGAAAGCTCCTGTAGAACATCACCTGTTGCCGTCCTGTAATTATGGTTATGTCGTGAATGCAGCAGCGCTGTTCTGGTTCAGAAGGAGGAACTGTAAAAGCTGGCTGCTGTTTGTTTGTGGTGCTCGGGGATTGGCGCCTGTCTAACTCTGCCTAGACTTAAAGGTTCTTTAAGCGATGTGGGGCCAAAACATTTTTTGTCACATACATCAAACGTCTCCTCACTATCGGCTAGCTGCCTAAACACACTGTAAAAAAACGCGGTCTCTGTAGACACCACAGGGTCCACAAACGGCAACAAAAACAATCATGTCTCACCCGGACCACGAAACCTAACAAACAGTGTTCCAGCCAATCACTGGCAAGAAGTATTTGAGGGTGGGTCTGGGGGGTTAGTGCGCGTGCACATGAAGGGGGTGTGTGTGTGAAGGAGATAGAAGCATCAGAGGGAAGTTTGAAAAATGGCCGACACACGACCAAATAGACGTCGTTCTGAAGAACAAATTAAAAAGATGAAGGAGTCGGATAAAGAACGTGCGAAGTTCCGAATTTACATCGGTAGCAAAGCTTTTGAACGATGGCGAGAACTCCGGCGGCAGAAGGGCTTCCAGTCCGACATTCAGGTTGCTCTGTTTTTGCTGGACAGGTGGGTAACGTTAAATTGTTTTTTTTCTTCATCTAAATTGACGCTTTATGTTCGCCAAACCCACACAAGGATATAATTAGCTAGAACTATGCACGTTCACAATTATTTCAGGAAGCACGGAAGGGAGGGGGAGGAGATGAGATGCGGCGGAGGGAGGGTCTAGCTAGCCTCCGATTTGTTTGAAAATATTCTGAACGTCAACAACACCCAGGATCACTCAGAGAACCTTTAACGTAACGCACTGATGACGTGATGTCTGTGCAAGCAGTGTTGAAAATACCCTGGAAAAAAATGATTGATGGATGAACTTTTTTTTTGTCCTGAGACTTTACTTATAGACCACTTCTATTATTGATTGCTATCAGGATGTGATGAGAGTTAAAACTAGTATAGCCTACAAAATGTTTATAAAAAATGGCTATCCTATCTTTAAAATGTGAAAATTGACTCTGATATAGGCTATTTATGTTAGACATTTGTCAGTAATATGAGTATATGGCCAGTCCTTTTCAGTAAAGCCACACAAAAAAAGACAAAATTCTACTACTTAATTTGTAACTAAAGTAGGCTAAGTTAAATAAAGGATCAGTATAATAAAAACGAATAGGCCTAGTAGGTTCATTATGAGACTTATTAAAAGTTAATTTTACAACTTTCACAAAAGTTCCTGTTAACTTTAGCTCAGGTTACTAACTTCCTGCAGAGTTTAGTTCCACACCACCTGGCTGTAATTTCAAGTAGCCTAATTGTTGAGTTACAGGTATAAATTCCGATTAAATTGATTATTACATTTCTTAATTAAAGTTTATACACAGCCTATACTTTCCATAACAGAGTTCAAGAACATTCTTTTAATATTATACTACTGAAGCGGCCAGTTTCAAATGATTATAAACAGCAAGCACAAACTATCGAAATTCGCTCACTTTTGTTTTCATTCACTCCCTCAAGTTAATTATTGGGCTAATAAGGGAAAAGTGATGAGGGAGTGATTTCGGGCACATGCACAGCCAAGCAGGGTTGGAGCTGAACTCTGCGATTTCAGACACACACAGCCATATTCTGATATTAATTCAGGGGCTGCCAACTCTCACGCATTCGGCTTGAGACTCACACAATTGAGCCAATTCTCACGCTGTCACGCCACACTCCTGATTTCTCACGCTGATGTGTTAAGCCTGAAGGATGAGTTTATCTGTAGTCTATCTGTTGAGGCACTCGCGACTGACTAGTTTGACCGCAAATTAGTTAAAATATCCTGTAATCTTATTTAGAGCGAGCATGCAAGACAGAGGTTGAGCTCCTAACCACGCACGACGGGAGGTAAGCGAGATATGGGGCTATTTTTTCCTTTACTCCTGACAAAATAAAACTTTACACAATGAAAGTACCCATTAAAAGCACATTTTTTGTATTACAAGTTTCTTTAAAAAATAATTGCAATATGCAAATGAGTTATACATCGAATATGCCCAAAATACACCAAAATAGGCTAATTTTTACATGAAAAGTAACTTTTTTTGTATTACAAGTTTGACACGAATTTGAATATGCACATGAGCTCCACACTTATTGAATAAGTCCTAATTTGCATAGGCAAAAACACCATTCATATGTTCTTCCAATCATTGACAATGGGTGATGGCAATGCTGCTTTTAAACCGGTCTGTAACCTGAAAACTGCCTGGAAAATTTTTTGGAAAATTTGCACTTCTATTATCTTTTACATCAAAATTTGACCGTTATCACTGCTGTTTTTATAGTCTTTAAACACAATAAGTAAAACGGGTGTATTCTAACACATTTTCTAAAACATCTGAACATATTTAAAGACACTCACCAAGACCCTTCTTCCTTCTCGTTTTAAGTACTAACTTTTAACGTACAGTATGTTTATTATGTCACACAAGGGACGTACCTAATTCCAAACCACAAACTGTCACATGGGTTTTTATCCACAGTTAGTGCGTGTGAAAATAGAGGACTCTTGTTTCATTTTGTTAGGCCTGTAAAACCTGTAAAATGCAGAGGTGTACACATTTTAAAAATATTTATAATACTGTATGCGGCAACATACTTACAATTCATAACATCAAAAAAACTGAAAATGAAATAATACCAGAGAATGTAAGAGCAATTTAATTTATATATACAGTGCCCATGTTTAACATAATACAAATTCACATTATTTATTATAGTAGAAATAATAATTACAGAATAAGAGTTTCACGGAATAGGTAAAAATTAAGTACATGGTTCATTATCAGTATTTAAAATGTTGCATACTAGATATTACTATTTTACAATATTTAGCAATTTATTTACTGTAGTTTATACTTTTGGATAAAATCCCTAAAAATGTAATGTTATAATTAGGGCTGTCAAACAATTAATCGTAATTAATCGCATCCAAAATAAAAGTTCGCGTTTACATAATATATGTGGGTGCACTGTGTATAATTATTTTATATATATATAAATTCACACACATGCTTGTAAATATTTAAGAAATATTTGCATGTATATACTGTATATAGATTTATATTATATATAAATATAAATATTTTATATATAAATAATATTTTTTTCCTAAATATACATGCATGTGTCTGCATTTATATGTATACAAAATAATTATACACAGTGCACCCACATATATTTTGTAAACACAAACTTTTATTGTGGATGTGATTAATCGCGATTAATCGTTTGACAGCCCTAGTTATAATACAGAAGCAACCATTATTGAATAGGTGAAGATGTGCATAGACAGCTGGTGCCTGGTCCCTGGTGAGTTTTAAAAGAATGTGCACTTTCTCATACAATATCTTTAATGACCACCAAAACATTATCTTACAGCTCATATCCTTCTCCTAAATAGGTCTGTTTGGGTGACTCATAGATTAAAAAAGATTCCATGTTCTTATTTGCGCCATGAGTGTATTGCAGCACCCTAATTAGGTCACTTTTATGGACGGGTTTGCTCTGTTTGCTCTGTCATCTTTAGATCCTCCATGGCTTATTATTGACATTGCCTGTGTAGTTGTTGTCTGAGGGTTCCTGGAAGCCATACTGCAGTGATGCTGATGCCACAACTTGCAGGTTGCGTCTCTTCTCTTACGGCACAGTCTGTCAATCAAATCCCTCGGCGTCCACGGCGAAAGCATCAACATAACCACGGGCTCTAGAAAGACATTGCAGGAGCTGGAAAGCATGGCTTCGCTTCTCCACTCCACATTAGTGTTATAGACAAAGCCTACCACATGGGAAACATTGTAGGGTCCATAACAGACCACAAATACTATTAATGTGGAGAGTGCAATGGCTAATACCCTTCTTTTCCCACCAGAGGGCAATGAAGAGTGTCGGACAAGCATAAGGCAGCGCAGCGTGCAGAAAGCTGACAAAACAAGTGGCACCAGGAAGAGAAGCAGTGCCATCTCTAGGCGTAAAGGCACTAGCACGTTCAACTGCTCCTGGGTGAAGTTTTCATAGCAAGCAGAGACATTATGCTCAGATAAAGACACAAAATGTCCCCCTCCTTCGGCAAGAAAAGCAAAACCCACGTGCAAGAGCACTAAAGCCCACAAAATGGCGCTCACCAAGCAAGAAGTATGGGCCCGGCGGTAGATCTTGTAAGATATGGGGTAGGCGATACTCAGGTAACGGCCCACGACGACTGCTGTGAGGATCAGACTGCTACCGTAGACCGAGGAGAACAGAAAGAAGCTGTAAATGGGACAAACGGCAGCTGGAAGCGCCCAACCCTGGAGCACCGTCTCGGCCACTTTGACTGGCATCCACAACACTAGAGCGAGGTTGGCCACGCACAGGTTAAGAGCGTAGACCACATTGGGAGTGGCGCCGTGTTTTCGAGCCTTACGGATGTACACGAAAAGAACGAGGAGGTTGCCGGGAAGTCCAAGCAAGAAGGTGAAGAAGTAGATCAACACCGAGACATAGCTGAACGCAGTCAGCGCCATGTCAGATCAATTTCTAGATTTGTTGCTCAATTAACTAATACCAGATACTCCTTTTTACAGGCTCTCCATTGCCCTCCTCGTTATTCCGTGTGGAAGAATTGCGGTCCCTGAATCAATAAAATGCTGAACACTTTCCAATCTGTGTGAGAGAAAAAAATAGATGAAGACAATGGAGAAGCTCGTATTTGCACGGAAGTTTGTATTTATTTGGAAAGCGCAAAGTAGGGTGGGGAGAAAAAGGGGGCGTGGGAGGGGTGTATGATGGGTGGTTAGTGCTTCTAAGAGCTTGAATTGGTCTGATATGAGGGAAGGGGATGGGTACTTAATGTAGCAAGATGGCATTTATATGGTCTCATGTTGCCTTATTTGTCCTTGGTGCACACATCAGATCAGGCCCCTTTAGTGAAATGATTCAGAATAATTGGGCTTTACAGGAAGCATTGCCCATCCAGCCGTGACTTTGTCACATGAAATGAACTGGATGGTTAAACTACTGAAGCTGTAAACTCACTAGGAGACTGTTTAGGGGTTTATCATTCAGCATTGACTATTGCATATAATGAATTAACTTGACGCTTTTATAGCGGCATGCAAAAGGCCTTTGGATCTGTTTATTAAACATGGCTGTATATCATGCATCTTTATCTTTGTGTGTGGGTATATATATATATATATATATATATATACACTGTAAAAGATTTATCACAACATTTTTTCTTTTGTCAAATCAACTTAAAAAATTTATTTAGTTCAGATAACTTATTATTTTGAGTTTCTGATGATTAAATCAATCTTCTTCATTGTATTAACTCACTTTTTCCAGTTCAATCAACTTAAATATATATGTATATACACTGTAAAAATATTTTCAAGATTTATCACAACATTTTTCTTTTGTCAAATCAACTTTATTTAGTTCAGATAACTTTTACACACTGAGCATGAGAACAAAAAACATGAGAACTAAAGAAAAGTTTCAATAACAATGTACAACCTCAATTTTAGGTTTACTATTATATATTAGCAATAAATACACTTTAACAAAATGTGATCAACCATGATTTAAGCTCTGTATTATTTGCCTTGCATTTAAACTCGTATAGGGAAATATCTTCCTCCCTGTTATTTTCACATAGACTCAAATGGTCCCATTTAGAGACATTAGTGTAGCTATTAACTTCAACAGAATTGATAAACCCTCACCAATGGATTTGCGTAGATTTTTGTGTCACCCATTCTTTTATCTCATTCATCACTGAGAGTCAAAGTCCAATCTAAATAGAGCCTTTCATATGACATTAGCTTCTCTTCCCTCACATAAAATAAAAAATCTGTTGACAGATGGATTGTTGGAAAGAACTATGAAGCCAAAAGGACCATTTAACAATACAACAAAATGATTCACATGTGGTTTGCAAGTTAGTGTGTATTTATTTGAGGTTGCTCCACTCTTAATCATAAAATCAAATGAATATTTGAAATACTACACTCAAAACTCATTTCCACATCAGCAAAAAAAGTTGTCTTAAGATTGGTAGACATGGGAAGAGGAAATAGAAATTTGTAAAATACTGGAATGAAGCAAAAAAAAAAAATACAATTTAAAAAAGTCATACCACATTTATTTATGCAATACATTTTTTTAAATGTAATCGTTAGGTTATCAAATAATTATTCATTGTATTGATTCACCTTATTTAGTTGTCCCTGACTAGTTTCCACCCTCTCTCTTGCCAATTAATCTAGCCATTTTTTGCAGCTCTGGCTGTAACAAAATTGGTACTAGGAACTCAAAAGTCTTGAGTTTGATGCCCAGGAATGCAAGTACTGAATTAAAATGTATCCTTTCAACACACTGTAAGCCGCTTTGGATTAAACTGTCTGCCAAACATGTAATATCTACCCAACTTCCTCTTTATTACCTCGCCAGGACTGGGCAGAAGTTGCTAATATCAAACTGCTATCACTGACTTATAAATGTATATGATCCTGTGTCAATATGTTCATCTGTGTGACGTCAAAAAAGTTGCAGAAGTTCCGAACAAGCCATTGGGCTGATGAGGAATTTTGACTCTTATTTCAAAATATAGATTAAAATTTGATATCCCATGATATGACTCTTTTAAATTTAGACCACATGTGTCAAACTCTACTCCTGGAGGGCCACTGTCCAGTAGTGTTGCTCCAACCAGCTCTAAAACACCAGTCTCGAAGTTTCTAGTAATCTTGAAGACGATGGCCGTTTCTCAATATGCGTTCTTGTCTGCATTTGTGTTCTTGTGGACTTGGGAAACGTCATCAGTCACTGCCCAAGTACTGTTCCAATTCAAAGTTCACAGTCCAGTTCAAATACCCGGATGTGTTCCGGATGTGTTCCAAATCAATTGTCAATTGCGTAGAGATGTAAAAAGCACAGCTCAAATGAAACGCAAATTCCTATTGGGGTAATTAGGGATAATTGGGATATAATTGGGATATTTGGATTTCGCCAGTGAACTTTCACTGAGCAACAGTAAATGCACCTTAAGTATGGGGTAAGAACCAGGACGGCGACTCAAGCGAGGTCCAGCTTGGATCTGCCACTAGAGTTGGTGAGCGGCACCACAGCTGAACGTAGACCCTCAGTCTGGACCCTCAGAGTCAGGTGCTGGCGGGTCTGGCTGGTGCGCTGCTCCAGAGACAGGGCATCCTGCTTACGAGACAGATCCTCTATCATTTGAGCTTCATGCTGCTTCAGAGCCTGCATAGTGTGCCTGGTCATGGACAAGACAGTTTCAGAGATGTTCAGATTCCTTTTGCATTTACATTATTTATATATTGTAAATGAAAGGAGGAATTGGACTCACTGGGCCTGTGCTAGCTTCTGTTTCAGTGCTAGAATGGTGGCTTCCAGTTGCTTGGCTTCATCCACCAAACCAAACTGTACCTGTGAGTAATAAGTTATGAGATAACCAATCAAAACACAGCAGATTAAGATGGATTGTGTTTGTGTTTCAGAGGGTGATATTAATTAACTAGAACAAAAGTCACGCATCATTGCAGATGACATGAGTGCAGTCTGATTTACTGTTGTTCAGCAAAATCCAGTCATTTCATTACATCATATTACGTATTTTTACCATAAGAGCAAGCATGGCCATTCGTAACATTCTGTATTTCTTTTCATATTCATTTCTTATTAATAAACACACTGGTTTGTAGCGCAGCAGCCATATCACCCTGTAGCCCAAGACTGGCTGCCCACTAAAGCTAAGCAGGGCGCCTGGTTAGTACCTGGATGGGAGACCTTCTGAGAAAACCAGGTTGCTGCTGGAGGTGTTAGTGAGACCAGCAGGGGGTGCTCACCCTGTGGTCTGTGTGGGTCCTAACACCCCAGTAAAGTGATGGGGACACTATGCTGTCAAAAGAGCACCGTCCTTCGGATGAGACGTTAAACCGAGGTCCTGACTCTCTGTGGTCATAAAAAATCCCAGGATGTCTTTCGAAAGAGTAGGGGTGTAACCCCAGCATCCTGGCCAAATTTGCCCAGTGGCCTCTGTCCATCATGGCCTCCAAATCATCCCCATATACACCAATTGGCTTCATCACTGTCTCCTCTCCACCAGTAAGCTGGTGTGTGGTGAGCGTTCTGGCGCAATATGGCTGCCGTCGCATCATTCAGGTGGATGCTGCACATTGGTAGTGGTTGAGGAGATCCCCCCCTCTATGTGAAGCGCTTTGAGTTTCCAGAAAAGCGCTATATAAATGTAATGAATTATTATTATTATTATTATAAGTCTCACATATTCACAGACAATATTTCCGCAGTGCAAAATAAGGTGGATGGAAATCCATCCGATCAGGAATTTCATGGTTTCAGTTGTTCACTGGATAATTTCACAGCCAAAATACAATAATTTCAATAGGAATCCACACGTTCAAGTATTTTGTGTGAGGGCGAAAGGTTTTGGAATGGATTTGCTGTAACCTCATCCTTCCCTCGCGGGTCAAAATGATCTGAAGCCCTAGAATTATAGTTTTTTTTTTTTTTTTTTTATCCAGAAAGCTTATTTAATTTCATTTTGATATTTTACTTACCTTTAAATTACAAGATTTTATGATAAATAAATAATAATTTAAGTACATTATTCACATTTAGGTTTATATGTACTGATGCATTCCTCGCATTCCATTAATTCCTGGGATCAAATTGATCCATGAGGATAAGATTTGTTACTTTTTTAAATTTCAACCACAAAACTTGTGTGTGTGTGTGTGTGTGTATTCGTGGTTCAAGTGAGACAAAAGTCCTAGGGTCTTGGACCAAAAAAATTAACTTCATGCATGTTTCCACTCAACTGGTTGTGGAGTTTACCTCATCTCGGCACAGGTCCATGCCGGGCCTCTTTGTCCTGTTCTCCAGACGGGTGTGGACCAGCTTTAGAGGAGCCATCTTGGCATGCATGTCCTCCTCCAGGCCACTAATGTCCTTCTCCAGCTCAGCAATCTCATCCTGAGTCTGAGAGACAGTGGGACATATTGAAAGAAAGAAAAATGCCCTATTCATCCATTACCACTTGGCAATCTGGAATACCTGTTTCTGACTGATCAATCGCATCATTCTGCTATCAGATATTTCGGAATAATTGCCTATATTGTCCCTAACAACCAATTTCCAACACTGCAAGATCATGTCGCTCATATCACGGCAAAGTCTGACTTCTAACATAATCAAATAGTACACACTCAAATCAATGTCCATGACATGTATTGATTTTTTGGTGGGAAGTAATATAATAAGCGGATATTATGCAGTCAGCTGGTCATTATCGCAAAATAAACTCAGGTTGATGCCTCACTTTATCACCCTGTGGGGTTTATTTGAGGATAATGACCAACTAACCTACATTCACCTAAAGGATTATTAGGAACACCATACCAATACTGTGTTTGACGCCCTTTCACCTTCAGAACTGCCTTAATTCTACGTGGCATTGATTCAACAAGGTGCAGAAAGCATTCTTTAGAAATGTTGGCCCATATTGATAGGATAGCATCTTGCAGTTGATGGAGATTTGTGGGATGCACATCCAGGGCACGATGCTCCCTTTCCACCACATCCCAAAGATGCTCAATTATTGGGTTGAGATCTGGTGACTGTGGGGGCCATTTTAGTACAGTGAACTCATTGTTATGTTCAAGAAACCAATTTTAAATGATTCGAGCTTTGTGACATGGTGCATTATCCTGCTGGAAGTAGCCATCAGAGGATGGGTACATGGTGGCCATAAAGGGATGGACATGGTCAGAAACAATGCTCAGGTAGGCCGTGGCATTTAAACGATGCCCAATTGACACTAAGGGGCCTAAAGTGTGCCAAGAAAACATCCCCCACACCATTACACCACCACCAGCCTGCACAGTGGTAAAAAGGCATGATGGATCATGTTCTCATTCTGTTTACGCCAAATTCTGACTCTACCATCTGAATGTCTCAACAGAAATCGAGACTCATCAGACCAGGCAACATTTTTCCAGTCTTCAACTGTCCAATTTTGGTGAGCTCTTGGAAATTGTAGCCTCTTTTTCCTATTTGTAATGGAGATGAGTGGTACCCAGTGGGGTCTTCTGCTGTTGAAGCCCATCCGCCTCAAGGTGCTTGTTGTGGCTTCACAGATGCTTTTCTGCATACCTCGGTTGTAACGAGTGGTTATTTCAGTCAGTTGCTCTTCTATCAGCTTGAATCAGTCGGCCCATTCTCCTCTGACCTCTAGCATCATCAAGGCATTTTCGCCCACATGACTGCCACTTTTCACACCATTCTGTAAACCCTAGAAATGGCTGTGCGTGAAAATCCCAGTAACTGAGCAGATTGTGAAATACTCAGACCGGGCCGTCTGACACGCTCAAAATTGCTTAAATCACCTTTCTTTCCCATTCAGACATTTCAGTTTGGAGTTCAGGAGATTGTCTTGACCAGGACCACACCCCTACATGCATTGACGCAACTGCCATGTGATTGATTAGATAATTGCATTAATGGGAAATTGAAAAGGTGTTCTTCCTAATAATCATATATAGGTGAGTGTATATGTCATTACTAACTTCCAAAATTCACATTTCAAATGAGTGTAAAGCACTTTCTTCCACTTATTACTTTGTATGACAGTTCATGTGTGGTTAGTATGCTGTGGCCAAGATTATCTGTGTTTCATTGCATATTCAAAACCACCAGAAAAATATATATAAAAAAGAGGGGGAGAATAAGGATGAAGCCTCACAGTTTTCAACTGCCATTGCATTTCATGATGGGCTTGTTCTTGGTGGTGAGTCCGCTTACGGAGAGCAAACTCTACGGCCATTCGTTGCGCTTCCAGCTCATTCCGCACCTAAGAGAGAAGAGGCATGTAGCCTTTATGTAGTAAATGGTGATCATACTAAATGTTGTTCAACTATAAGTCAATAAGTTTGCGTGAATATTTTAAATCAAGCTTTTAAATACAGTAAACAATTAAATCTGTAGTCCAGGTGTTGCACCTGTGCTCTTGTGATGCTGTTATTGTCTCTTATCTGCACAGAGGCCTGCATCTCTTCTTTGGCTCGAGTAATATTGTATCGGCTGAACTGCTCCCACTGCTGAGGAGTTGTGGAACTGCAAACAAAGTGAACAAAATAGTACATTATTATATTATATTATTTATTTTAAAATATTTTATACAACGGTTAGTTACAATCCTTAATAGCTGTGTTTTATTATTGAGAGGTGCTGGACGTTAAACGGCCAGGGACTATTTTATTTAGGAAGACTTTTAGTGATTTTACGTCACGATAGGAAGACACGACTAACGCAATTTCCTTTTTATGCAGATTTTAAACTAAATACATAATACCTATAATTGTCCTATAACATACTCTCTGGACATTATTATTATTATACCAAGATAGCACATTTACTCACCCAGGGGGCACCCTTGTCGGGTTGGGCTTCAGGGAGATCTCAGGTGACCGTATAGTGAGAGACAAGCATGACATGTCCACATCAAGCGCCTCTATTTTATCCTGAAGGTCAATGGTCAGCTGTTGCCGTGCTTCCTGTAGACGACTGAGAAGGTTTGATAAGACTGAGAAGATCTGAGGAGATGCCAAGCAGATTGCTATTGAGTGGTTCAAACCAATGAAGGTCTATCTGACTGTGCTATACTTACCACAGCTGTTCAAAGGCCTGATCGATGCACTGCTGAAGGGAGCGTTGTGCTCCATCGATCACCTCTACTTCCCTCTTAAGTTCAGCTTCTACAGGGTCACTGACCAGCTCCTTGCCACGACGACCTTCCCTCAGGGTCAAGCACTCCGCAGTGACTTCAAGGGGCAGAACAGTGGCAGCAAGGGCTCGTTCTGTCTCCTCCTTGGACTTAGCAATGGTTTATGGGTTCATGAATACACTTGGGATGTTTTGTTTGTTTGTGTTTTTAGAAGACACATTTTTCTTAAATTGCATTATTTATTTTGCATTACAGTATATTATTTGTACAATACATATTTTGTACTGTAAAAAAACTTTATGGTACATTTTACATTAAAGACTATTTCAGAGTTTCATGTTTAATGTGTTGCTTGAGGTGTCTTTACAGCAATTTCTGGATGAAAATTGTCTACATGTTCACCAACATTTTTTCAGTGTTGTAAAGACATTCAGGTATGTCTGATATTACGATTACGCAAGACTAGTAACCACATAATTCTTGATATCAAAAATGATGATTTTTACTGGTAATGATTGTATTTCTGAATCTGATGATCTTTACTTTATAGTACGGATCCAAATAATTAGTAAGTAGCTCACAGATGAAAGTGTTACTAGATACTTCTGTGGGAATAGCTAATTATTTGGATCTGTATTATAAAGTGAAGATCATTGGAACTAACTAGTAATGACTCAAGTGTTACTACATGATCTAGTCATGATTTGTGCAAACGTATCACTTTATAATACGAATCCAAATAATTAGTAATTCCCACAGAAGTATCTAGTAACACTTTCATCTGTGAGCTATTTCTTACTACTTCGTTAATAAGAGTTTCTTTTAGTTAATAGTAGTTACTAGATTGTTAATAAACTAGTCCTCTGGGAAGTATTAAAAAATAGTAGTTATTGATCACTTAATAGTGAACTACCACTTTCATCTGTGCGCTATTACTTACTAGTTCGTTAATCAGAGTTTCTTGTTAGTTAATAATAGTTACTATTGTTAATATTGTGTTACTCATTGGTTCTTGTGTAGTTATTGATTAACGAAGGAACCGTATTCTAAAGTGTTACCCATTTTTCTTTTATGGAAATGTAATTCCTGATCGAAAACTGCCATTATTACTAGTAGAAATCTAATTCTTGATATCAATATTTTAACTACTGAAATAATTGTTGATATCAAGAACTCATTTCCTTGGAGTGAATAAAAGTCAAAACGGCTTGCCATTTTAGATAGCTTCAAGAGATGGAAAAAAGATGTTTTTAATCACCAGGGTTAGTGCGTCCATTTCTGTATCCACTTCCTGTGCACAGGCTTTCAGATTCTCCTTCCAGCGTAAGACGTCATTGATTCTGTCACTCAGTCGCCGGCTGCTGTCATACTCTTCCCAGTTCGTCTGATCAAGTGAGAAAAAGAATTTGTTGGTTCAACTTTATTTTAAGGTGTCTTTGTCAAAGTATAATAATTGTATCCCTTAAAACTCATCTTTGATCACCAAAATTACATATTTAAGTGTTTTTTTTTCGTGCATATATGTAAGTACACCCTTGCCTCATTTAGTATAAGTTCTATGGAATTGGCCCTGCCTCCACCTGCTCACACCAGCTCAGAGATCTATATTGACGATCACATGGTTTCAAGGTGACGTCAGAAACACCAGCGATTTTAATCCGTGTCTTTGTTTCACCGCAGTTTTAAAGAGAAAATACTCAGCAGCAATGGTGTTTACTTATGAATTTGCACATGGTTTGTCTTGAAGCACATTAAAAACACTACATGGGCATATAAACAAGATTAAAACTTGATTTTCACCACAGGGGGGGCATTAATTAACTACATATACTTTCGGCATAATAAGGGTTAGGGTTTGGTTATAGGTGGTTGCTTGTAATTTAGCATAATTTACTGTTACTACCAAGTAAATGTAAGATGTGTAAAATGAACACTGTAAAATAAAGTGTTACATATGTGTTAATTAGTATTTTTAAGTTTATGTAGTGACACGTTACTATATGTAGGCCTACCAATGAAAGTAAATTATGCATAATTACAACTAACCCTAAACCAAACCCTAACTGTACCTCTATAGTAAGTGTATGTTATTAATATTAGTACTTATTTGAATGAGGACAATGTAACCATGTCACCTTAAAATAAAGTAATTTTTTGACCTGCCAAACAAATTCCCACCCTGATCTTTAATGCATTACCTTATTGGCCGTCTCATTACGCAGATCTCTTCCTGCCTGCCGTATCTCGTGTGAAATATTGCGCTTGTGCTCAGCAACATTGGAGATCTGTGTATTGCCAGTTGCCCAATCAGACACACTGTAACGCAAGCTTGGCTTCGAGCTCAGGGTGGCCATGTTTGCTGGTATCCGGTCTCATAGAAACAAAATGACAAACACAAAAGTAGTAGTTCTGGCAAACAGGAAAATGGTTTACCATCTGAATCTAAAGGTTCTGTTTGTGTTAACCGTTCTGATTGTTATTCATGCATGAAATGCATTGATAAAATCTATAGTTTAAATTACAATTATTATTATTGGACAAAATGTCAGAAATGTTTATCAAATTCACTGTTGAAAACATTTTGGTTTTACATAAACTACTTCAGACATAAATCAGGGTCAAAGCACTATGTAAAGAAACCACTATATAATGTTCACCAAATTGATAATAAAACTGGTGGTATTTCAGTGTATTTTTTATTGATTTTTATTTATTTTTACATTTTCTTTGTTTTTTGCCATGTCTTGCTCTTAAAGGCCACAGTAATACATTTATAGCCTACATATGCAGTATGTAGTATGCAGTATGTTTTGGAAACATTACTATTTTTTATGTTATTCAAAGAAGAATATTTTCAAAAGAATGATTGCTCATCATGAGCAACCCTGCATTTATTTGATCAAAAATACAGAAAAAGCAGCCTAATATTGTGAAAAAATATTAGAATTTAAAATAATTGTTTTTGAATATACTTAAGATTAATTTCGGTTATGCAAAGCTGAATTCATCAGCCATTACTCCAGTCTTCAGTGTCACATTTTACAAGAAGATAATAGATATAGCAGGCTATAGGCCTAATATATAATCATAATGAGCAAGCAATGGCGTGAGATTTCAAGATGTTTCCTTAAACTTCATTTCTTTTACTTTTCATGACCTCGTAATTGAGAGACTGTTGAATATTTGAACTTTTTAAAGATCGAACTGTCACACGGCAAAATAAAAAGTTATGTGACATTTCACTTTGTGACTTACCGAGACGGATGAAACTTTCAGAAGTGTTGTTTGCCTGCTGTGAGTGAAGAGACACAGTAAGCGGGTCTCCTGGTAACGGGGCGACGCAACCGCAGCTCCCTCAATAATTTAAATAGCATAGTAACGCTCAACAATTACTCACTCATTGAGACAGTGTCATCATATGACCGTGACATACTCTACGACCACTAGTCTCAGGTATTGCAAGTAATAGGCTACGTGCTTTTCCTGAATCGCAAATAGAACCGAATAGCAGGTGACGAGGTCCGACGTGAACGTCGTAGAACAGCGAAAAAACCCCATTAAGAACATTATAAAACGGCGTGCCAAGTCGTCACCCAAAACATCGTTTGCATTTTTTCAATAAATAAATAAAGTATTTTTTTTTTTAAATAGTCAGAAACATGTTTGCCCTGAATGGAGAAAAAAACATGAAGCAAATGGCTCAGTCAGTTTTATTTCATACAAATATTTTAGCTATATATTTTGTACAGGTTGAGGTTGATTACTTTCAATTTCATAGGCCTATGCCAGATTTTTATCCTCTATCTGTATGTAGGCCTATAAATACTGTATATAATCATGATATATTGGTCATTTCAGTGTTTAATTAATGGAATGGATACTTCTGGCATTAAATCAGTAGTTCACTTTTTAAAAAACTTTTGCTGATAATTTACTCACCTCATGTCATCCAAGATGTCCATGTCTTTCTTTCTTCAGTCGAAAAGAAATGAAGGTTTTTGATGAAAACATTCCAGCATTTTTCTTCATATAATGCACTTTAATGGGAACCAAATGGTTCAAGGTCCAAAAGACAGATTCAGTGCAAACTGCAAATTGTTCAAAGGGCTTTAAACGATTCCAGACGATGAATAAGGGTCTTATCAAGCGAAACAATCGCTCATTTATGAAAAAAAAAAACAAAGTTTAAGTTTTATAAGCTCAAACACTCACCTTGCTCTGTTCTGTGATGTTCTCTGTTCTCGATCATCAAAATGAACAAATCTTTTTCTGAGTCAATTTGGTAATTTCGTTCGTTAAATAAACCAAATGAAGATTTGTTCATTTTGATGAACGAGTTCGAACAGGAGGGTAACAAACGTGCATCACAGAACAGAGCAAGGCAAGCGATTAAGCTTATAAAACTTAAACTTTGTTTTTTTTTTTTAAATGAGCGATCGTTTCGCTTGATAAGACCCTTATTCATCGTCTGGAATCGTTTAAAGCCCTTTGAACAGTTTGCACTGAAACTATCTTTTGGACCTTGAACCGTTTGGTTCCCATTAAAGTGTATTATATGGAGATAAATCCTGGAATGTTTTCATCAAAAATCTTCATTTCTTTTCGACTGAAGAAAGAAAGACATGGACATCTTGGATGACATGGGGTGAGTAAATTATCAGCAAAAGTTTTTTTTTTAAAGTGAACTACTCCTTTAATTGGTTTACTCTCTGTCTGTTCTCTCTTTGTGTTCCATTAGTGAATATGAATTAAGAGTAGCCTACATAGTTATAGCATATATTTATCATGGTTGCAGTCACATTAATGAAAGAAAGTTTTCATAGATAGTCCATCTCTGCTGTTTCAAGATGTTTTGTGATGTGGTCCAGGATATATTTTTCATTTGCTGCTTCTTTCAAGTAAAAGTGAGATCCAGGAAGCATCTGCACAGTGAAGTCCCCACTCGTCATGTTCTTCCAAGCTATAAAGCGAAAGACAATACAAAACTTACATATAAATCTAAAATCAAACCCATGCATGATGTTGCAGAATTGTTTTAGTTTGTAAAAAAAACCTGAACCACTCGCCTTGTAAGTCATGGGGTACATCATCTTTTCCGTCAAAGCATGATACTCGACATGATAAGAAAGGTGTTGATGGTCTGCTGCACCTGCCGAACATATTTTATAATATAAAGATGTAAGTTCTTATGCCACATATGCTGATGTTTTTTACACAAGGAAATACTTTGTCTGTTTCTTCTCAAAAACCCACCTATAGTTGTCCAATATACCGATGTCTGCTTTCAGTGCAGGCAAGAAGAGTTTGGCAAGCTCAGCATTGGCCAGTATCTCTGGTGGTGTGCCTCCAATGGAAGATACCCATATAAGAAAGTCTTGATCTGACAAATCACTTCTTTTTGGTGCCTGCAGTCTTGTCTCAGACTTACACAAAATGTCATTTTATTACATAAAAATACATTTAGATACATTTATACATACAAGTATATTTTTTTAATAAAGAAAGAAATGAAAATATCAATCGAATACATTAACCACTCAATGTAATGTAACAGTTTTATGAAATCTGTTCATTTTGGGATTTTTGAAGATACTGTGTATTTCTGGGGTGATCATGCTTTTTTTTTCACGTGGCAAATGGTTCTGGCTGTTTTCTCATAATTCCATTCATATTTGACAGATATGACAATACAGATCAAATCTCACTTACATATGGTGCAGAAGCTCCAGAGAGAAACAAGTGAATCGGCTCAAGATTGTGGACTTTCTTTACATGCTCGGCAAAGGCAAAGCAGGTCATAGCTCCAAAACTACAAAAAAAAAAAATATATATATATATATATATATTTGCATTATTATGCTGTCACTGTCCTGGCCCTACACATCAGGATCAGGACATTACAAACTTTTTAAAACCTGTCACAATTTCCTGTATAGCTTAGCAACAGTCTCACATACCTATGTCCGAAGAGTGCAAATGGCTTTTCTTTGAGTTGTGGAAGTATCACACCAATGACCTCATCAATGATTTCCTGCATATTTTGGAAAAATGGTTCTTTGGTTCTCCCTTCTCTTCCTGGCAGTCTAACTGAGTATACTGAAAATATATGAACACTTCAAATAAATTAGGTTAAAGGGATAGTTCACCCAAAAATGCAAATTCTGTCATCATTTACTCACCCTAATGTTGATCCAAACCCCGTAAGACTTGCATTCATCTTGAGTTCATCAAATGAAGATATTTAAATTGTCTTTAAGCCTTTAATTTAAGCGTTTATTCACATATAAACATTGATCAGCGAACATAAGCAGAAGCTCAACCGAAACCTGATGACGTGCGAGAACAAACCTCATTGGTTCTCGCAGAAGGTCAAACGTGCTGTGTAACGCGAGAATGAACCTCATTGGTTCTCGCATGTCAAGCGAACATGCTTGAGCTTCTGTTTATAACAACTGATGTGTGAGTTGATGAATGCTTATATGTGAATCAAAGCACTCAGATTTCATTACAAATATCTTCATTTGTGTTCAAAAGATGAACAATAGTCTTAAGGGTTTGGAACGACATGAGTTGTTCTTACTGATGTGACAGAGTAAATGATGACAGAATGTACATTTTTGGGTGAACTAACCATTTAAAAAATTAAATGTATTACGTATATATATATATATATATATATATATATATATATATATATATATAGCGGGTCTGATGGGCCAAAGATAGGTATCAGCTGATAAAAGCAATTATTTCAACTTTCACTGTATTTAAAAACAGCCAATAATCAGGGCCGAATATATCCTGTTAATCAAAAGGGGTCTCATTCTGTGTGTGAAGAAGTGTGCCTTGTGTTGAAATTAGGGCTGTCGAAGTTAACATGACAATATTAGCGCATTAACAGTTAAAAACATTGACATTAAAGGGTTAGTTCATCCAAAAATAAAAATTATATTATTATTTACTCACTCTCATATTGTTCCAAGACTTTCATTCATCTTCATAACACAAATGAAATTTGAATGAAATCCGAGAAATGCTTGAGCTTCCGTTTACCATTACAGATGTATGTGTTGATGAATGTTTATATGTAAATATAAAAGCTTAAATTAAATATATTAATCATATAAAGCGGTCGTGTCTATTCAGAAAATTTGGAGTAAACCACTCAATATATATCGATTCGTTTTACGATCTCTTTATGAACTTTTGAAGCGCCACATTGGTAGTTGCGTAGACTATCAATGGAGGGACAGAAAGCTCTCAGATTTCATTAAAAAAATACCTTCATTTGTCTTACGAACATAAACAAAAGTCTTTTTTTAACGAGAGGGTGAGTAACTGAAAGAATTTAATTTTTTGGTGAACTAACCCTTTAAAGCAGGCTCCAATGTTTAGGCCAGGGTTGCCAGGTCCGCTGTTTTTCCCTATAAAACATTATTTGTAGCCTGTCTCTCATTTTATAATCGCATGATTATACTTCTAAAGTAATTCTGATAAGAAACAAAGTCTCAGCTTTCAAATGATGTCCAATTTTATCACGAAATTCAAACAACAAATTGCGTTTTGACGTGACTGATCTGTAGCTTCCACTTCCTCCACTAATCTGCTTGAGTTAAAGCACAAAAGAAGATGCAAGGCCCTATGTTTTTTGCTTTGTTTAACCTCACGAAAGTTATCCAATGTTCAAAGTGAAATTGTGTATTACTGCATCTATATATTCATCTTTACCTTCAATAGAGCTGTTGAGAGCTTTGGCCCAGCGAGCATAGTGGATCGAGCCTCCACCTGCCCAGGGAAAACAGATGAGACGGACAGAAGCATCTGGGCACTTGTTGAAACAAGTAATGATTTTATCCATCCCTCTGAAACCTTAAGAATAACATTAAGAATAATGAATCCTATGCAAACTGTCAATATATAAAATACCTATAAATATTATGTCTGTCTGATCAGTATAACTGATGGCAAATACGGAAGATGAACAAAAAACATAAAAAAGTTATTGACCAAGAACTGACCCTAAATTACACTTGTTTTTTTACCTGAAGAAAACATTTTATTACATAAAGTTTGAGTTGAGTAGGCTACTGATCTCAATACTAGCTGTATTTAGACTACATATTTCGATATGTAGCCATTGTTTTGTTCCCACATGATGTAATCTTTCATAATTGAATGAATGCCTCTTTATTTTATAGATCATAGACAAAATAATTAATTTACTGTTCTCACGTTTACAGTGCGGAACACATCCCAGTTCGATCTTCTTCACTGGTAATGACATGCATGCTAAGCACACTGCTGCCATCTGTAGACCAAAGTTTTTTGTAAACTGATATAAAAATATATAATTAAACATGAACAAAATAAAAATATAAGATTACCACAATGATTAACACTAAATGTGAAAATAAATAAGTTTTTTTTTTCATTTTATAACATACCTTGAAACTTAACACTTCAAAAATGGACATTAAATAAATGCATTACATATATATATATATATATATATATATATATATATATATATATATATATATATATTCTTTCTTTACAATAATAAAAAAACTTTTTATAGATAACAATAAAATGCAGATCAAATAAATGCCATTATCTAGGAAGTGACGGCATTTCCTGCGTTTGGTATTTCCTGTGGGTCTCCCTGATTCATTGTTGCCATGTCTGCGCCTTTTAATGTCACGTTGTGCTTGTTGCTTCACAAACTCGCTTGAGTCGCTTATTAGAATGAGAGATTAGGGTTTGTTGTCTTATTTCCATAACATACTTAAAACCATAACATAAAACACAAACAAGCTTATTGCGGCTGATTTTGGCGAGGCAAGTCGCTTATTCCGAGTTGATTTTATCAGGCCAGCTTGCTAGTTTTCGTAGCGATCTGGCAACATAGCCTTGACTGTACTGAGATGGTAAACCCAACCAAGGCAAACCGGTAACACGGAGTCGATGAGACGTCAACGACCGCTGGCAAACTCGGTCTAAAGCGACTGGAATAAAAGACACAATTTCGACTCAGTGAGGGATATTAAGCTATAAGCCTCATATATGTGTGTTTGTCGTTAAATTATAAGAGATTGTTCACTTTACAAGACACAGAGCGAAGGGTTCGAGGCTCCTGGCAAACTCTGTTTTCGCGACGGCTGTTACAAATATTTTCTTTGGAGTCTTGTCAGCTTGTAACATTTACGGATCTGCGACACTCGGTTGGAGACACGGGGGGAGTTCGTGACTTTTGGTTGATTGACTCGTACTGGTTGGGTGGACCTCAGACCAGAGCACAGCCTCCGAGCGGCCCGCTTCAACACCCGCAGTAGGAGTTGGGTTGTAGGTCGATTTACGGAGGATATTCAGCGGCTTAAAACAAACACCCTTCACCCGGCATTTGATCCCCTGGAGCCGGCTAGAATCCGGACAGAGACCTCATGAATGGAAATCGGAACTACAGGTAAATTACGTCGCTCTTGTGCTTTTCATACCGATTTGTCGATTCCGTACTCGGTGTAATTTTGTTAACGTTACGTCCACCGTCAGTACAACACACATTCATTGCTTAGCAAAAGTTCTTGGTCAATGACTAACTGCTTTTCCAGATATGAATAAGCATTTACTGTAGCCAGTTTCTGAGTTTCTACTCAGTTACGTTTGGGCGTAGCAACCACATTTGTATGAGAGTTTGATTAGGTTTTTTTTTTTTTTTTTGTATCATATGCAGTGTGTGGAAGATCCTCCTGACTCACTTGCTCTGCTGACGTCACACAATTGTGGCCCAGCTGTCACGCACACGCACAGGTGCTGCGTTCGTCAGGTGCCGGGGGGAGGGGCGAGGGGCGTGTTTGTGGAGCAGGGGGAGGGGCATGTTTCTGATTGACCGTTGCCATAGCGACTGTCATTGAATCACCGATTTTCTGCTATCAATCTGAACGATCTCATTTAGGATTTTGAATTTTGGAAGTCGTTCTGTATTTAATAGCCTAAGTAAAATGTATTTTTGATAGATTTCTCATAATGTATAGTGCAAAAACTGTAGACTATGTATTTGGGACGTGTGGGGTTACATTTTATTAGTCCGTTGGAATATATATGGAAATTCAAAAAAAAAAAGTTAGTTTTTATTTTTTTATAATTTTTTTTTATAAAGTCTTTCATTGTCGACTACTGTGTGCAGGGAGGACCAAATAACAATTTGGCTTGTGCAAGATAAGTGCATATAGTTATGTATCTTATTTGTTTTATTATATGTTCTTATTGTAAAGCACTTTGTAATATTTTTTTGAAAGGAGCTATATAAATATAATTAAATAGATAAATATAAGACCCTATAGAAATTATTTTCCCCAAGTCACTTTAAAAAAAATAAAAATAACCAGGACCTTGTCTTGACTGATATAGAGTGCAACAACTTTAATTTGTTGTGCTTTTCTCCCACAAGTATTTTTTTCATAAAGGTTTCCCATTAGGATGTTACAAAATTATGCCACATGGACCAAGTCTATCAGTTATGATCACAACACTACAAACTTTGTTTTGAAGCAAAAAAATAATAGAAAATCAGACAAAAAGACAAAGGTACGTACAAGACTTGTTTACATTTTTAGTTGGGGAAATAACTACAATCCCATGATGCATTGCGAACAGCATAATCAGTTTGAAAATAGGGATATAAAACGGCTTAGTTAAAAATGTTATATGTATAAAAACAATATATTTTACATTTATTGCAATATAAATATATATATATATATATAGTGTTTTCTTTCACAGTGCTTGCTTTTTTCGACGCTCTGATTGGTGTAATTTTCTGTACAACATCATGGGTAATTCCACTTAAACATGATTATTCATTTTTTTGTAAGCTGACATGATGTGTGCTGACAGAAGCAAATACCACGTTTTTAAAAAAAATTTTTTTAAGTTATTGTTCAAAATCAATTTCCATATGGGAAAAAAGTGAATGGAGTTTCTACTTCCAGAACCCAATAGTTGCACTCTATAGAAGGATGGGCTGTTTGCACTGATCTATTTAAATTATTAAACCATTTACATAGATCAGTGGTTTTCACCTGCAAAGGTAACCATAGCAATGGTACTGCTTGAGTGCTTATCAAATTATTATTTATGACTTCATTATAATAAACAAATATTGTAAGAAACGTTAGTGCTTTAACATAGTTGACGTTTGGTTGACTGTGCGAAGGGCACCAAATAACAATTTGGCTTGTGCAAGATGAAATCAGAAAAGTCAAGTGTCATTGGCAAGTCATTGTAAAATGTCAACACAGTGTATGAAGATTTTTAAAATTGCATTACTAAATCTAAAGGTATTTTACACAAAGACGCACTGAAAATTGAAAATTTCAATTAGAAATTGCATAAATAAGCTAGCAATTAAGGACAATAAAGGGATAGTTCACCCAAGGATGGAAATTAGCCCATGATTTACTCACACTGAAGCCATCCTAGGTGTATATGACATTCTTCTTTCAGACGAATAAAATCAGGGTAAAAAAAAAAAACCTCTTGGCTTTATAATGGGAGTGAATGGGTTTATGTCTTTGGAAGTCCATCAAAGCGCCAACATCTATGATTAAAGTGCTCTACCCCTCTCCGGGGGTTAATAAAGGCCTTCTGAAGTGAAGTGAAGCCAAGACGATGCGTTTTTGTAAGGAAAAATATCCATATTTAAAACTTTATCGACTAAAATAACTAGCTTCTGGCAGACGGCCGTTCGCACGCCAAACGTCTGAAAGAAGAATGTCATATACACCTAGGATGACTTCAGGGTGAGTAAATCATGGATCAATTTAAAATTTGGGGGTAAACTATCCCTTTAATCAATACTGACGATATAACAATGGCCAAATATTACTTATTTAGACATGTTTGAGAATAAAGCTATACGTTCACACTGCGAGCCTTGGGGCTCAACTCTGATTGATTGCTCAGATCTGATTTTCTTGTAGCTGTTCACCTTAGCTGTCTACGCTATCTCACGACCAATTCGTACGAGTGATTCAAAAGTGGCTAATTCGTACTAATTCATACGACCTCACTCGTACAAATTTGTACGATTTGTCTAAACCCACGTGACGGTTATGTTTAGGGGCGGGGTCAGGGATAGGTCATTCGTACGAATTCATACGAATTGGCTAATTTCGTAAAATATGTACGATTTAGCAAAATCGTACTAATTCGTACGAGTGAGGTCGTACGAATTGTTACGAATTAGCCACCTCGTAAAATTCGTACGAATTCCCGTGAGATCAGGTTGGTTTCCACTGTCGGCTGAGCACTGAGCGTGCTAGTGTGTGCCAGGGCCAATCGCATTTTCACTTTCTCTTCTTGGGCTTGATCAAGCCTCATTAGGCCTTCCTTGGGGCCAATGGGCTGGGAGTTTTGTCCCGCTGAATACCTTGGTCCAAAGTGGCCCAACTTGGGCTTGAGGAGTGATCAGAAACAAAGGTTAAATTTATCTGAGTCAGGAGGATTCATGTTATTAAATCATGTATCAGGCAACCACCAGCTAACTTCAACATGTGGGCAATATCAGATGATGATATAACAAATGTGGCTAATATCAGATAGATTCCAGTGTGAACAGAACATGGTCCTAGACTGACCTCATCTGTAAAATTATGATAAAAAGACGTCACACAGCACGCAGTCATATGAAAATAATCACACATTAAATAAGCAATTACTCATTTGTTTAAAGCGAGATTTGCCACTGAAGCCAGGGAATACATTCACAGGCAATAAAAAACTGACGGGGATGTGAAAAAAAACATTTTGAAACATTTATTGTGATACGTGCCCTCGTGTTTTGCTTTCATGGAGTTGTCACTGTAATAGTAATGAGTTCTGACACATCACTCACTACCTTTCGCAATTTTCTTGAGAACTTTTGGTATGTAAAATATTTGAAGTGACTCATGAGCGCAGAATTGTGGTGAATGATGATGAATTGTGCATGAACTCTGATTTGACTGTTCAGACTGAGGTCGCATTGCAAAACGACTGACCTGTACTGGATTTAGGACACATGTTGAGGTGGCCCAAATCAGAATAGAAAAGCTCAGAATCCATGTCTTTCGTGCTGTTCACACGAGCAAAGAAAATTGGTGCCACATTTACCTGCAGTCTGAACGTAGCCTAACTGGCCCGGCGGATATATCAGTCTGGTTCACTTCATTGGTATTTAAGATGACACAACTTAAATTAAAGTTTTGTTTTTCAACATGTTTTAAGTTTTAAAAGCTTTATTTGTAAAATTACTCTTGATTATTTCGTTTTTGTATATGTTGTCGAATATGGTCTTATGACTTTGAGAAATGAATTAATGGCTATTTGAGTGAGTGACTTGACTTCTCTAGTTGAGTACCAGCATGTCACAGAATTCATTTGACACTTATGCAAGTTCATGCAGACATTGGTGAAAAACTAAATATTAAAGTCTCGATTAAAGCATTGATTGGGATTATGGGCCGTTCACGTTTTTTCCATTCCACTGTGCTACTTTTCTATTGTTTTTCTTTGTAAACATTCTAGACTGACTTGTTTAGCCATTGCACACTTTTGCAGCGTCTCACACATCGAAAATATGCATTTCTTTTTTTCCCCATTTCCACTGCACACGTCTTGTGTATTTGCTTTGAAAGTCTTTGCTTTCTGTGTGAACCGGCCCTAACTCCTGAGCGCCTAATTACATTTGGGTATCATAAGGTAAGATGCTGATTTTTGTGCTGCCAGGTAGTCAAATATGCAGTGTTTTTAAAGGGATAGTTCACTTTGAAATTAATTTTTGATATGTTTTAGCTTACCTCAAGGGCATCCAAGATGTAGGTGTCTTTGTTTCCACAGTATTTTCAATTTTGACATTTTTCAGTCAAACCGTTGTTGTCTATCACTCATACACTGGAGGCTAAGGGGGTCCACAAAAAAGCATGCACAGAGAAGTCAAAATTAAACATGATTTAATGACTCATAAATGTAAGTACACATTGATGGCCTAAGACACGAAACGAGCGGTTTGTGTGAGAAAACGAACACTATTTATATCGTTTTACCTCTTGTAATCATAGCCATGACAAAATGATCTGACGGCACGGGCGCTTCGGTCTGCGCATGCGCCGGAAGTGATCGCTTTCGCGCCTACGTCACTCTTTGTTTATACAGAGATTTCAAAAGTTTTACCTTTCACTAAACATATTTAGATATACAGGAAACTAGGGCTGTCGCGGTAACCGCAATATTGCAGTACCGCGCTTCTGACAAGTCAACCGCAGAGGATTGCACGTAACCGCAGCAACCGCGATATTCACGTTTTTTTTATAAGGCTTCTTCTTGTTTTGAACTTCATGCATGTGTATTGAATGTTAAACAAGTTCATAATGATAACAACAAGACTGTTTATCTTGGTGATGTGTAGCCTACAGAGGCTTCACACAGACAGTGAATGAGAGAGATCTGCAGAGCGCGTGCGATTACCTGCGCCTGTATATGAAGTCGTGAAAAGGTTCCCGTGTCAAAGGAAAGCGAAATATTTGTCGTATCATCATTTTAACCTTCACGTCACGGGTATTTTAATGCGCGTCAGCAGCAGCGCTGGTCAACATCCCACAGCACAAGGAAGCTGCGGAAAATAATATCACCGAGTCACGCATTGAATCAATGCCATATTGGTCTCTAATAAGTGAAGCATCAGCTTCCGCGTTACCCATGCGACGCATTGCTGATCAGCTGAGCCTTGAAAAGTGGAACTCAAAGTTAAAAATAATTAACATCTTGTTTCATTAACGTTACATCTCTTTTAACGAATCAGCTTCTTTGAACGTGTTCGTTGAATGAACGGTTCAAAGTCCGTTGTCATAACAATATGCGCGCTGAGTGAAGTGAAAGCCTTTCAATCATGCTTTCAATGCGCATATAGACGCTGTTTAGTTTCGGTTATTGGTTAAATGACCTCGTTTTTGTCCATATCGTAAACTTTATTTATATAGCAACAAATACTTATAAATTAAATAAATAAATAAATGGCGGTAATACCGCATATCGCGCTATTGAGCCACTCAACATTACCGCAAGGGAAATTCCATAACCGCGACAGCCCTACAGGAAACCGCAATGGAAGACTATTTCGGTATATCTAAATATGTTTAGGTAAAACTTCCGAAATCTCAGTGTAAATATTGAGTGACGTCACACGCAAGCGAATCCCTTCCGGCGTAACATTGAACTGATTCAGTTCGGTTCAGTTGGGCAGTGCACAACTGATTCAGATCACTTGGACGTCACTGTGATTACACGAGGTAAAAACGATATAAATACTGTTCGTTTTCTCACAAAAACCGCTTGTTTCGTGTCTTAGGCCATCAATGTGTACTTTCATTTACGAGTCATTAAATCATGTTTAATTTTGACTTCTCTGTGCATGCTCTTTGGTGGACCCCCTTAGCCTCCAGTGTATAGACATAGATAGACATTAACGGTTTGACTGAAAAATATCAAAATTAAAAATACTGTGGAAACAAAGACACCTACATCTTGGATGCCCTTGAGGTAAGCTAAAACATATCAAAAATTAATTTCAAAGTGAACTATCCCTTTAACATTTATTTAATTCTGAGCATTCTCAAGTAACTCTGTCCTCGTTCATTTGAATGCTCATTCCCTCTGTGTTGTCTGTAATGAATTTGTTTAAAATCCACCACCCTGCAATATCAATCCCTGACCCCCAGTACCCCCCTGATAAAATATGTTCCCTCGGCTATGTCAGTCTGTCATTAATAAAAGCTTATTTGCTCTCTAGTGCAAAACTGTCTGACTGAACAGTAACAGACAACTTTAATTTTTTTTTTTGCTTGACTAGCTTTGAGCAATTAAATGATGAGAAAGGAGATGTCTCATTCTCGGAATGAGTGAAACCCCTGTTGTAAATGTGCCAGTCCCCCATTTGCCAGTAAAGTGAGTGTTACACTCCAAGCAACACAATAGGCTGTCAAACTCAGCTGAATGTATTACCACATCACTGTCAAACATGCAGTTCCTCTTAGTCTATGTCGTCAAGAAACTCCTATATTTACCACACACTCTCAGGGATTTCAACTAAAGTGAGAAAAAGACTGTGAACAGTACAATCAACTCTTTCATGGTCAGATTTGTGCACAATCGTTGATGCGTGACCTTTGAGATCAATTGGTCCTGTGCCTATATATAGAAACAGCTGTTTTTCCTTTAATTGGTTGTAAGTGTAGACATGGTTGCCATGGCGAAAAGAAGCCACATGAGTGCAACCGGCATGGCAACGGCACACTGGGATGTGTAAGAAGCGGTTGTAGTCGAATTCCCCTTCCACACCTCTCAGTTACAGTTTTGTTCTGTTAACTTACCCCCCTCTAAAGCATCTGTTCAACAGCAGTAACAGTTTCGCCTACTGTTACAACACAATGTCCCTCTTAGGGTTGTCAAACAGTACTACTTCTACAAAAAAAGTAGACCGTACGAGTACCGTGTATAGACACTAAACTAATGATAGACACTAGACGTGTCGATATACAGTTAAATATCGCGATAATGAACATATACGTTATTGTTAAATGATAAATGGACTGCATTTATGGCCATCAAAGCGCTTTACTTTTTTGTCTCACAATCACACATTCACTCATTCATACACCGACGGCAGTGTCAGCCATACAAGGCGCCATCCAGTTCAAATGAACATTTTGGTGTTCAACTTTGCGTTTTTAAAAAATACAACAACCGTTCATTTTTCGTTTTCCAATTAGACCTACGGATTAAATAAGGAGAAACGAATGAACACAAAAGCACACTGACCGTTTGGACATAATACGAGGCATAGTATTATGGAAACGCCGCCATTTCACAATATTTTTTTATCGACATTCAGAAAAAAAAAATCACAAAAGTTTTGTGCAAATATGTATTGACGCCACTTAACAAAGCAAAAAGTTTTCACTCGGTTATGCAATTTTAATTGAAGGGGATATTAATGAAAGTGAAGCAAGTTGCAACACAACTGACGCTGGCGGGTCACATGATAGTAACTACATGATGGATGTAGTACATCCTAATTTCATTCATACTACCCATATTCATGCTATATAGAGCACACTTTATTTTACGGGCGTGAAGTAAAATCAAATGTATCTACTCAGAGTGCAGCGTCTGTTTCTAAACACTATTTAAATGTTTCAAACAACCATCCAGTTTTTTTTTTTTTTTTTGGTTTGTTTTTTTTTTTGCTATGGTTTTCCAAAAAATACTTAAAGGTGCTGTATGCGATTTTTAGCTACCTCTAGCGGTGATGTTTCAGAATGCAACAAGAGCGCTCGGCAAGAGGCAGGACGTTTTGGGCTGTTATCAGACTCCATGTCGTCAGCTGAAGTGCCGTTGGTCGCATGGTTGACTGTATAGAGACTGGATAGAGACATGGTTGACTGTATAGAGACTGGATAGAGACATGGTTGACTGTATAGAGAGGCTCGGGAGCGCGCATGCACGTCACATATGATGGATTTCGCAGGAAATCCGACCGGTAGACCTCACTTATAAATATGAATATTGGCCTTCAGAGGACAGAGGTAATAGCAAAACCCGAAAAGTGGATCATTGCAATGTGTGATTACAACCCCTTCAAACACAGGCAATAAAAAAAGGATTCATTTTATAAAACATTTAGAACCTTTAAATACTTAGCCTAACACTTTCCCTGCCATTGACAAGTTATTTCGTCTTTTATGAGAAAGGATTTCCCAGCCAAAGACAAGTTTTTACAGCTTTCTGTGTTTTGTTAAAACACTTGAGGGGCACAGCCAACTTTTTTTTTTAAATGCTGGTGGGGAAAGAGTTAAACTTAGTAGGCTATTTGCATTATAATCTGGACTAAAACATGCCATAGATATTTACAGAAAATATATGGGGTTTTTTTTGTTTGTTTTTTTTGTTTGTTTGTTTTTTTTTTTCCAGTATGACTTTTCATTAAGGTTTCATTTAGTTAACGAAAATTAATCAGTTAACTAACTTTTTTAAATAAATGTTTTTTTATCTTAGTTAAAGGAACAGTATATAAGTTTAGTCGCTAGAAGTCGCTTATTGATATTGATAACGCTGTGAATGAATGTGGAATCATGGGTGTTGTCGTCTTCACCTTCACAGCCAATAGAAAGCAATCCGACGGCACTTCGAGTTCTTGGATGAGCTAATATATTAAACTTTTATTAACGTTACTGTGGTATAAAGCAGGATGGGGCTGAGAGTCTGGGGCTAATATGCCACAGTTTGCTGCTGCCGCTCCATCGATTTTGTTGTTTATGCTTATTTTACAATTAAAGTTACGATTAAGTTATGTTTAACATTCGCCACCTCCTTCCTTGAAGTTGTATTTTGTTGTTACAGTTACATTTGATTGTATAAATGTGTTGTTTTTGGGAAATGTTAAAATGCAGAAATTTTTCTGTGGTGGGTAAAGTTAGTGTAGGGGTATAGAATATAGTTTGTACAGTATAAAAATCATTATATCTATGGAATGTCCCCATGAAACATGAAAACAATGTTTATGAGTGTGTGTGAGTGCAGTCAAGTCACACACTAATGGCAATTATTTTATTTCTGTCTCATCATTTGATTACAAATGGTGATTCTGCCAAATCAGTATTAATTGGTTCATTTTGTGGATTTAAAACCGCAGCAGGTTTATAAAAAAAAAAAAATGAAAAAATGTACACGTTTGCTTTCAAAAAATGTGTTTTATTTAATAAATATCTGTAAAGGTCGATTTCTTTGGACATCTTAGCCAACTGTGAATTTATTTGTTCTGCAGGTCTAATGGTATGTAGAAAAAGGTGTTTGTAATCTGTAGTGTGTGTGTGTGGTGTGAGAATGCTGAGTGTTGTTTCCAATGAGTAGGCGTTTAGAATAATAACTCCGATACCACCCCCTCTTTTGAACGTCAATGTCAAGAAACGAGTGGGTGATTGCTGCGCTATTATTAATTGGATATTAATTCATTTCCATGAAATGTCAATGATGACAGATAAGAAATAACACTTGTAGGTCCATACAAAGGTTGTGGCTTGAATTTCTTGATGGTATCAGCTACATGCTTTTACACATAATTTTTTGTGGGAGCTTGTTTAGGTTTTCACTTTTATGTCAGTGGTAATAACCGATGTTGAAACTCTTAGTAATCTAATAAGTTTTGAGAACTCGTATTGATGGAAATCCCCTGTGATTTTCTTGACAGGAGCCGTTGGGGCTGCGCCCCTGTTCTCCGTTCCTCGGAGGCCAGGCTATGGCACCATGGGGAAGCCCATCAAGCTGCTGGCCAACTGCTTCCAGGTGGACATCCCCAAGATGGACGTCTACCTGTACGAGGTGGACATCAATCCAGAAAAGTGTCCACGGCGTGTTAACAGGTGCCAAATACTGAGAATATATCATTTGAAATTGTTTGCAACACTTATTTATTTTACAAACAGCATATTTACAACTAAGAGACTCGTGAATTAGTCAGTATACAGTCAAATTAAAAACTGGTTTTATTTCTGTAATGTCTTCTAGGGAGGTGGTGGATACCATGGTTCAGCACTTCAAGGTGACAATTTTTGGAGACAGAAGACCTGTCTATGATGGCAAGAAAAGCCTCTACACCGCCCAGCCGTTACCAGTGGCCTCCGGGGGGGTAAGACACATAAATGGCCCCATAAATAGTAGGGATGTCCCGATCCGATACTCGGGATCGGTATCGGCTCCGATCCAGCCATTTTTGCGGGATCGGGTATCGATCAGACGAGGCCGATCCAAATCCGATATTTTGCATTTACAATTATGTTATTGTTAAGCCCCACAGAAGGCACAAAAACATTCTAAAGAACCATAACATTTTCGTGCACTCTATTAAATTAATTTTTAAGTCATTAAATTCAAGATCACATAAACTTTTCCCTCTCGCGGCTGTCAGTCATTCTCCATTCAGCACTCAAACAGCGTGTCGCGTTGGGTTACAGTCAATGATGAAACTAAGATGATTCAATGTGAATACTATTATACTTTATCTGTAGATAAAGGTCTATGTTTTCGCATAAAACAACATTATCTTGCTGGACTTTATTGCTGTAACTTAATCGTGTTACTTTCTGCCAGGTGTCGAACGCTGTCGGTTAGATCACAACACTAGAGTCACTCAGCACTATTGTTCTTCACGCGCACAGTAACTGAAATTTAAAACAGTTTAAAGAAAAGGTTCAATAAACTATTGTATAGATAGATACTGTTTAATACACTGTCCATCAATATGTATTTCCTTTATGCTTTGAACTTTTCAAAGCGGACTCGACGTGCAGCATGCATAGGGTGCATACTCGGCTGCGTGCTGCTGTAACTCCACGTGGTTTCAAGCGCATCATTCTGCGCTCGGAATGCGCATAAGCGCTTTGCGCCGCACTGTGTTGGAGTCATTCATATCATAATGCAGTGATGCAATTAAAGCTTATTAACATTAAGAATTATTAATGTTGCTGCCTCATTAAATAGCTGTGCTATACACTTAAAACATGTCAATTTTTAGTAGCCTTGGCTATATCTAAAATAATTATCTTTTTCATTTTTGTTATATTGTTTTTCATGAATGTATTTTACAAGAATACAAAGAGCAATATGTATTATTCACTAATCTAGTTTATAATAGCATTTTTTTTTATCATAGATTATGATCATATATTTTGGGGATTTGTTGTTTATCTTTATAATGAAGCTGTCTGTAAGTAGATTGTGGATTGTGTTTAACACACACAAGAGTGATAATCGGTTTAATACATTATAGAAATTCTACTTACTTTAAAAAAACTGTACTGGTATTTAAAATGTACAATACTGCTGTTTAAATTGTTTTAACTTTAAACCTGTTGGTAGCTAGCTAGCTTTAACTTTAAGTACTGAAGTACCTGCATTTTCTTATATATATATATATATATATATTTATATATACACATACATATATTGTAGTGTTTGAATAAAGGGTGGGTTGTGAACTATATACTGGAGGTATATTTTAAGGGGCTAATTGAGAAAATTGCCATATGTTTTATTAGTTTAAAAATAAAATAAAAATATCAGATTAATATCGGTATCGGCAAAAGCCAAAGCTGCGGCATCGGTATCGGAAGTGAAAAAGTGGTATCGGGACATCCCTAATAAATAGATACCAGGGTTGGTGGGAAATAACTTGCGTCTTGATTAAATGTGTGTTCATTATGATATTCCTCTTATCAGACATAATGTAGTTTTTCCCCCTAATGTTTATAAAAGCTACTTGAATGTCTTAAAGGGTTAGTTCACTCAAAAATGAAAATTCTGTCATTAAAGGAGTAGTTCACTTTTGAAAAAATGTTGCTGATAATTTACTCACCCCCTTGTCATCCAAGATGTCCATGTCTTTCTTTCTTCAGTCGAAAAGAAATTAAGCTTTTTGATGAAAACATTCCAGCATTTTTCTCCATATAATGCACTTCAGTGGGAACCAAACGGTTCGAGGTCCAAAAGACAATTTCAGTATAAACTGCAAACTGTTCAAAGGGCTTTAAACGATTCCAAACTATGAATAAGCGTCTTATCAAGCGACACGATCGCTAATTTAAATTGCTCGCCTTGCATCAAAATGAACGAATCTTTTTCCGAGTCATTTGGTTCATTCAATGAACGAAACGAATGAATTAACTCGGAAAATGATTCATTCGTTTTGATGAACGAGTTCGAACAGGAGAGTCACGAACGTGCATTGCAGTACAGAGCAAGGCGAGCATTTGAGCTTATAAAACTTCAACTTTATTTTTCTTTTTTAAATGAGCGATCGTTTCGCTTGATAAGACCCTTATTCATCGTCTGGAAGCTCTTGAACAGTTTGCAGTTTGTACTGAAAGTGTCTTTTGGACCTTGAACCTTTTGGGTCCCATTAAAGTGCATTATGCTGGAATGTTTTCATCAAAAACCTTAATTTCTTTTTGACTGAAGAAAGAAAGACATGGACATCTTGGATGACATGGGGGTGAGTAAATTATCAGCAAAAGTTTTTTCAAAAGTGAACTACTCCTTTAATTACTCCTTTTATTTGTGGTCCAAAGATGAACGAAGGTCTTGCGGGTTTGGAACGACATGAGGGTGAGTAATTAATGACAGAATTTTCATTTTTGGGTGAACCCTTTAATGTAACTAAGGCCTAATCCTGGCTTAATCTAAATCCTGTCTGTGAAACCAGGCCTTTGAATATTTAACTATGGCATGCTCGTTTTAGTTTTCCTTGTGTGTCTGCTGCACTTGTTTTGTGCATGAGACGCACCACACGCACCTCAAAACTATGCACTCTAATGATTAATGCTTAATCGACCATGGTTTTATCGATGAACATCGATACGTTTTATTAATTATATTTTTATTGACAATTAATCAATCGTCAATTAACCGTTAGCAACCCCTAATGAAGACTTATGTATTTTGACCCTTTTTTTTTACAACTTAGAGGAACATCTCATACTTTTGAAGGTTTTCATGACTATATCCTGTATGGCTGGATAAAATATCAATGCAAATTTGTGAAATATCTGTAGGTGGACCTGGATGTGACCTTGCCAGGTGAAGGTGGGAAGGACAGGCTGTTCAAGGTCTCCATTAAATTCGTGTCACTGGTCAGCTGGCACATGCTGCATGAGGTCCTAACTGGGCGAAGCACGTCTGATCCACTGGAGCTGGATAAGCCAATCAGCACCAATCCCATACACGCTGTAGATGTTGTTCTGCGCCATCTGCCCTCTATGAGGTAAGAGTTCCCCATGAGTACTCTTACAGGGCTTTTAATACAATTAGAAACAAAGTGCTTATGTCTTCAGCGATGCAATGCGTACCTAGTCAAATGAGACGAGTGTTTTCTTAAGGATCAGTGTGTAGCAGTTAGATAAGGATCATTTTGGAGTGCACATGTTTGTTCTGCAGGTAACATCTGTGTTATTTGTCTTCTCTGGCTTCAGGTACACCCCAGTGGGACGGTCTTTTTTCTCCTCCCCCGAGGGCTATGATCACCCGCTGGGTGGGGGGAGGGAGGTGTGGTTTGGTTTCCACCAATCTGTGCGGCCAGCTATGTGGAAAATGATGTTGAACATTGATGGTAAGTCAGAGAAGATTATAAAAACACAGTTTTGCTTGATTTATCCAGTTACATGATCTGGATGTGGTTATTAAAGATTAAAAAGATAAATTAATGACTGCCTCTCAGCAATGTTAAGTATGTAATTTTATGTGCCATTAACAGTTTTCGAATAAAAACATTTTCCCCTATCTGTCATTGGTCCAACAAGCAGAAAGCATTGCCACTTTCAATAGCATTACAGCGTTTGCAGGGCATTTTGGGTGTATTCAACCTTCAAATGAATTATTTAATTGGTGTAACATTGACTGAGTTTTATTTTCCCCATAGTGTCTGCCACAGCTTTCTACAAAGCTCAACCTGTGATTCAGTTTATGTGTGAGGTTCTGGATATCCACAACATTGATGAGCAGCCTCGTCCTCTTACGGATTCCCACAGAGTCAAATTCACCAAAGAGATCAAAGGTTTGTGTGAACATGGTGGCAAGTTCTAGAGTTTTCTTTGTCGTATGTTGACTGATCCGCTAAAGCCATTGTCAGAACTCTATTATGAATTATAGTAGCTCTCACATTGTTAGCATTGCACTCTAATGTTAATGATTTGACTATGGGTCATACTGTAGGTTTGATTCCCAGGGAGTTCATGATATGTATAGCGTGAAGGCAATAGATGGTATGCGCGTGACATCACTGTTGGCCGGAGTGCATGTAGTTACTTGCAGTGAGTGGCAAAAAGACTGAGTGTGAATGCCTCGAAAAACAAACACAACACATATAAAGTGCGAAAGAGCTTTGCGATTGACTGTACAACTAGATTTGACAAAAAATCGGAGGTATATTTTTACAGACTGCTATAGAAAGAGGAGCAAATGGATCGCTGCAATTCACAGAAACAACTGGACTCCAGTCAGCGAAAGCTGGATTTGCAGTTATCATTTTGTGCCTCTTCTGAATTTAGGTGTAAAACCATACCCATATATTTTCTGTTGTTATACAACAACTCATCAATTAAATATTAATCATTGCATATTCTTCATTATTGGATGTTTTTTAATAAACACTGACCAAAAAAAAAACTATAAAGTTTTAGGGCTGGACGATATGATGATATAGGCTATATATAACACTGATATAAGTGGTCACCCGGATTTAGACCTACCTATATTGTATTTATATGAAGCGTAAACAGGCAAATTTGCTTTATGTTTAGGTCTATATTGCTTTTATTTCCCCGGTGTCGAATTCAGGCAAACATAAATGTCAGGCAACACGATTCCTGGCTGCATGCCAATATCCATGGATCGCTGGATCTTTAGTAAGTTGTAAGGAACACTATATTGAGTCCAACATTTAGTTTCATTGATAAAATTGATCGTTTTAGTCGCATTTTCGCAATTTCCCCTATTAAATCCAGTCACGCAGCAGATCTTTTGCCACTCAGTCAGTCTGAAGTGGGTTGTTCCGGTGGGAAAGTGACGTCAATGCATTCCCTCTATACCATTTTAAAAGTTTAGGGTCATTATGATTTTTAATTAATACTTTTATTCAGCAAGGATGCATTACATTGGTCAAAATTGACAGCAGAGGTGTAAAGTCCAGGGATCAGTAAAAGTCCTGCCATATGTTTATTCCACTCATGAATTCACTGATTTTACTAATTAGTTATATCTCCTGGCTGAAAAGCTGTGCTAATTAGCAAATCCAGGTCAATGGAACAAAATACTGAGGATATCTTTTACTTTCTGAACCTTTGACAGTAAAGACTTTTACATTGTTACAAAAAAAATCTATTTCAAATAAATGCTGTTCTTTTAAACTTGTTAAAAGGTTTTCAACATTAATAGTGAAATGTTTCTTGAGCAGCAAATTTGAATAATTTCTACAGGATAATGTGACTCTTATAAACACAATAAATTACATTTTAAAAATAAAATTTATAATTGATTGTATATATTGTAACAATATTTCACAATATTACTGATACTACTGTTGTTGTTGTTTTTTACATTAGATAAATGCAGATTTTTTTTAAAATGTTATTAATCAGTAGCTGGTTTCCATTGACATATTTTAATGCACATTTCGGGATAACATAAAAATGTTGAGTGGAAATACAAAGATGTGTAAGTGCCAGTTTTGTTCTCTTGGATACATGGGAAAGAAATGCTGCTTTATTTGCAAATTGCTCCTCAGATTTTTGCCTAAATTTAATTTTTAGAACTTGGATTTATACATGATATTCACTGTAGTGGATTTAATAGTGAAAACCCACTACTCTACTCTTAGACCTATATCAGTCTTATGCTGAGCTGTAAACTGCCCAGTTGTCTCTGTATAGTGGTGTAAATTTGATCTTCTCCTCTCATCAGGTCTAAAGGTGGAGGTCACCCACTGTGGCACCATGCGGAGGAAGTACAGGGTGTGTAATGTTACTCGACGGCCGGCCAGCCACCAGACGTAAGAGTATATGCAGCTTCGTTCATCTGTCTTATGATAATGTGAGGTTGGGTCTCTGTAAGCAGACAGGTTAATAAGTCTGTACCGTCACTACAGGAAATATTTGACTTCCGAAGAGCGAACACTTTAGAAACTGTCTCAGAATTCTTTCAATTCTGTTTAGTTAATCTTTCCAGTGCTTCATTATTTTTTTCTTTTACTTTGTCAGGTTTCCTCTACAGCTGGAAAATGGACAGACTGTAGAGAGAACAGTTGCACAATATTTCAGGGAAAAGTACAACTTACAGCTCAAGTACCCCCATCTGCCCTGTCTGCAAGTGGGGCAGGAGCAGAAACACACGTACCTGCCTTTGGAGGTAAGAGTCAAGAGATTTGATAACTTATTGTATGTTAGCAGGAACCATTTCCTTCCACACATTCATATGGCAGTCGCCATCTCTTCCCTGATTTGTGGATTTTTGAAGCATAATTTTTAGACACTTAAAGGGATAGTTCACTTTGAAATTAATTTTTGATATGTTTTAGCTTACCTCAAGGGCATCCAAGATGTAGGTGTCTTTGTTTCCGCAGTAGTTTCAATTTTTATATTTTTAAGTCAAACCGTTCTTGTCTGTCAGTCATATAATGCACGTCTATGGTCACCACTTCAAATAGCATGCACCGAGAAGTCCAAATTAAACATGATTTAATGACTCGTAAATGTAAGTACACATTGATGGCCTAAGACACGAAACAAGCGGTTTGTGTGAGAAAACGAACAGTATTTATATAGTTTTTACCTCTTGTAAGCCCCCGCACCCTCAGATGTGGTTACACAAGGTAAAAACTATATAAATACTGTTAGTTTTTCATTTCGTGTCTTAGGCCATCAATGTGCACTTACATTTACGAGTCAGTAAATCATGTTTAATTTGGACTTCTCTGTGCATGCTCTTTGAGGTGGTGACCATATACCTCCATTATATGACTGACAGACAAGAACGGTTTGACCTAAAAATATCAAAATTGAACATACTGCGAAAACAAAGACACCTACATCTTGGATGCCCTTGAGGTAAGCTAAAACATATCGAAAATTGATTTCAAAGTGAACTATCCCTTTAACGGCACCTTTAGAAGATTTTAGATGTATTGATCCTTTTTAATGGTGACCATATTGGCCATCCTCTTCATCACTCAGGTGTGCAACATTGTGGCAGGCCAGCGCTGCATTAAGAAATTAACTGACAACCAAACCTCCACCATGATCAAAGCCACGGCCCGCTCGGCACCGGACAGACAAGAGGAGATCAGCAGACTGGTGAGTTCAACACTAACACAATAAAGAAAACAGACTCCACAACATCTCTGCTAGTCTCAATGATCTAAGATCCTCAGTGGCGGAAAACCAACACCGTCACAAGGCCCGATTCTCATGTATAAATCTTTTGCTCAAACCATAGGTGCGCAGTGCCAACTACAACTCGGACCCCTTCGTGCAGGAGTTCCAGTTCCGTGTGCGGGACGAGATGGAGGAGGTGACGGGTCGCGTCCTGCCCGCCCCCATGCTGCAGTACGGCGGCAGGGTGAGCTCTGAACACTTTATGGTACCCGTCCCCTTTCACTCATGCGCCGTATGTTTGTTTGTGTTTGAGTAGAAGGCTAGAAACTTGCCATGGTTTGTGTCTAGATTTAACATTATAATTAATGTGTATGCTAATTTTGAAGGAGAGTTAATCGCCGTGCACACCAATAACATTAACTATATTAGCATCCACACCAGTGGATGATATCGTTCTCTTTACCTATTCAGATACATTGTTCTGCTTGAAATGCTCAAGCTCTTTAAAGCAGAATGGATTCTGATTGGCTGTCAATGTTTTTATCATTCAAATTGATTCCAACAATTTGTGGTGTTATTTTTATAGTTGTGTAGACTCTATTCCTTTATATTTTGAGCGATTTTTAGAACTACATCGTTATCGTCTTTGGTGTGAACGAGCCTTTAGTATCTCTGTCTGTTGTTTTCAATGCAATGAGGTTTGTTGCTCATGTTCAATTGCTTGCTTGTTCTGTTTACACATTTTTCTTTTGCATTTGGAAAATACTAATTATTTTCTCATTTTTTATGTGTGATTTTATTGTGTGTTATGTGTGATTTAATGTAAATATTGTGAATATGAGTAGCTATTTATAGGAATGTTAATATAGTATTTTTAATGTATGATTTTTGAATGGTTTTATGTAACTTATCCTCAACATTTCTGTTGTGGAACACAAAATAACAAATTCTGCTGTCAAGCAAGACTTAGAATATTGTTGTATAGACTTTTTATGATGTTATTTTGCCCTTTTTAGTGTTTGACATGCCTTTAAAAAATTACTTTCTGTTCCATAGAAGGAAATTCAAGATTCTGAGTAAACGATCATTACTTCTTTGAGCTTGAACTATATAACTTGTATGTACTAAAAATATTTTTCAGTCTAAACCAACATTTAGCAGATTTGCTTTAAAGGGATAGTTCATCATTTACTCACCCTCAAGTTGTTCCAAACCTGTGTGAAATTCTTTCTTCTGCTAAAAGACAAAAGAATATAAGTAACCGAACACTTGATGAGCACCATTGAAGAAATTCATACAGGTTTGGAACAACTTGAGGTGAACTATCACTTTAAGATCCCAAAGTTTGCCAGTGTTTATCATTATATACTGTAAAGTTAATCCAAACAAGTATATCCTATAGTACTCCTATAAAGTTTGTACACTATTTAATCTCAGTAAATTAAGACAACCTTTGTATACATGCGTTACAGAATCGTACAGTAGCCACCCCAAGCCATGGCGTGTGGGACATGAGAGGCAAGCAGTTTCACACTGGTGTGGAGATCAAGATGTGGGCCATTGCTTGCTTTGCCACTCAGAGACAATGCAGAGAGGAAGTTCTCAAGTAAAGCTTTCTCCATCTTTTGGTCATTAACAAAGCAATACTTGGAATTAAAACCGAAATACTAAAGTATCTCTCTTTTGTCTGCTTTTTTTTTTTTTTGAAGGGGCTTTACAGACCAGCTGCGGAAGATCTCTAAGGATGCAGGGATGCCCATACAAGGCCAGCCATGTTTCTGCAAATACGCTCAGGGAGCAGATAATGTGGAGCCCATGTTCCGTCACCTGAAAAACACGTACGCCGGCCTACAACTCATCATTGTCATACTGCCTGGGAAAACTCCTGTCTACGGTAACTATATATGGATGGACAGATGCAGGCCCTTTTTAATGTGCTTTTTATTTGGTCATCAACTTCCTAAAGACGTTGTGGTGGCATGAATATTTATTTGAATTTTGCCTTTTTACTGTGAATCAATATCCAACCTCTGATTCAACTATGCATTTGCGCCATTATTTAAGGGGTTGTTGGTAAAAAACAAATATTTACAGCCAGTGCTTGACATTAACTTTTTTGCTCACTAGCCATTAGCCAATGTGGCTAGTGATTTTCCAAAATTACTAGCCACACAGCACTTTAACTAGCCACATTTTTGTTGTTGGAAAATTACTTTTTATATGATTAAAGTTGACAATGGGGCTTAAAACATGCTAAAATTGACTAATATTAGCATTAGCTCTGATAAGGTTGTAAAGGTCCTTTTTTGAAAACATGTTATCTATTAAGATAAACACATAAAATAATACTTTTTTACATCAGTAAATACTGTAATACAGAGTAGAACAATTATCTGCAATAGAAATGATGAGCAAAGAATAAAGAATTTTTTCTAATAAAAAATCCACAATTAAGGCAACAGGATTACAACTTTATATAAGCCCACCACACATGAAATCCACCCGCATTTGGCGGGTGTTAGTATAAAGCCCTGTTTACAGCAAATATTTAAAATTTCTGGTTGCAAAAAAAAAATTGTTACTTTTTTTTTTTTTTTTTACTGTGATGGAAAAGTTGAGTTTTCAGCAGCCATTAATCTAGTCTTCATTGTCACATGATCCTGATTTGGTGCTCAAGAAACATTTCTTATTATTATTCTTAATTTTGAAAACAGTTGTGCTGCTTAATATTTTTGTTGAAGCCATGATTAATTTTTTTCAGGATTATATAATGAATAGAAAGCATTTATTTGAATTGGAAATTTTGATCAATTTAATGCATCTTTGTGGAATGAAAGTATCAATTTTATTTTAATGAAAAAATTAATGGCCCCAGACATTTGAATGGTAGTGTATATGTGAAATATGTAATTATATATTGTAATGAAGTATTATACAGGATTATACACAAAAAATGTGTTGTTTGTATAATTGACACCCAGATGTGTGCAACAGTTCAACATATTTTAGTCAACATATTTTTAGAAGTATGGATGAGACGTATATGGTAAATACACAAGTGCAGTTAACCATGTATACAAATTACAATATACACAGTGAACACATTAAAGTACAAGTAGTAAACTATATACAGTTTTACCTCCAACGCGAAAAACTTCCAAACTGGTTTGGAACTTGTAACACGTCAGTCAAACTCGCCACCATCTTGTTTTTGTCAAATTAAATGATTTAAATTTGGTGTTTATTTTCCCATGATATATTCTTTGAGTTGCTGGCTGTTGCACTGAAGTCTGTGCTCTCCTTCTCCAGCGGAAGTGAAACGTGTTGGAGACACTCTTCTGGGAATGGCAACTCAATGCGTTCAGGTGAAGAATGTGGTGAAGACCTCCCCTCAGACCCTCTCCAACCTGTGTCTCAAGATCAATGTCAAACTTGGCGGCATCAACAACATATTGGTACCCCATCAGCGGTAAGAGAAATCAAAAGTGAATTAAGTCACTCCATTCATTTCACTGAAAACTTAATTCTCTTGTTTGGACATGCTTTCCTTAAATGTACTAAACATCTTGTTTGTGTGCATTTATATTGTTTGTTTTTTAGCCCGTCTGTTTTCCAGCAGCCCGTCATTTTTCTGGGAGCTGATGTCACTCATCCGCCCGCAGGAGATGGAAAGAAACCCTCCATTGCAGCTGTGAGAAAGACCGACCACATATACATAAGACACTTTACGATTTCATCACATCATACTAGTGCAATCAAAATGAACTCTTTGTGTATGCGATAATTTATTTATTTATTTTTTCAATTGAACACGTTAAAAAATATTTAATGCAATTAATGCAGAATCAGTTTTTTACAAATCATCCTTTGGCAAGTGTTACATTATAATGACCACATTGATTTCTTTCTACATTGATTTGGAGTTTAAATGTGAAATTTGGATAATATAAAAATATATTAACAACTTGAATGTTGGCCTTCGATTAATCGTGATTAATTAAAGAAAATGTGCGATTTAATTGTTTGACAGCACTACATCATACACATCTCAAATCATATAATAATAACGGACCTGGAAATTGTTGAACAGATATTTCTGTGTCCATATATATGAATGGATATTTTAAAGTCTGAAATCAAAGTACAAAAGTTGAGTGAAATGGCTTCTCGAACAAGAACAAATGTAGAGCGGGACTTGATTTGGTTCATGTGAATGACAGGTTGTCCTGTCATTAGAGAAGAGATTAGAGAACAAAGCAAAAGGGAGGGAAATTATTTTAATAAAAGATTACGAGGGCACATAAATAAATAAAAAAATGATGTGCACGGATAAATAATTTATTGTAATAATAATAATTCATAATAATAATAATAATAATAATTTAATAAATAATAATTTATAATAATAAGTTTAATAATAATAAACACTGCAATACAAATTATTTCATGGTGACTAAAGAAATACTGCTATTTTTCTCCTTCTCCTCACTACAAATTTGTCGCTGAACAGGTGGTGGGTAGCATGGACGCTCACCCCAGCAGGTATTGTGCTACAGTCCGTGTCCAGAGGCCCAGACAGGAAGTGATTCAGGACCTGGCGTCCATGGTGCGAGAGCTGCTCATCCAGTTCTACAAGTCCACCCACTACAAACCCACCAGAATCATCTTCTACAGGGACGGCGTGTCTGAGGGACAGTTCAGACAGGTGAGGCTCTCCAGTTACACTCTCTGTCTTATGAACAGTATTCATTTTCATTTATTCAGGTCTTAAAGGAGTGGTTCATTTTAAAATGAAAATTAGCCTATGATTTACTCCCCCTCAAGCCATCCTAGGTGTATATGACTTTCTTCTTTCAGACAAATTCAATTGGAGTTATATAAAAAAGATCATGGATCTTCCAAGCTTGATTAATGGCAGTGAATTGCAACCAACAGTTCAAGCTCAATAAAGTTCATTCACACGTCTCCAGGTGGTTAATAAAGGCCTTCTGAAGTGAAACGATGAGTTTTTGTATGAAAAATATCCAACTTTATAAAGTAAAATTAGCTAAGGAACTAGCTTCCGGCGAACGAACATTCGGATTGACGCACTACGCTACTTCCAATGTCATAAGTTGCGCTTTAGGCGCAAGTAGACTGTGTTTGGCCGGAAGCTAGAATCTGAAAGAAGAAAGTCATATATACATAGCAGGGCTTGAGGGTGAGTAAATCATGGGTTGTCGTTTCTCGTCGGCTGTGTCAAGGCCAAAAAGATCCGCGTGAGCACACAGCACAGACTACAGCCGATTGCAGTCTATTTTAGTCACTCAAAAAGAGGAACCGAAACAAAGATATCCGAGATTTACTCAGACATATGAAACGTAAAAAAGCAGCACCTGCTAGTCGCTTTTTGGAATGCTCGGGTAGGATAACATATCATTAGACATATCATTGACTTCCTTGCTCTCTTTCATCACTTTCGCTTTAATTCTCGAGCACTGACTCGTTCACTTAACTAGACATCCAATCAGAGTTCACACTCACCGACAGCCCTAAAGCCATTTCAACATCTTGCCTTCTAGGTGCTGTACTATGAGTTGCTGGCCATACGTGAAGCTTGTATCAGCCTTGAGAAGGACTATCAACCGGGAATCACCTACATCGTCGTACAGAAACGTCACCACACTCGTCTCTTCTGCGCTGACCGTACTGAGAGGGTGAATATGAGAGAGTTCTCTTGAAAACGATGTCACTTTTGCAACACGCACACACACGTTTTCGTAATTTCCGTTTATTTGTTTTCAAAGGTGGGCCGCAGTGGTAACATTCCTGCAGGAACCACAGTGGACACTGATATCACCCATCCTTATGAATTTGACTTTTATCTGTGCAGTCATGCTGGAATACAGGTATGAACACACACAACCACGACTGATTAATTGGATTCACAACTACACAAATTGGAAGAGTTGAGTAAATTGCATTAAATTCCACGTTTACCCAGGGTACAAGCCGACCCTCACACTACCACGTGCTATGGGACGACAACTGCTTTACAGCCGATGAGTTCCAGCTCTTGACCTACCAGCTGTGCCACACATACGTGCGCTGTACCCGCTCCGTCTCCATCCCTGCACCAGCCTACTATGCCCACCTGGTGGCCTTTAGAGCCCGTTACCATTTAGTGGATAAAGAGCATGACAGGTGAGTTGATGATGTCTATGCACATAGAAGTAGAAATTCAATTTGTTTAAATGAAAGGCTTTTAGAAGCTGTCAATCACTTTGATTTGAATAGGCTTTGCATATTCTTGCTTGCCATAGGCGCTCCTTTGTTAAAGTGAGGCAAAATATCCATCATTTCAATGATTCAAAGTCTTGGTTTGAATTCAGGAAGTTGTCGCATTCATTCAGTCACAGGTTTCTATGCAGCAATAGTAGTGTATCTTCATCTCCTTGGTATGTCAGGGAAAATATGATTTCATAGTGTAAATGTTGGCGTCTGCTCATTGCTTTCTCCTCTTTCACAGCGCGGAAGGCAGCCATGTGTCGGGTCAGAGTAACGGCCGAGATCCTCAGGCCCTGGCCAAAGCTGTGCAGATCCATCACGACACTCTGAGGACCATGTACTTTGCTTAGCCCCGCCTCCACAGACCTGTCAATCACCATTCATCATGCACTTAGAGGAGGAAGGCTTCTCCCAATCACAGGCTGCTAAAGAGAACCAAATGTAACCGAACTTACAAGAGGAATGCAATAGAAAAACAGCCAATCTTTCCAATTGCCTTCGCTTACTGATTGTTTTTAATATGTAGATCGCAGCTATACCATTATTTATTAGATTTGTAGATCTGTTTAACTTTTCATTTTGCCTGCTTAGGTCACAAAACCAAGCTTAAAGGTCGGCTCGATCAAATCATGCTAGATCAGCGAATGAGGCAGTGTTATTTCTTTAGGACAGGAGTGATTAGCCCTGCTTATGCCGATATCTCCTACAAAGTTTAGTTTCACAACTAATCAAACACACATGAAGCTGGACATCAATATCTTCAGGTTCAGAGTAAGTGTGTTTGAACACCTTTGGTTTAGGATTAGTATTTTATTAGGTTTGGTGAAGGATTTTGGTGGAATGCCACTAGATGGCAGTGTAAGGTTTTGCTAATAGTTTGCAATGACATCTTGCTGTAGGTCCTCCACTGTTCCTCTTTGACACTGTTCCTAATCTGTGACCAGGCTTGATATTTCACGAGTTACTCTTACTAGTAAGTCATGTTTTTCCAGGAAAAAAAAAAATCTATAATCTGCAAAAACGACAACTGAAATGTCATTCCATTTTGTTCCAACCTGTCGGACATCCACATTTGTCCCTTTACGTCTCATTTACCATGTGTCCATGTCTTATTCCGCTTTTTGAACATTGGAGACACCACTTTTCTTCCTTCTTTCAAATGATTCTTTATACTTCTGTGATACATTAACTTTCTGGCCCATGCACTGCCTGGAAAATTGAGCTCCTTGCGGTTCCTGCCGTCTTTCCTGTCGGCTCGCTCATTAAGCAGAGGTGACAGATTAGCTAAGGGCTGCAGAATCACCAAAAGAGGAACTTTGAACTTTGAAACTCAAGAGTCGGTAAAAAAGTTTCCACGTAGTTAACCATATGTTATTGTATGTGCGTTGAACGCTTTGTGCCTCGTTCGGTTTGTGTGCGCTTACAACGCAATTGTTCGAATCAGTCAGAGCATGACTGTAACACACTCGTTGGATGTGTGTGTGCACATATAATTCCACCCAAGGCAACTCAGAGGCCTGTTATCCATTATTATTGGACATTTCATTCATTCGCATTTGTTCTTTGAGCTTATTTATAATGTTGCTTTTAACTTGCATTGTCAATATAGTGCAATAGTGCATCTGTAAATTATCTATTTAACTTATCAGTTTCTTAATTGAGCATTTTAGCCCTGTGAACTTTGACAAAAAAAAACTGTCCCATAAGCCTTTTAGTGCAATAAGCCAATTATTGACGGCTCTGTCATAGACTTTCATATACAATGCAAACAGTACCTTATGAGTGAATGCTTTCATTTTAAAAATGTTTTTGTTGTATGTGGCGTTGTGTAAGTGAACTCGGACGCCATGGATTTGGCAGGTTTTTATTGAAATGAATGATGTGTTTTATGGCTGGAATGCTGGATTGAGTTTGCAGCGGAGATGGTTACTCTTATGGTTATGTTGAATGGAAAAGGTTCAGTTTGCTGTTAAGATCTTGGACAGACCTTTCATGTTAAAAGTCAAACGAGACAAAGTGCCTGTTTTATAGGAAATATCCCTAAAATGCAATTCTATTGGGGTACGTTTTAGTTAAATCTATATTTAAAGTAAGTGGCGTGTATATACGGTTGGACAGATATTTAGCTATTGAAACTTGTTATTAAGGTCATTTTGTTGTTAAGGGCAATTTGAATAGTTGAACCGACTAAAAGTCCCGGGTCATTTTCTTTTCGGGTCTTTTGGATTTTCAAACTTTCTTTTGAATTTTCAAACATTTGTTCTGAATTTTCAAACATTTGTTTGAACTTTAAAAAGCTTTTTGAACTTTCTTTTGAATTTTCAAACATTTGTTCTGAATTTTCAAACATTTGTTTTGAATTTTCAAACATTTGTTCTGAATTTTCAAACTTTTTTTGAACTTTCAAAAGCTTTTTGAACCTTCTTTTGAATTTTCAAAAAAATGTTCTGAATTTTCAAACATTTGTTTGAACTTTCAAAAGCTTTTTGAAGCTTCTTTTGAATTTTCAAACATTTGTTCTGAATGTTCAAACATTTGTTTGAACTTTCAAAAGCTTTTTGAACTTTCTTTTTGAATTTTTTGAACATTTGTTTGAACTTTCAAAAGCTTTTTGAATTTTCAAACATTTGTTTGAACTTTCAAAAGCTTTTTTGAACTTTCTTTTGAATTTTCAAACATTTTTTCTGAATGTTCAAACATTTGTTCTGAATGTTCAAACATTTGTTTTGAATTTTCTAACATTTGCTCTGAATTTTCAAACATACTTTTTAAACTTTTGTTTGAACTTTAAAGCTCTGTTTATTTGGATCTCTTTTCTTCAAAGTCCCTGCTTTTTCAAAGTCTCTGTGTATTCATCTTGCATTCCACACAGACCAAACCAATGTGCCTCCGAAAACAGGGGTGGCAGGGGGTATTGAGTAAAGGCATTTGGATTGTAGCAGGGCAGGTGGAGGGTTATATTTGTTAACTCTGTGGCCTCTGGCACACTTTCACATCGCCTTTAATGTGAATGGCACTGTAGTCTTTTTGCCCTATACCCACAAATACGTCTTGACCAGTCTAGCTGCTATTTTACATGATAATAAATTACATCTGCTTTTATATGTGGAGAGAGAGAGAGAGAAAGAAAGGTTCTGAGAAATGACTGACAAATATATTGCTGCACTTAAAAATCTGTATAGTCTCAGATTTGGCGAAACGCCCGAGGTGCTAAGAGGTGTGGTGCTGTAATTCGGGGGATGTTAACCACACTAATCTTTAGTGTGAACACTTGTCATGGAGTGTTTCACCAGGACTTTAGAGCCTTGTTTGGTATTTGTGATATTTGGTTAGTTCACTCATTTTTCTATACAAAAATACTCATACACGCATACTTGTTCTTACAAAATGTCTGTTTTAGCGAGTAAACTGGAATTTAGGTCTGTTTTGTCAAAAAAACAAAAACATGCTCTTGCTTCGGTGCTCTTTTTCTTTTGTTTCAATGTGCTGAGAACTGTTACTTCTCTGCCGCTACCAGCATTTGAACTTACTTGAAAAGGGGGAGTGATCAGTAGAACCTGCACCCATATGAATGTTTGGCTTTATGGCAGCTTATACAGCCTTTCGAAGTTGCCACGGAATAAACTGCGAATAAAAAATAAAAAGTAGGTGGGGCATTGCATAGGGGTGGTGCTATTCTAGTTAGTGGGTTTGGCTTAAAGTGCCCCTCGCACTACAACTGTGACACGACACTCTCCACCCCTTGGCTTAAAGCTGGACTGCGGATACCTTGAAGCGTTTTTAATTCAGAGAAGTGTATTTGTATATTTTTAAAATAACGTAACTGCATAATGCACATCAGTTATTTTTGCTAACAAAGTCTATGAAATATTTAGCAAAAGATGAAAATAGTGATGTTAATCATGATAGTGACTAATATAAAAAAATGGCTAATATGCAATAGACTATTAGGTTCGTCTCGTATTTTTTCAAAAGTCGTTTGTGAGTGTCTCTGCATCGTCCTACGGTATTTATGACAGAAATTATGTTGTTCACAAAGGGATGAACCTTCAGTCCTCTTTTTATTCTTCATTGCTTTTATCGACGTAAATATGAAGGTACCGCCTCAAATATTTCTATTTAGCATGGCAATTCACACACAAGCACATTTGAAAATGCCTGTAGGCTACTGGTCCTCTTGATCTCGTCATGTTATTGGTGTCTGAATAGATGAGTGATAAACTGTTTTCTTCAAGCCTAGAGGATTTGCTTCTTGACTTTATTTTCCTGACTTTGTTGAGGTGAAGATTCATCCTTTGGGCAGATGAGTTAGTGGAATGTGCCTTTTCTGATGGTGCTGTTTTCAGACCGAAAAAAAAAATCCCTTTTTAAGGGCCCAACAAGCCTATATTGAAGTTATATTGATATGATATACTGTATAATGTGTGTTTAAGAGTGTTAAAACTGTATGTGTGGGTGTGATTGTGCCTCTTTATTCGCCAAGAACACATCAAATCACAGAGCTTGCCAGTTATAAGGTCTCTGGACCAAAATTTCTACACTTTTTATAAAGATTTGGCACTGCAAAAATAGATCAACCTATACTGTATGAAGCCTGGAAACTTATCCCAAGTGATGTTTTCCCTTTATTTTATTTTTTTGTCTCCAAAAGTGTCAAATCTGTGTTCTCTATTCATGATGAAATAGCAATAACGTAATTGGTAATTTCACTAATATTTGGCCTGAATTCCAGTTTTTGACATAAATGAACTCCATGAATCCAACGGTTACTTTTACTAGCATGTTTAATCCGATTGATTTGGTGATTATATAATGATATTTATGTCTGTGATTAAATACAGCACATTAAAGATGAGCAGGAGTATCAACATCCAGATTTATCATGCAATGCAAGCTTCTTTAAGATGAGAAGAATCTTGCTTTGTATTATAAAAAATATTTACTATTTATCAATCTCTCCATACACATTCAACGCTCTGATATAAAGGTTTAGTTATAGTGTGATGAAATATTGTTAACAGAACTGTCCGGTTTTAAAATATATATTTGTCTCTTTTGTTTTATCTCAACCCTTCAAATTGTGGTCTTTCCTTGGGTCTTTTTATTTGGTTGTTCTATTTAATTGTCAATATTTCAATTAAAATGTATGTATGCAAACTTTGATGGATGTCTTTTGAATGGTTTGTCTTGGACAAAAAATTATACTTATGAATAAATATTGAATGTATGCATTCCTGTTTACTGTGCAAGAAAGGAGTGTGTATCTCAGTGTTGTTAACTTAAATTATTTTCTAAAATTGAATTAAGGCTGAAAGCAAATAAATCAATGAAAATTAGAAATCTTAACTGAAATAAGTTGAAGTACTATAATTACTTAATCTGAATAGAAATAAAGCTAAATATACATCATTTAAAAAATATTAAAGCACAGAACAAATTCTAAAACTAATTAAATATTTATTTGAAAATTCATTCATTTTTTTATCAAATGCTATAATAATATATAAATAATAGTAAGGCAACAATAGCTGAAGTGTGATTGTTTTCAGTGTCATTTTCTTTCATAGATGTAAATAAAACTATCATAGAAATCGAACAGATGAAGATGAGGCTAAAGTAATATGATTCATTAGATACATAAAACATGTTGATAAATTCTTTATTAATTCCACAAAAGAAAGTAAAATGCCCAGAGAAATACAGTATTTAAATGACAAGAAAAAACAACTGATTTAAAATAATATGACCTTTTCCATGTACAAACATAACATTTGACACCTTCACTCACATACAGACTAAAATACTAACATCGTCACTGATTTCTACAAGTTTCCAGAGGAATGAAAAACTCGCTTTGTATAATTATTTACTTAAAACCATCGATGTACATTAATTTTCCGGTGCAGGGAAGAATGTGCCTTGTAGAGGTGACATCACTGTAGTAAAGTGCCATTAAAAATTAAACCACAAGGTGGATCTTGAGAAAGACAAAATGGCTTTGCCCTCACTATCAGCATTATTGCACAAAATATATGCCTGTCTTAAAGGGTTAGTTCACCCAAAAATGAAAATTAAGTCATTAATTACTCACCCCCATGCTGTACCAACCCCGTAAGACCTTCGTTCATCTTCGGAACACAAATAAAGATATTTTTGATTGAATCTGAGGGCTGGATCACTCTTCCATAGACAGCCTGAGGGACTGCCTCTTGACGGCCCAGAAAGTCATTAAAAGAAAAGGTTTAAATATTCCATGTGCCTACAGTGGCTCAACTATAACTTTATCAAGCGACGAGACTACTTTTTGTGCGAAAAAAAAACGTAAATAACGACTTTATTCGACTTTCCATTACTTCCTTATGGGCGCATGCGCGAGAACTGAGACGAGACCGTTGTTCTTCGACTACTTTTTGTTACCGGCTGCTCACCGCTTAGGAGTTTTACCGCCCCCTACCGTATAAGATGACGTACTGATATAGCCGGAGGCGCAAAACGTTCTGTTTACAAGCAGTACGTCATCTTATACGGTAGGGGGCGGTAAAACTCCTAAGCGGTGAGCAGCCGGTGTCGGAGCACAGAGCAACCTGAATGTCGGACTGGAAGCCCTTCTGCCGCCGGAGTTCTCGCCATCGTTCAAAAGCTTTGCTACCTATGTAAATTCGGAACTTCGCACGTTCTTTATCCGACTCCTTTTTTTTAATTTGTTCTTCAGAACGACGTCTCTTTGGTTGTGTGTCGGCCATTTTTCAAACTTCCCTCTGATGCTTCGCTTTCCTTCACACACACACCCTTCATGTGCATGCGCACTAACCCCCCAGACCCACCCTCAAGTACTCCTTGCCAGTGATTGGCTGGAACACTGTTTGTTAGGTTTCGTGGTCCGGTTGAGACATGATTGTTTTTGTTGCCGTTTGTGGAGCCTGTGGTGTCTACAGAGACCGCGTTTTTTTACAGTGTGTTTAGGGGACAGGCAGCTAGCCGATAGTGAGGAGACGTTTGATGTATGCGACAAAAAATGTTTTGGCCCAACATCGCTTAGAGAACCTTTAAGAATTTAAACAAATGTACACAGGAAGATTCGTCGTCTTTTGGGAGGTGATGGAAACTACAGTCGTTGGCAGGATCAGAGACGGGCTCTGGCAGGATCACTCTGATTTCGTTTTCAGCTTATGTTCAAAACAATCACGTTTAAGCCACTGAATTAGTTTAGTCCGGTTATACATACAACCGCGAACAGCACATGTTGTCCCTGAGCTCCGTAACGACATCTCTCATAAAGATTTGCGTCATTAAATAGTAAAATAATTCTCAGAAAAACAGCTAGCCTCTTGGCTAACTAACACACAAAATACCATTGGAATGCTACTTCCGCCGCCTCACCGGAAGTTTCACCCACTTTATTTTTTCCAGGAGCGCCCCTCGGAAACTTGTGGATAGACCTTTTGTAGCCCCGCCCCTTTTCAGCGTTGCGCTCGTTGTCTTTTGACTTCCGATCTGTATTTCCAAAGCGATCTTGCATAGGTATGAATGAACTGCTCGTAAAAAAATTCCCGTTCGACATTTGTTAAGACATCTGCTTTAGAATGCTTATGATAAACATTACAATTCTCATGATAACTTTTGTTAACTCTACAATAAGTAAATCCACTTCACCAGGTAATGGGCTATTTGACGCAAGGATGCTCGTCCATTTCCGGTTGTGGAGATTAAAGCGGAGGAAAACCGAGATTATGGCAGAGTCTTTAAAATTTACTGTCCTCCTGTCTTTGAAACGAAACGTACACACGTTTAGATGTAATTTTATATATAGTTATGTTTATTTAATATAATTTTAAAAAGAAGCATAAACACAACGTCTGTTTTATCTGTTTTTGTGACTAACGTTTCTTTAGTATAACCATGGAGTATAAAATTCAATATAAATTCTCGGTATTGCATTGGACTCTACGATCGGCGGAAGTTATCGAGCATCCTTACACCTTCACCGGAAATACCGCCGTGCATAGAGCCCATTACTCCTTGACAGCGATGCCATAGAAATATACAGAAACCGGAAGTTCAAAGACAATATTCTAAAGATGACGGCGCCCACATTTCTCTGGTGCATTAGGTCTATACCAATGAAAGTGCAATGTAACGACAGTCAAACCCGTGAACTCGTACTAGATTGATGTACTCCCGGTTACGAGCTCCGACGTTACATTGCCCGCGAAACCATACAAAAAAAAACAATGGCGGCCCCTACGGACGCTGTGTTTCTGCAGGCTGTACGGTGAGAATACACTTTAGGACAATATAACGTTACAGTAATAATAATAATGATAATAATACACACGATTATGTATTACAATGTTATGTGTCTGAAACAATAAAAATGTATATTGCATGTGACTTTAGGTTGTTTGGTGCGACAGGCCTGGAACGTGGTTTGAAGTCCTTACGAAAAGCATGTGCTCTGATTGGTCGGCTGGACCAGTGTTTTGCGATTGGTCGACCACTTCCAGTGAGTTTCTGAAATGTCATGCCGCTGAACATAACCGCAAGTTTCAACAACGCAATAGAGCATCACAGTCCCGCCCACAGCCCGAGGGAGCGTTGGTGCCGGAAGTAAATTTCCCATTCATTTCTCCCATTGGCATTTTGTAAAATCCATGTCTAAAGAGTATTAGAGCATGTCTGAAGATAACCAGCTACGGCTGAACTCATAAGCATACAACATATCATTTCGAGTGAAAAAACGAAGAGAAAATCCAAAAAGAGTCAAAGGTACAAGCCTGTGTACATATTTTCATTTCCGAGCAAAGGAACTACTCCTACCACCTCACTGAAGTCGACTGAAGCCACCGTGAAAAAGCCTTTTGAGTGACTTCCAAATCTGATGACGGCCACGTGAACTTTTTTCTCCAGTGAATTTTATATGGTGAACGTGCAAGGAAACTCCTTTCTTCGATTTACTAAAGCAAACGCATTTGCAGCTACATGCTAAAACATTTAGCATCTGGCTCGCTCATAGGCTGTGCTGGGGCAACTGCACATCCAGTGGCGCGGGAGGTCTCTGAGGTGCGACCAATGAACTTAGCACTACGTCATTACACGATCTTCAGTCTGTCACGTACCTTCGCGGGGTTTCCGACACGTGACACGACTTCCACCAATCAGATGCATCACTGTGGGATTTTGGGATTGTTCAGGATTGTGGGTAATGAAGTACTTATCCAATACATCGCGAATAAAAGGCATTTATCTTAAAACCAGGTTAGTGCCCCATGAACTTTTGCCGTTTATATGAGCATATACAATCACTTAGAACAGCCGTTGCTGGTTTTAAGTCTACCATGGTTACGTTTTTATTATATCTCAATGTCAATGGAGAAATTGTATTGAATTTTTACTTCCGGCACCGGCTGTGGGCGGGACTGTGATGCTCTATGCAACTCAACTAGGCCTTTCCCCCTTTTTTGCATATGATTTTGGCGGGTATTATTTAAATGAGGGATATTGAGGGGCATTTCAATGAGTTCAGAAACTGTCCTTACTGATACAGAGAATAACTCCCTTTGGAGTGAACTTTGTATTTTGTAACTTTGCAGGCCTTTTTCATGCTTAAACAGCAACATTACACACTAAAGAAAGAAAAGCATAATAGGACCCCCTTTAAAGCCCAGACTTCCTTTTTCAATGGGATATGTCAACACAGGTAGGAAACTTGAAAAGCTGTTCTTTTTTCTAGTACTTTTTGCATTCATCGTGAGAATATCGCCCTAAATGGATTATAAATGAATTCTACAAAAGTGCTGGGAAAAAAATCCATTTTTTTTTTCTTTTCTTTTCCAATGCAATTTCATTGGCGTATGGCAGTTTCGGTGAGATTTCCTGCAGCAATTCCTCCTGTTCCACCTCGTTTAGATTGGACTGTAATCTGTAGACCAGGGGTGTCCAAACTGTCCCACAGAGTTCAGCTCCAACTTTGACCTTGCTTAACTGGGACAGGTGTGTTTAATTAGGTTTGGATCTGAACTCTGAGGGACAGTGGCCCTCCATGAGCAGAATTAGACATCCTTACTGTAGACGGTACAGGAACAGTCAAGTCTGTGGATGTGCTTTGTGACATATCTAATTGTCCCAGTTTCTATTCAAAGACTGGTTGTCTGTATTCAGAAATAAACATGGTCAGTAACAATACACTTGTATTTTTTTTTCAGACAAGTTTTGGTTAACAGGTGAATGCGTACTCACATTTCATCGTCTCCCTGGGGTGGTTCCTCGTGCTCTTCTAGAGTTAAAGAAACATCAGCCATCAGGAAGGAGTCTGTGGAGCAGGTGCTGATCCTCATTGGTGCTAAACGCCGCAGTCTGTTGGGCGTCCAGGGCAGGCGTCTCTGGGCCCTCTGGGAGGGTGCGACAGCCATGTCCATCTCAGTCTCCATTAGCCAGGGTGGGCTGTGAATAGGACTCTCCATATCTGGCATGAATGCTGGATTCTCTATGCCAGCTTTTATGAGATATGGAGGAAACATAAAAAAATCTTTAACTTTTTATGCAAATGTGTTTATTCAGGGTCTTTTTTGAAGAAAATATATATGGCATGAGACTTGATGTGGTGGTTGACACTTGCTCTAACAAAAAAATTGTAATTGAAATCATATTTTGTTGTATGTTAGTATGAGAGGGAAAAAAAAGGTCACACTCCAGATGTTTGGGGTCTTTACACTGTAAAAAAATATTGTTGGTTTAACTTAAAAAAGTAAGTAATCTGGTTGCCTTAAAATTTTAAGTTCATTGAACTGGAAAAAGTGAGTTAAAACAATGAAGGAGATTAATTTAACCATCAGAAACTCAAAATTATATTTTATCTGAACTAAATAAATTATTTAAGTTGATTTGACAAAAGAAAAAATGTTGTGATTACTACACTGTAAACATTTTTTGTTGGTTTAACTTAAAAAAGTAAGTAACCTGGGTAGCCTTAAAATGTTAAGTTGATTGAACTGGAAAAAGTGAGTTAATTCAATGAATTAGATTAATTTAACCATCAGAAACTCAAAATAATAAGTTATCTCAACTAAATAAATTATTTTAAAGTTGATTTGACAAAAGAAAATATGTTGTGATAACAAATCTTGAAAATATTTTTTATAGTGAGACCCCACACAATAAATTTGATTTTGTAACATAATAATGTACGGTTTTTTTTCAAACAAATGTAATATCGCTCACTTTATTAATATTTTTAGCCTACATTTGTGCAGTGTTGGGTGAATTTAAGGAATTTTTAAAATTTATATAAATTAATTTTAAAAAAAAATTTCAGAGACTTCAATAGGAGACTATGAAAATTGTTTTTTGTTACACAATGTCAACAACAATAAAACAAATCAGTTTAAATGAAGAAAACACACAAGTTAAAGGGACACACAACCTATTTAAAAAAATCATTTATTTATGTAAAAATTGTTTAAATACCTAAAACCTCCACAAACACTGCACAATTGTACAGTAAAAACATTAATAAAGTGGATGACTTTACATTTGTATTAAAAATATTACATTATGATGTGACAATCACATTTTATTGTCTCGGGTCTTGACCCAAACAACACATCCCAAATGAATAGCTTAGAATGGTTAACATTATTGAATAGATTTATTGCTCTTTATGTACAAAGCAACATCTGTTCAGAGTCAGACTCTTTTCTTACCTCCAAATGTATATGTGTCTCTCATAAAAGTACTATTCACAGCACCAGTCTCACTACCCACAGCATTGTCAACTAAAAAAACAAAAACATGCTTTTAACTAAATATATAAATAAAAAATAGAGAAGAATAACTTAATAAATAAGTATAAATAATCAAATAAATGGTGGAAAATGTCATTGCTTATATAGAATACATTTTACTTGAGGGAATCCCATGTTGAGGTTGTTTATGTTTTGTATTTTATAAGATTAAGATTTTTTTTTTAAATATGTATTTGTTTATTTAGTCAGTTAACTTTACTATATTCCACCGTATCTATTTGGAAATAAGTACGTATTAAAAAAATATTATATATATATATTATATAATATATATATATATATATATATATATATATATGCAATTTAAATATGTAATTAAATATGTTAATTAAATATCTTTATATATTATACATTGTTACAATTTATCTATTTAAAATTATATGTATAATTATATTTAAGTATAATTTATATATTTAAAAATATGTAAATGCAATTAATTGCAGCCAGTCTCTCAGTGTCATAAGTTTTAATAAATTATGCTTATAAATAAATATTGTTACCTTCATCCCCATATAGATGGTCCTTGCCCTGTTGGTGTCCATTAGACATCTGAAAATATGTATAAAGTTTGAGGTGTAATCCTATAATTGACTGATTTGGTTGAAAGAGATGTAATGGAGGTCTAATACCTGATGTAGCTCCTTCTTGTGGTGCTTGGTGATCTTCTTAGCAGGGTTGACACCCATCTTAGCTGATTTGAAGGACTCGAGGCGGCTCCTCATGGTCCTCTGAAAGATCTCCTGCACCTCGTCTTCACTCTGGTTGATGCTGAAGTGACTGCGGCTGTATTTGTGACGGTGCTGCTCAGAAAGAGAGGCACAGATAGGCCAAATGAGATGCAAACTATATGCGTGTGTGTGCGTGTTGGTGAAGAGCGATTCATACATGCTTTCTGCTCCTGTACAGGTGCTGCTGTAGAAGATGATGGGCATTGATGTCATCCACCGCATTTTTCCTGTCTTGTCCATGGATATCTCGAGATATTGAGGGAATAGTGTCTTTTCTAATCAACAAGAGGCAAAACAATCTTTATTATTGCCACGTCTCACCATCTAGGGAATTTATTGTCAAATTTCAGCTCTTTGTGCATTGCAACCCTGGCAAAGATTCTTAGTCCCACATGTAGCTAGATCTGATTCATCTCCTTAGGCATAATTCTTTTATGATCAACTTTGATTAAGCAATTGTTTAAATGTGTTTTCAACATAGTCAGTGCACTTACACAATGGAGGTTACTGACACATTTTCGATTCCAAACTCGTAATTTGACATATCAACCATTATATCAGGCATCACATCTGAAAATTCTGAACCATATTGTTTTTTGAAATCTATGTTGGCTGCTTCATCACTACGAATGAAGGCCAGAGAACCTTGGCGTTCACCCTACATGAAGACAGAAAGAAGTGACATACAGTTTTCATGATCTTCTTCATTGTGGACAGTAACAGTGCTGAAGTAAATGTGTATTACAATGCAATCTACCATGTTTGTATATGAAATTAAAATAAAAAAGGCAATATTATGCGACATATGAAGCCAGTCTATGATCTCACCTCACTGACGTAGTTCATAGCATCCTCCAGATTGAGTTTGTGGAAGATATTGAAGAGGTAGTCTTTGTTTTTTCTGGCCTTAGGTTTCATCAATATCCTGCAGATATACTTCTCCTCAAACCTGTTCCAACTGAGAGCGAGTGTCAACACATTTCATTTTATTTAATTCATATAAATATTTGAGGTTATTCACAGAAGGGTGAAAAGCATACCCTCTGGTCCACCAGTTATCTCCAATACGACCACAAATGTCCTCCACTGCTGCTAGTATGTGGTCAAATGCCTAATTAAAAAAAAATAGTCATAATTTTAAAAACAATTAGTTGAGTAACATTAACACATAAAATAAAAACACTAAGAAAACAATATACATAAATAAAAATACATACCAAGTTTTAAATAAATAAAATAAAACTAATAAACAATAAACTAAATTTTGACATGTAAACAAACTAATACATGATTATATATATTTTATTCATTTGTTTTCAAATATGGTATAATATATATATATACATATATATGCATACACGTTTAAATATATATTTAAATGTGTTTATTTAAATTATAGTTAGATGTAACTATAATTATTAAAATTGCCAGTTATAGTTACCCTATTGTTCAGTTTCTCAACAAGTTTCAAGTCCGAATGAGCTGCTCTTTTGACCTTGAGCCACTGAACCAATGGCTTCATTGTGATTCCCTAAAAACAAGCAAGACACATTATTTAACTACAGGAAAGTACGAAATATATATATATATTAGAGTCTCATAATTATTATAAGAGTGATGGGTGTGTTTTTAACCTGAATAATGACAGTGAAATACACCACAACGAGTGTGGTACTAATCATCAGATTCTTCTCTGGGATCTTGTCTTTGTCTAGCATTGCTGCTAATCCGTACGCTACTGCCCCCCGCAGGCCACCGTAGCTCATTACAACCTGGTCAATGACCTCGATGGGAACCAATCTGAACTTGTTTAACAACCAAGTAAACAAGAAAACACCTGAAAATATAGAATAAATCTATAAATCTGTTCAAGAAGGATGCCTTGCCTATTTTGGAAAGGGTTTTTTTTTTAATAGAGTTGTCTGTATTTTAAAAAACCCACCTATGATCCTGTAGATAAACATGAAGAGGAGAGTGAGGAGAATGAAACCTGTGTTCCAAACCCATATTTCCGTATCAATGGCTGTAATGCCCAAGAATAGAAAGATCATGGTTTCGGAGCCATTCGCAAGCACCTTCATGGCATGACGAACCGTTGTGACCGATTTCTCGTCCATGTTGGCGTTCACATACTTTTGACAGCAAACACCACAGAAAGTGATCCTGTGACACAGAAAGCCAATCTTTTTCATGAGCTAAATTTATTGCTTGAAACATTATGCATTGAGCCTAAATTCCTGCATTACTGATGTTTACTGTATATTCCCAAATTCTCTGTATGTGTCACATTGTTCTCTTACGAAAGAATAGCAGAGAGAGAGAGCATTTCTGCTGTCAGGTAAGCCAGGTATCCCACCACAAAGACAAAGCCGGCTTCGATGATCTGAATGTGTTTGGTGCATCTGGTCAGCAGGGACAGCAGGATGGCAAACACAACGCCAAGAAACGAGCCTCCAAATGCCACCACAACAAATGAAACTGTAACAGTAATAAGTTTTAAGTTAAAAGAAAGGATATTATTGTGTTTGCATAAATGTATGGGGAGTGGAGTTGAGTGTTCATACATATGCCCTTAAAAATCTCTGTGGCGTCAATCCTTGGTCCCCCAAGAGCAACAAAAGCATCAAATACTTTGTAAAGCACCTATACGAAAGAAAGACAAAAAAAAAAACTTGACATGAAAATGTTTTGCTAATGTTCCCCAAAAAATGTATTATACCATTTTTTTCTAAATGTTTTCTGAATGTTGAAAACATCCCAGTTTTTAAAATGTTTTTTTTCTTTTTTTTTCTTGGTTATGCGCTTGTTAAGGAAACATTCCACTTAATTTTTTTTTTTTAACATTTTGGGAATGTTACTTTTGAATGTTCTCTGAACGTTTTGATACAAAGTGATATCATTTAAACAATAGATGAACATCCTACTAAAACAGGAACAAACACAATGCAACAAAACATACTCCTGACAGTATGCCCTTTGGAAAGGCACATCCTCGCGCTGTACAAGGTCAAACTGAGAAGGGAAGGCGGGGGCTCTGGACGAGGATGTGGAACATGAGAGAAAAAAAAGTCCAGGGCGAACAAAATCAGTCCATGGGGGAGTGGATGGAGGGAAGATCCAGTAGCAGAAGGGGTCAGATGATGACCCAGGCCACAGCCAGCGTGATGGTCCAGGGCAGAGTTGCAAGACGGAGGAGCCAAGGTGGGGACTTGAAAGATGAAGGGTATACAATCTCCTGCGATAAAGTCCCCAACGGGGCCGAGGAGACACAGAGCCAGGGTGACACTGCAGGTCCGGAAGTCCAAGGTGGAGCTTACGGATCATTGGAGGCAAAAAGGCGGAAGACGCCTGGGACCGAGGACAACGTTGGAGCCATAGGGAAAGGCAGAGGTGCAACCGGCAGTCTGGAATCCTGTGGTGGAACCAGGGTGACATTTGAACTAGGAAGAGACTGGTGGACAAGTGAGCCTGGTGGAGCTGGTGGGATGGCGGGCCACGGTGGAGCCGAGGAAGCATTGAGCCAAAGTGGAGCCCTTGGGTTGGAGGACCAAGGCGAAGTCCAGGGCTCTGTGGCTGGAATCGGAGACAGGGGATCCCCTTGCTAAGGCAAAGCTGGGGACTTGGCTGACTCAGGTATAGGAGTGGGGTGAGATGGGCGATCTAGGCTGGGTGGGCATTCAGGAAACTTGGGAGACACAAGAAACTCAGGGGACACAATAAATTTGGGAGAAACAGGAAACTCGGGAGACACAAGAAACTCTGAGCTGGGCAGGATCAAAGGGGACGAGAGAAACAGGGAAATTACCTCCCCAAAATCCTACATTAAATTCCCAGAGGCCAGGCTTAGCACATTCACCACAATGGGAGTGTGGGCGGGGCTTCCATCCATGCCCTTGAATTTCACCAGAACTCCCTCGGGGATGGGTGTTGTTGCCTACTCGCGTACCTGGTCAGACGCATTGTTGGGATGAGGCTCCGGGGCGGAACATGGCTAAGCTTTGTTTCCTGCCAAGTTCTCTGCGGCAGATGCTGGCTCCATGTCTGCGGTGGAGTTCAGCTCCGTCTGTTTGGGTGATGGCTGACTGGGATCTGGGATAGGTGGAGTGGGGCTGGTGGGCTCCTCAGGGACGATGGTGAAAGCTGATTAGTTATTGACTAGCACCCTTGGGCCGCTGAGGCTTGGTAAAAAGTCTAAAAAGTCCCGGGTGTGGTCCTCCAGTGAGCCGTCTTTCTGCTCAAGGCAGAGCAGCAACTCTGCTGGAAGGTAAATGAGGATGAGGGAAAGTTCTGTCACGGGTGGCTGATGGAAGCGCATGATGAAGGAGAATTCTAGGAAATATTCTTTTAATCCAAACACTCAGAAAACAGGCAGGGGAAACTCAGAAAACAGCCACTTACAGAAACAATAATAAGACAGGACAAAGAACTGAACAAAACGGAGTATTTATAACAGAACTAAATGAGGGAACAAATGAATTAAATAACGAGCATACTAGAAACCAGGTCAAGACAGGAACAAACACAATGCAACAAAACAGACATTTAAAGCGTATTAGGAAAATAATACTCACCACCGTGACGCCATCATTAAGCAGAGACTCCCCAAACACCAAGATAAAGAGCACCTCATTCACATGCACTTCCTCGAAAACAGCAATCACAGCCACTGGGTCCACCGCGGCTATTAAACTACCAAACAACAGGAACTGCAGGAGACCGATGTCCAAGTCACCTGATGATTACAGAAATTGTCAAATTAATTTAATATTCTCTATAATGGTGCATATGCTAAAAGCTATAAATTGATAATTGCAAACTATGCAGGGCATATTTGCCCTTCAGGCTCAAGGGCTTTATATCCTTGTTTTGTTTAAAGAGGGATTATGTGGGTTTGATCTGTGCAACAGACATCCAATGTGCATTAAATAACATGAAGATTAGCAGAACAGTGAATGCAGAAAATGACAGTATTGAATTTACCCATCGCTCCAGCCTCATAGCAGCCCCAAAGCGACAGGCCTACTGTGGCTGCGTTCCAGCAGGTTCCAAAGATGGCGTAAATGAGAATGGCACCCAGGTTGCTGAAAAATAGCTTGTTGGGCATAAAGTAACTTGCATCCAAAATGATTTGGGGCAGCAAGTAGAAGAAGAAAGTGGTAGGGAGCAGTTTGAAAGTCTGCGCCTTGTCTGCTCCCCAGACGATTCCTCCCAAAATAAAGCCCACGATGATGAGCATTCCACTCTCTGGGATCACACTGGTGACATGATGGTTTAGTTCAATCACTAGATACAGAGAGAGAACAGATGACAGATATTATTTGTTATGAAGTTGATATTTCTCATGACCTTATTTTTGGTCATGAGGGTAAGAATACCAATACTAACCATATTATTCACAAGCCTCATGCTTCATCAGTAGCAATGTGCGTACAACGTTATTTCATGTGAATCGTTGAGCTTTCATCTTCCTTTCTCAGAACTCAACTTAAATGAAATTCAACCTCTCATTAAAGAATGACATCAACTTTAGAACAAACTCTTTAATTCATTCATGAGGAAGACCACTGTCTCTAATTATATTGTATGCAAGTCTTCAAATGTTACACAACAGATTTCATTTCTTACTTTTCAACTGTCGATCAATTTTTACTTCATAGTTCAAACCAGCAAACAAAAATGATGTTCTAAAATAATAATAATAAAAAAACATTCTTAAAGGGGCAATGCGTACTATTTTATATGTACTCATTGTCATGCTGGAAGATCCAGCCACGTTTCATCTTCAAGGCTTTCACTGATGGAAGGAGGTTTTGGCTTAAAATCTCACGATACATGGCCCCGTTCATTCTTCCCTCAACACGGATCAGTTTTCCTGCTCCCTTTGCAGATAAACAGCCCCAAAGCATGATGTTTCCTCCCTCATGCTTTGGACTCTGCATTCTTCCTCCAAACATGACGAGTTGAGTTTTTACAAAAAATTTCTATTTTGGTATCATCTGACCACATGATAGTCTACCAATCCTCTTCTGGATCATCCATATGCTCTATGGCAAACTTCAGACGGGCCTGGACATGTACTGGCTTAAGCAGGGGGACACGCCTGGAACTGCAGTATTTGAGTCCTTCTCGGTGTAGTGTGTTACTTATGGTAGCCTTTGTTACTTTGGTTCCAGCTCTCTGCAGGTCATTCATCAGGTCCCTCCATGTAGTTCTGGGATTTTTGCTCACCATTCTCATGATCATTTTGACCCCACGGGATGAGATCTTGCGTGGAGCCCCAGATCAAGGGAGATTATCGATGCTCTTGTATGTCTTCCCTTTTCTTACAATTGCTCCCACAGTTGATTTTTTCACATCAAGCTGCTTGCCTATTGTAGATTCACTCTTCCCAGCCTGGTGCAGGTCTACAATTTTCTTCCTGGTGTCCCTCGACAGCTCTTTGGTCTTAGCCATAGTTGCTTTTGGAGTGTGACTGTTTGGGGCTGTGGACAGGAGTCTTTTATACAGATAACGGGTTCAAACAGGTGCCAATAATACAGGTAACAAGTGGAGGACAGAAGAACTTCTTAAAGAAGAAGTTACAGGTCTGTGAGAGCCAGAAATCTTCCTGGTTTGTGGGTGACCAAATACATATTTTCCACTATAATTTAAAAATAAATTCTTTAAAAATCCTACAATGTGATTTCCTGGATTTTTTTTCTTCTCATTTTGTCTCTCATAGTTGAAGTGTGCCTATGATGAAAATTACAGACCTCTCTCATTATTCTAAGTAGGAGAACTTGCACAATCAGTGGCTGACTAAATACTTTTTGGCCCCACTGTAACGAGAATGCAGCAGAAGCGCAGGAGCATAGTGGTGAGAGGTGCATGGAAATACAGACCGGAAGTCAAAAGACAACAAGCGCAACGCTGAAAAGGGGCGGGGCTACATACCCAGACAGCAAACTGACATTGAATCAACGTGGAAACGACGTCTCTCATGACATCGAAACAACGTTGATTTTGCTCATCGAATTAACGTTGAACATTCTTCAAAGCTAAATGAAAATCGAATATTGGTTTGCTTTCATAACGTTGAAACAACGTTGATTTCAAGTTGATTTTCCGTTAGTTTTGAAGGAATGACGCATCTGACGTTGGTTCAGCGTTAATTCGATGAGCAAAACAATGTCAGATCAACGTTGTTTCGATGTCATGTTTCCACGTTGATTCAATGTCAGTTTGCTATCTGGGTAAGGTCTATAAGTATGTGTGTGTGTGTGTGTGTGTGTAAGTTACGCTCAGCGCAGCTTCTAGGTCTCCAATGTCAATTTTTTTTTTAAATATGTGAAATGTTTGGAGTTGTCATAAAGAATAGAGCGTCTTGTAGTACTGCAGTGCTTTATCAATATGTTTATGCGTTGGGGTAACAAACAATAATTGACTGGATCATCTGACCAATCACCGCCGATTAGCATCACGCATCACGAATCATTTGGGAGTCGGTGAGCAAATCAAGTAAAATAAATGCATATTATCAGACAACAAAAGTGTTTTTTTGTCATTGCATTCATGTAAAACTGTTGTTGGGGACTCCCAGAACAATATTAAGAACATTTTAAATGCCACAATAGGTGACCTCTAACATTTTGTAGACATTATAGGAATGTTACTTTTAAATGTTCTCTGGATGTTCTGAAACAAACAACATTTAAAAAAAAAAGTAAAAATGTTTCAGAAAAAGAAACATGTCTAATGTACAATGTAAAAATAGTTTTTGTTACATTATTAAAGACCAGATAACTCTGAACAAACATTCTAATAATTTAGCTGGAGGAACATTTGTTCATAACTTTGAAAGAACCTCGCCAGAACGTTGGTTAAAATTCAGAGAATGTCCCTTGTGACCTGGGAAGATACATACCTGATAGTTTAGCCAGTGCAGCCACAAATACCCAAATTATCACCAGGTATGGGGTCTGAACATGATGCCATTCAAACGTAACTATTGGAAGTCCAGTGAGATTCGGTTCCAGACGAGGACTCTGGACCACATTTGCATCTGCGCTTAGTCCTTGGATTAAAGGGTGAACAAAACACACCAGGAAAACTGCCCTCAGGCAGAGATAAGTAGAGTTCGACATTGTGACAGATGACTGTTAAAGACGCACTTACAGTCTCATTCTCCTCTCCAAACTGAAGTTGTCCTTCACAAAATCTCACAATCCAGTCCAAGTAAAGATTCCCAGTGTGCTCTTTCTGCTTGATTGTCCTGAAATGAAAAGTCCATGGAGAAACAAAGGATTGCAGTTTCCCCTTTTAGCTAGTTTTCTTTTAAATCTGCAGTCATTTTCAAAGTTGATCCCTCTCTAAGTGACTTGGCAGTGCTTTCATCAGTTGTGTCTCTGCGTTTGTGGTCCTGGTGAGAGCAGTGGTTCAATCTAGGTAGTGTAAGAGCGTAATAGGAGTAGGGCTGAAACCTCTAGTCAGCCTTTAATTTGTTACATAGAAAGGGGGCTGAGATCTACGTCACTGGACTGTTACTCTGTCACGTTTTTGATGATTACTCTTTCTGCTGCCATTGAAAAGTTTTACATTGGTTAGTGTTTAGCCAACTTTGACATCCCGTACTGCTGTGTTATTATGTTGAAGGTTTTTATTGCACATTTTGGTCCAAATATTCTGTCCAGATACTACATTGTGTTCATTGAAAATTGCATTGTGAGACTCTCTAAAATACATATAATAATTTGAAGTTGAAAGTTGTAGAGTTCAGTCAATAGTTAGCCTGGAAAAACGTCAACGCATTCTCATCCCAAGGCGGCGTCATATACGACGCTTTTGCCAATGCGTAGACATCCAACGCACATGGCACCCTTTACGTCACTATAACACGCACAGAGTATGTAGGTTTATGTCTGGGTTTAGGGTTAGACCACTAGGAGCAGTGGTGGAGGAAGTACTGAATCTCAGTACTTAAGTAAAAGTACAAATAACCAGCCCGTTCTCACCCTTTAACGTCATATAGAACGCTATATGCAAAAACGGCGCTATACTACGCACATGGCACCCTTTATCGTTAATATAACACGCGAACCCAAGACGTTATAAATCCTTTAGCGTGAATATGACACGCACACCCTACCCCACACCTAAACTTAGCCCTCACAGCGCGTGTTATATTAACGATAACGGGTGCCATGTGCGTAGTATAGCGCCGTTTTGTCATATAGCGTTCTATATGACGTTAAAGAATGAGAATGCGTTGCAATAACCAGATAAATATTTACTTTAGTAAAAGTAGAAGTAACACAATGACAACCATACTTAAGTAAAAAGTAAAAAGTACCTGATTTTAAATGTACTTTAAGTATTAAAGTACTTGCATAACAATTGATCCTCTTAATGACTATTTTCTAATGATTAATAAAACATTTAAATCTAACTCATTCAACCTAATACTCCCTATAATGATGTTCAATGATAATGGGAAAAAATTATTGTCACCATTTCTGAAACAAGCTTGCAATTAGGCAATATAAACCATGCTTATCCTTACTATATGTTAATAACTATGCTTGGCAGTAAACGCGATTAATTCATGGTGTAATTCTGAACCTCTTGGCTTGCCATACCAAACGTATTACACACGGTGTGTTCTCTTTCATAGGTTCACTCTCGTCTCGTACCCTATTCAGAGAACATAGGTTACGTAAGTAACCAGAGACGTTTCCTATGCACGTAAAAACAAATTTTCGCGTATAAATTGCACGATAAACACACTGCGTGCGAGACGCATTTAGTTGATGTATCCATGGCAACCAAACGTCACTGGTGAGACAAACCGTGCAACGAACGACGGTCAGATTACTTTTTGGCATCAGAAAATGTAATGAAAATGTAACAGAAGTTGTAGAAATGTTGTGTAACGAAGTAAAAAGTATGCACTATTTATTCTACTTAAGTAAAGTATAAAGATACGTGAAAAATGTACTTAAGTAAAGTAACAAAGTATTTGTACTTCGTTACATTCCACCACTGACTAGGAGGCACCTTCTGCCCCATATATATCTGCGTCTCATATTGACGCTAAAGGGTGCCATGTGCGTTGGATATCTAAAGGATCGTATATGACACCTTGGGATGAGAACGGGCTGAAAACATCATAGCCATTTAGACCAATTTAAGGAATGTTCAGCCATAAATAAAAAAAATGTCACTGTTTACTCACCCTCATTCTAAGCATCATTCTAAACCTGTATGATTTTCTTTTAATCAGTTCCTTTCACTATCCACCCTGTATGGAATAGAGCAGCTTGGGTTTTCTGCTAAACATCTCCTTTTGTGTTCCACAGAAGAAAGAAAGTCAAACGGGTTTGAATCAAACATTAGGTGAGTAAATGATTGGGGACTTAATTTAAATTTCCCCTCCCCCATTACATAGATTTACGAAATTAATGTTATATTTATAAGGATGTTAAACCATTGTGAAACCATATTGCTGACTTCTGGCGGTTCTAGTATACAGCAGTTTAAATAAAAAGTTTCCACTCATTTTGAGTTAAACTTTTACTTTATTTGTCCCTGTGTGAATGTGACGTAAAAAAAAAAAAAAAAAAAAAAAAGTGATCGGTACGGCCTGTACTCGTGTGTGTGTGTTGGCTTTAATAGATCCTAAGATGACAGTTTCACTACTTACTGAACTGAAAAATAAGGCTAAAGGCAAAACAACACAACTCCACCTTGGAACCTTATTGAAAGTAAAATAAAAATATAATAAAAAGTATTATTATTATTACAGTTTTTTATATCTACAATGGTCATTGACAAAATAACTCTCCTCTTGCTGTAAATTGAGTAAATACAGTATTTTTTGTTGCTTATTTTATCATTCCTGTTCTGCTGTGTGTTAATAAGTGAGGGATTATGCAAATTGTTCTTTTTAAGTGTTTATTGGTGTTTTGTGTGTTTGTTCAAATCCTGCTCTGTGATTTTTACATTTTTATTTCTGTGTAATGATTTACAAAACAAGCTTTCTGCAATGTACATGCAATGATACTATTATTTATCTTGTCAAAACTGTTTCATTGAACCATTACTCAAACTTTTTCACTTGAGGCTACAACAATTCTCTTCTGCTGTCAATCATAATATTAATATTATATGGTGAATATAATGTTAATATCATTCAAATTGAGCTTTAAATGCAAGGGACTGACAATCATTTTGTTCTTGTGCTCTTTGAAGCAAAATAATTTTTTTTTATTTGCAACAATTAAAATTGTATTACTCAAACAACATTACAGTGCAAATTCAGGTTTTATCAGACACTACAAGTTACAGATTTCACCAGTTCTCATAAAGCATGAAATTCATACATTAATATGTTACTGTTAAACTATTATTTTTAATGACTTACATTTTAATGGTCTTCGTTCTACTAATAAAACATGAATAGCTTTGAGTCAAACTCAAAAATAAATCATTGTAAGATAAAGAAATGCAGAAACAGATATTGTGATACTACAAAGAAGCACCCACAGAATAATCATATAATAATAAATAACCATATGCAACATGTTAAATTTAACATTATAGACCAACTTGTCAAAGGTCAAAAAAAATATCAAGATGCACCTGAACATAGAACCGACAGACAATTGCTAAACAGTTCTGATTTGGCACTCTGACAAATCATGTATAGATGACTATAATGGTTTTGTATTTTTAGTTTCACATTGGAGGAAAGATTTGTAAATGTGCTAGGATGGTGTAAATACAATTAAGTGCCATAATAGCTTCCACAAAAATGTGGGCTTGTATAAAGAAGCCCCTCAAGAACATTCCATAACAACTAACCTAAGTACTTCAGTGACCATTTGTCTGCTAAATCCGTATTTATTCTCTTCCTTCCCTTTGTGATTTTTAAATATATATATATATATAACTAGGTAAAACATTTCAGAGACCAAAGTCGTACCAGCATGACTTCAAGTCACTTGCTTTAGTTTGTGGCATTATATATATATATATATATATATATATATCAGTCTTTAAAGATATATGAGATATATAATGCTATGATTCAACACTATATGATTCCTTAATCTCTGGGCTCATGACATAATAACAGCCTAAAATGAAAGGATTAACCTAATCGCTTTTTTGGCAGGTTAATGTTGGTGAATGAAAATATATCAGATTACAATCTAGTATGATTTTTTCCGGGCTTTTCTTCAGGTGCCTCATCATCAACTGAAGCATTAGCCATCGCGATGGAGTCTGTGGAGCGGGTACTTCTTCTCAGCGGTCTCAGGTTGGTGGGCTCCCAGGGCAGTCGTCCCGGAGCTCTCTGGGAAGGTGCCACAGCCGCGTTGTTCCCGGTCACTGTTTGCCAGGGTGGGTTTCGTGTGGGTGCAGAGTTGTCCATCTCAGGTATGAATGCTGGATTATCTACACCAGCTGCAGTCATGAGAATAATTATGAACGAGACACCATGGAAACAACCCTCTAAAAAAATTGTTTCTTCTCACTTGCAAACTTTTTTATGTAAGATTATATTGTAATTTACATATTATATATATATATAGTTATAATAGTCACAGGTTTGGCACAGGTTTTACACCATGGGCCACACACACACTCCTACGGCCAATGTGACATATCCAATCCACCTAGCCTACTGAGCCACCGTGCCACCACACTATGACATACACTCACTGTATAAAGGATTATTAGGAACACCATACTGATACTGTGTTTGACCCCCTTTCGCCTTCAGAACTGCCTTAATTCTACGTGGCATTGATTCAACAAGGTGCAGAAAGCATTCTTTAGAAATGTTGGCCCATATTGATAGGACAGCATCTTGCAGTTGATGGAGATTTGTGGGATGTACATCCAGGGCACGAAGCTCCCGTTCCACCACATCCCAAAGATGCTCTATTGGGTTGAGATCTGGTGATTGTGGGGGCCATTTTAGTACAGTGAACTCATTGTCATGTTCAAGAAACCAATTTAAAATGATTCGAGCTTTGTGATTATCCTGCTGGAAGTAGCCATCAGAGGATGGGTACATGGAGGCCATAAGGGGATGGACATAGTCAGAAACAATGCTCAGGTAGGCCGTGGCATTTAAACGATTGGCACTAAGGAGCCTAAAGTGTGCCAAGAAAACATCCCCCACACCATTACACCACCACCACCAGCCTGCACAGTGGTAACAAGGCATGATGGATCCATGTTCTCATTCTGTTTACGCCAAATTCTGACTCATCAGACCGGGCAACATTTTTCCAGTCTTCAACTGTCCAATTTTGGTGAGCTCTTGCAAATTGTAGCCTCTTTATCCTATTTGTAGTGGAGATGAGTGGTACCCGGTGGGGTCTTCTGCTATTGTAGCCCATCCGCCTCAAGATTGTGCATGTTGTGGCTTTACAAATGCTTTGCTACAAACCTCGGTTGTAACGAGTGGTTATTTCAGTCAAAGTTGCTCTTCTATCAGCTTGAATCAGTCGGCCCATTCTCCTCTGACCTCTAGCATCAACAAGGCATTTTGGCACCCAGGACTGCCGCATACTGGATGTTTTTCCCTTTTCACACCATTCTTTGTAAATCCTAGACATGGTTGTACGTGAAAATCCCAGTAACTGAGCAGATTGTGAAATACTCAGACCGGCCAGTTTGGCACCAACAACCATGCCACGCTCTATATTGCTTTCATTCAGTTTGGAGTTAAACCCCTAAATGCATTGAAGCAACTGCCATGTGATTGATTAGATAATTGCATTAATGAGAAATTGAACAGGTGTTCTTCCTAATAATCCTTTAGGTGAGTGTACGTCATGTAAATTCAGTATTTAGCTACACAAAATTATTCTTACCTCCAGGTGCATTTGTGCTTCTAGGGAAATGACCAATCTCACTGCTAGAGGCGCTGTCTGCAGAAAACTCAAAATCTGACAGGACGAAAAAAAATAATTTCCATCAGTATATTAATACTAAAATAATCATACCCTCCGAATAAAGTAAGCTAAATGCTAAAACTAAATAGTGACAAGTGATAGCTAAACATCAAATAAAGAAAAATACCTTCATCTCCATATGGATAGGTTCTGTTTGGGTCCGCTGGCTTTCCATTAGGCTAAAAATACAGTTATGAACAAAAATAAGTCCACAAATTTTTAACCCCGTTTTTTTGTGTTTAACATATAGTATTTTTAGCATGTTGTCATAATGTAAAATGTAAAAAAAAAAATCTGTAAAAACCTGGATTCACATTTAACTCTACATTAAAGGGATACTCCACTTTTTTTAGGAAATAGGCTCATTTTACCACTCCCCCAGAGTTAAACAGTTGAGTTTTACCGTTTTTGAATGTATTCAGCCGATTTTCTGATATTTAGAAGAATTTCAGACAGTTTCTGGTCTCATTGACTTCCATAGTATATTTTTTCCTACTATGGAGGTCAATGAGACCAGAAACTGTCTAGTTACTGAAATTCTTCTAAATATCAGAAAATCGGCTGAATGGATTCAAAAACGGTAAAACTGTTTAACTCTGGGGGAGTGGTAAAATGAGCCTATTTCCAAAAAAAAAAAAAAAAAAAGTGGAATATCCCTTTAAACCTACATTTAACTCTATTTCAAAAAATATTTAACCAAAGGAAGACAGCAGGACATTAAAGTCTTATACCTTATGAGTGGAATCCTTCTTGGGATGTTTGGAGAGTTTCTTAGCAGGGTTGACACCCATCTTAGCTGATTTGAAGGACTCAAGACGGCTTCTCATGGTTCTCTGGAAGATCTCCTGCATTTCGTCTGGATTCTCTGAGGATTTATAGTGACTACGACTGTAAGTGGGACGGTTCTGTTCAGAAACAGGAGAAATGGATTGATTTCAGATGGAATGAGATTCAGATGAGTGTTTCTACTAGGCAGCCACATTGATCCAAATATTGTTAAGGAAACGATACTACATTTAAAAAAAGAGGGACTCATGTTGTGAGTAGCACAATTCTTACAAATCTTCTACTCTTGTACAGGTGCTGATCTAGTATATGATGGGCATTGAGGTCACCAGGCATGCTCCCCCTGTCTTGCTCATGGATATCCAGGGATACTGATGGAATCTGGTTCTTCCTATATTAAAAGAAGCAGAACACATTTAGCCATCTAGATATTTGTGCAGTTTTGAACTCATAAAACCTTTGCACTTTTCTTTACATATAGGAATTGTATTCAGTAGTCTACTAAAATGATTGGGCAACAATATCTGTGAGGTAGGAAAGGTGAATGCATAAAGTATGAAATTCTTACATGACAGAGGTCACTGGAACATTGTCAATGCCAAAGTCATATTCTGACATGTCATACATGATGTCAGGCATAACATCTCCATACTCTAATGCAAGCTTCTTCTTGAAGTCTACAGAGGCATTGTCATCATTACGAATGAAAGCCAAAGAACCTTTGCTTTCACCCTAAATGTGAAAAACACTATTGAGTACATTCTTAATATGATTTAGTAGCTGATAAAATAATAATAAAATTAAGTTACTGTATCTAAAAATAGAACAGAACATTTAGCAAGTAAATTAAACATTAATACAATCGACGGTATTATGCTGAATTAGTAGTTTTGCTCTCACCGCAGTGACATATTTTTTGGCGTCCTCAAGATTGAGTTTGTGGAAGGCACCAAATATATTGTCGTTGTGCTTTCTGGCATCGCTATTCATTAATAGCCAGCAGACATACTTTTCTTCAAAATGTTTCCAACTAAGAAAAAGAAAAGAGAAAAAAAAACTGAGTAAAAGTGATCAAATTTAAAGTATCTATATTATAAAGTGAAATGCTTACTGTCTGGTCCACCAGTTATCTCCCATTCGGCCACAGATGTCCTCCATTGCTGTTAGTGTGTGCTCAAAAGTCTATCGAGAAACATACACAATGATTTTTTGATGTTGAAAATTACCACTACATATTGTAGTGTAACTAGATGTCATGCACTAAATCATATTTGCAGTGCATAAACTCAATCCATAATGACACAAACTGTAACATTCCTCAGCACTGAGGTCAGACCAGTGTTACTATTTTTTAAATCATATATATTTTCAGAGTTTTGAGGTTACCATTTTTCTTCACAATATTTGATCTCATTTGCAGATATTTTTACATTTTAACAAAGTCTACTCTATGATTTTACTCTGTCGGCTTTTTATTCATTCAGAAGGAATAAATCTGAACGAATAACTCTTTTGAATCAGGTGATTCAATGAATCGGTTTATGAATTAGTTTAATTTGAATTGTCCCGGCCGGGTGTGTTTCCCGAACAACAATGTAATTCACTGAATAACTAGTAACTACCTCACGATGCATTCATCGTTGGAGAAACTTACCAACTAGCCATGGCTGTTTCCCGAAATCGCTGTACAACATGGTCGCGCCTCTGTCGTTTGGTTTGAACCCTCTATTTGAACCACATGATTCAACAATGTGGACCTGTTGCTAGGACGTCGCGTGCAGGTGGTGGGGTAGTAAGTCTGTTAATTGGATCTTACTGAGATTTCCGATATACTGGTGTAACTATATGACACATAATGACTTCACTGCTTTTGTTCCATGTCATTTTGCTTTATTTGATGTTTGATTCATCACGGGGTTCCCTCATACGCCATACTCCCTCCGGAGTTCGCTTGCCATTTAATGCACGCGCATTGTGCACTCTTCAACGGAGCCAATTGCTGACACGCTATATAGATTAAAATGCTCATATATTTAAATAGAATGAAAGATATATAATGTAGTAAATGTTATGTTGCTTATTGTGCCAAAGAGCATGATCTATTTAAAGGAGAACTCCGGCGAACAATGAACCTTTGGTCTAATAAAACATCGGTACATAGTTAACCATTCTCTGAGATTTGTTTTCATGATAATCGAATGTAAAGAGTTTTATCTCTAAAAACTGTTTAGCGTATAATGCTAGTAATGGGGGCATTGACTAAGTAAAAAGAAATCGCTAGTTTATACCACTAACAAGGCTCAAAATAGCCCCACACTAACGCAGTAACATAATGAGGCTCCATACGTACATACAAAACGAAGCATTGAGAACTTTGTAAGTGTACAGACCGTTTAATAAGAAGATACTTTATGAAGACAGTTCACTTCGTGTATACAGACAGGAGCCATCTTAAAAAATAGTCTCGATAAGTCAAACCACGAACGTCGTGCTGAGTGATCTGAACTCTATGAAGCTCAACGAACTTCTGAACTGTCTGAACGGCGTTCGGGGATCGACTTATCGAGACTATTTTTTAAGATGGCTCCTGCCTGTATACGCATATATATATATATATATATATATATATATATATATATATATATATATATGCTGATCATGCAGTAGAGGGATACAGTATGTGTCATTACAGTTCCTTACCCTGTTGTTTATTTTTCCATTGAGTGTCAGATCTGATATAGTTGCCTTTTTAACCTTCAGCCACTGAACAAATGGTTTCATGGTGATTCCCTAAAAACACACACACACAATGACTTCAAGTTAGTTTAATCCATGTCTGTTGTCAGATGGGGACCATGGGAACATCACAAAAAGCTGACTTTTATAATTTGCTTGCAGGCCTTATATTCGAGTGATGGCAATGGCAGTGGGATGCCAAGCATTCTCTACAGTCAGAACCAGTGGATGAGGGGACGTACCTGAAGAACGACTGTGAAATACACCACAATGAGTGTTGTACCAAGCATCAAATTCTTCTCTGGGATCTTAGCCTCATCCAAAACAGCTGCGAGTCCATATGCCACTGCTCCTCGAAGACCACCGTAGCTCATTACAATCTGGTCAGTGATGTCAATAGGAATTAGTCGACTCTGATTTAAGATCCAGTTGAGGAAGAAAACACCTGTTTATAAAAAAAAAGATTTATTCAAACTATCAAAAAAGAAGTTAAAAACATCAGTTTTCATCAAAATACGTACAATAAAGTTTTAAGCAGAGTTTACAAGGAATTTATGTCTCACCCATGAACCTGAATACAATGATGAAGAGGATTGTAAGGAGGATGAAGCCAGTGTTCCAAACCCAGATGTTTTTATCAATGGCCGAAACTCCCAGGAAGACAAAGATCATGGTCTCAGAGCCGTTGGCCAACACCTTCAGACTATAACGTAACGTCGTGACCGATTTCTCATCCATGTTGGCGTTAACATACTTCTGACAGCAGACACCACAGAAAGTGATCCTGTAATGCACAAATCCAGAGTCAAATTATTGTAAACCCAATTAGGAATTGTTTACATTCATTTACTATTTTATAATGTATTTATTTATCGGCATTTATCAGAGAAGCATTGAGATCCTTACGAAAGTATAGCAGAGAGGGAGAGCATCTCAGCCGTCAAGTAAGACAGATAGCCAAGCACAATGATGAAGCCGGCTTCGATGACCTGGACGTTTTTGGTGATCCTGGTCAGCATGGATATCAGAATGGCAAACACAACGCCAACCAACGAGCCTCCAAATGCCACCACAAAGAACGAAACTAAAGGAGAAAAGTTTCTTCTAGTTTCGTTTCGGAAAACACCCCCAGTGTTTGGGGTATCAATCAGGGTTATTATGATTATCGTTAACTAAAATGAAATCTTAAATCATAAAATAAACATATTCATCACTTTAAATAAAATAAGCATACACTGAAAAATAACAAAATACAAAAACTTAATTTAATTTCAGCTAGTTGGCAATGCAACATTTCTCATTTTCTTTTAGTTTAAGTAACACTGCATCATTTGGCTCAATTTGTAATAAAATAAAAAGCCATGACAAGATGTTTATTAGGGAACAGCAGAAAAAAAAGATGCATTTTCACTAGTGATCAAAGAGTTTTGGACCCCAAGGTCTGTGTCCATACTTATTCCTTTGATGATCTCTTCAGCATTGATCTTTGGGCCTCCCAGAGACACAAAAGCATCAAACACATTATAAAGCACCTGTGACCAAAAAGAGCAAGAGAAAGGCGTTATATAACATGGATGCAATAGCCATCAAATGACAGTCAAGTAAAGTTCTAATAGAACAGGTCATGGTTACTCAAAAAGAGTTGTTGAGAAAAACTGAGACTCACCACTGTGACACCATCGTTGAGTAGTGACTCTCCAAACACCAGGATGTAGAGCACTTCATTCACATGCACTTCCTCAAACACGGCAATGACGGCCACCGGGTCCACAGCGGACATCAGAGCACCAAACAACAGGAACTGCAGAGGGCCGATGTTCAGGGTCCCTTAGGGTAAGCCAAATTGTTTGTTTTATTAAATGGCACTATCTTCTAACTAAGGCTGCATTTATTTATTTGATTAAAAAAACGTAATATTGTGAAATGTTATTACAATCTGTTTTGATATATTTCAATATGTAATTTATTCATATGGTGGCAATCTCATATTTACCCATTGCGCCCCCCTCATAGCAAGCCCATAAAGCGACGCCCACTGTGCCCGCATTCCAACACGTTCCGATAACGGCATGGACAAGAATGGCACCCAGGTTACTGAAGAATAGTTTGTTTGGCATGCAGTAACTTGCATCCAGGACGATCTGGGGCAGCAAGTAGTAGAAGAAGTTGACGGGGAGCAGTTTGAAAGTCTGCGCCTTGTCTGCTCCCCAGACGATTCCTCCCAAAATAAAGCCCATCATGATGAGAAGACCACTCTCCGGGATCACACTGGTGAAACTATGGTTTAGTTCACACACTACAAAAAGAGAGAAGAGATAGAGAAACAGGTGATGATGTGCTGAATTTTCAGCACCTTCAGTGTCACATGATTCTTACGAAAAACATTATAATATCAACACTGTAAAAAATTATCCTGTAAAAAAAAAAATGGTAAACTACTGGCAGCTGTGGTTGCCAGCATCATGTAACTACACGGTGTGTTACTGTTTTTGTGTTATTAGAGCATATTGTTACATTAAAGTTTTATACTAGCTGTATTTAGTACGGTATTTAGATGTTAATTTCAAAAACAGTAACACACCGTATTTTTACAGTGAGGGTTTCCCAGATTTTTCTTTTCTTTTTTAGAAGTAACGGGCACTCATGGTTATGGATAGAAATGTAGTGGAGTAAAGTGCAATATTTCCCTCTCAAATGTACTTGAGTAAAGTCATGAGTACTCCCCCAAAATTATACTCGAGCAAAGTAGGCTACATATCCCTCAAAATTGCAGGGATTCTCCACTTTTTTTGGAAACAGGCTCATTTTACAGCTCCCCCAGAGTTGAACCAAATGAACCAAAGATGAACCAAAGTTTAAGATTTCAGTTTGAGCTTAAAGATTGTGGAAGAGAAGATACAAGTAATCCATGAAACATGGTGCATGGACCGAGTACATTTACTTGAGTACGGTAACACTTTGTAAAGTGTTACCCTTGAGTACAGTATTGAAAGGGATACTCCACTTTTTTTGGAAACAGGCTCATTTTACAGCTCCCCCAGAGTTAAACAGTTGGGTTTCATCATTTTCGAATCTATTCAGCCGATTCTCTGACATTCTTCTAAATATCAGAAAATCGGCTAAATGCATTTGAAAATGGTGAAACTCAACTGTTTAACTCTGGGGGAGCTGTAAAATGAGCCTGTTTCCAAAAAAAGTGGAGTATCCCTTTCAATACTGTACTCAAGGGTAACACTTTACAAAGTGTTACCACTTTACAAAGTGTTACCGTACTCAAGTAAATGTACTCGGTCCATGCACCATGTTTCATGGATTACTTGTATCTTCTCTTCCACATTCTTTAAGCTCAAACTGAAATCTTAAACTTTGGTTCATCTTCACAAACTCAGCTTTATAAATTCTGCAGACAAATCTGACTTCAGCAAAATATTCTGTTTGCTTTGCATTTAATAACAGTGGTGAGTCCTTTCCTATGGTATTACTTACTGGTGGAGCCCGTTCTCATCCTTTGGCGTCATATAGGTGACGCCATATGATATTTCATATGATAATGTCCCCAATTACTGTACTTTGCAATGTCTTTGTAGCTTATAAACGATATTATGTAACAGGACTAATTCACTTTGATCCACGTTATTCTATCATAGTCCATTGAGCCGTGACATAGCCTGCAATTGTTTGACCAACAAACAATTAGATTTTTATGTGGAATATTGGGTCTGGAGTACTTACACAGTTTAAATCCCGTTGACTCTGGGCAATAATGGCTGTATAATGCTTACTAAACAGATCTGGCTTAAACTAGTAAGGAGTTCTGCACCTTGTTGACCCCTCTCTTCTTGTATGTTTCTGTAACTAAACCCATTGTTAAAAATAGTCAGGGCGTTACAGCATCAGGGTGGGCATTCACATTCATAATATTGTAGGTGACCTTGACATGTTTTTACGAGTGAGCTAAAATGGTTTTAACAATTGTGAATTCTAAAATAGTAGCATGCATCTTTTATGGAAATCTGAAGTAATGATTGATGCAGTTATTTCTCAATGTCTTGAATCAATGTCAACCTATACAATGAGCATGCAGTCCTCATGCTGGCTCGGCAACACCAGAATTTTTATTTAAATTGCCTGAGGATGGCAGGAAATGATGGGGTGATCAGGACAGATTGAGACAATTGCTAGCCAGACCAGTTTTAGTATTTTAGCTTTTTTCTGTGGTTATTTTAGTGTGTTTTAGTTGTGTCTGTGATAAAGTTAGTCTGGTTTATTCATTACATTAGACTATTGCATTAAAACAAACATACTGTGTTAATGTCAAGTCTCAGACTTATTTTTAATATTATGCACTAAAGCTGTCCTGAGACTCTGCCTTTGAGGAAAGTCAAAGATTCAGGTGAGCCATTAATTATTTAATGTAGTACATAATTAACTAGCAGTAAGGTATTGTTTCAACGCTGTAATTTCCCAGAGAGTAGATCACTCCAGCTCTACCCATGACTGCCAATGCATGTGTTACAGATAATGTCCTGGAACTAAATCTGAATTGTATACTTCATTTGCTCCTTGCCAACAGGCAATTACCAGATTCTATGTGAGTTTATGAACATTGGATCTTTGCACATGCAGTATTTGAACATAAAACTGCAGGTGACATTGACGTGAAACTTGAAGAAATAATCACTCACCTTCAGACTTTAACATTATGTTTTGAGTTATAGTGCAGTCAATTTATTAAACATTTAATCCAATTTATTACACAATATGCACAATTTATGAATCAATTCGGAATTAATCAACATTTGCCTAAACAGAACAAAAATAATAAAAATGTGGCTTTAGCAGTCAATATTGTTTGTTTTGGCCTATATAGCAAACATTTTACAGTTAAGTTTGTGAAACTAAAGATAAATTGGCTGTTCTGTAAGTTCTAATTTATTTTGTCAGTCAGTCATTATATGGCATAAATGCGATAAACAGGATTTTATTTTATTGTGAAATGCATTACAGGTGTAAAGGTGTTGTTTGTGTGATTTTTATTGCCATGTTTTCATTAGCAGTTTATTCTATTTTCAGACTGATCTCATGAAATGGCGTATGTATGACATGCCAATTTGTATTTCCATTTTTGGCGTGCTATCAACACGCATAATCACTTTTCGGCGTGACTTAATGTTACATTACTGTATATATATATAAATATAGCCCCTTTCACACCAGCGCAGTCTCACCCCAAAAAGTCATATAACTGACGTTTTGGGACGTCTCTTGACCATACGTCAATATTCGCCTTTTTAGGGCCCCCTTAAACGTCGGTAGATGAGGTTATGGGATCCTAACTCTACCCCAGACCTAAACCTAACCCGTCACCTAACTGACGTTAAAGGTAAAGCGTCAGTTGTATGACGGCCTGGGATCGCCATCTACCGACGTTTAAGGGTACCCTTAAAAGGCGAATATTGACGTATGGTCAAAAGACATCCCAAAACGTCAGTTATATGACTTTTTGGGATGACAATGTATTGTTCACACAAAATTCCCGGGAAATACACGTATAATGTGACCCGGTATTTGTCCCGAGATTGTTTGATTTCGGTTCATTCACACTGCCAGTGATTTGCCGGGATCTGTGAGTGCGTTCACACACATCCCGTAAAGATCCCGGAAGGACACATGACGTCAGTATGAGGGGTGTAACGTACGTGTCGAAAACATGTACACGCGCATACCGTTCCACAAAGTTAGTGAACGATCTCAGCATCAGCATCATAGTGAGGAGCTCCTGGTCTCTGCTGATCTTCGTTCCAGTTTGCAGACATTTGTTCGTCCTTTCTTTGCTGATGACGAACACAAACTTTCCAACGCATTCTCATCCTTTAACGTCATATAGAACGCTATATGACAAAACGGCGCTATACTACGCACATGGCACCCTTTATCGTTAATATAACACGCGAACCCAAGACGTTATAAATCCTTTAGGGTGAATATGACACGCACACCCTACCCCACACCTAAACTTAGCCCTCACAGCGTGTGTTTTATTAACGATAACGGGTGCCATGTGCGTAGTATAGCGCCGTTTTGTCATATAGCGTTCTATATGACGTTAAAGGATGAGAACGGGCTGAACTTTCTTATAAGAGCAACAGAGTCGCGCGATAGCACGACCGTCATCGCTATGACACACCCCTTACGGCACTGGTCCTGGCTTTTGTTCACACAGCGCGCGTTCCGGGACTGATTCCGGCAATGTTACTAGGTCCCCAACCCGGCATCGATCAATCCCGGGTCGTGTTTGCATTCACACAGAAGGCGTTCTGGCAATTTCCCGACAATTTCCCGGGGGAAAACGCGCTGTGTGAAAGGGCCCGGGCTTTTATGCCCCATCCCTAAACCGACCCTTCACTGGGGTTAATACAATTTATGAGTCTTCCCCACCATCCTAGGAAAAAAATATCGCTCCCCAGATGTACATCTACATTTTGCTATGTTTCGCTCGGACATTTACGGTGTGTACATACACGCATACACGGGGATAGCTCAAAATACGTATAGATAACAAACACGCCACTTGACTTGAAAGTGGTGTATATGTTTACGCAAAAGTCATGATGCCATGTTGCAATTTTTGTGGTTGATAAAAGTTAAAATCTTCTTATCGGAGCCGTATGCAAGATTGTGGCCAAAACTGGTACAATCACTTTCAAATTACTATAGAGCGGTGTATAGGTCATAGACTGTAAAAAACTTCTTATCGAATTTTTGAAATCGATCAACTTTTATCCCGTGTTATTCTTCGACAAGTGTTTTGACTGAACCGTGTATAGTGGGCCTAGTCATGGCGGCGAAAAGAGAAAAATCGCTCACAGAGTGAAATGCATTCTTATGCAAAGAATTTTAATGAGAAAAGTATAGTGATGGAACGAGTAGCCTAAGTTAGCCCCGAGAGTAAGAAAAAAAAAGATTTTTCCTTAATTGATTTATAGCCTATAATTCAATAAAGGAGAGATCGTTTATCAGAACTGAATCAAAGGTGTCTGTAAATCAGTGTTGTAGTACTCGAGACTCGGACTCGTCTCGGATTTGGATTCGAGACCATATTTTAATGGTCTTCTTGGTCTTGTCATGGACTCGTGTCCATTTGGACTCGGAATTGACTCGTACTCGAACATTTTTTTTTTTAGGACTCGGAATTATTCCCGAGTCCACTCGAGTTCAATTAAAAATATTTTTCATGATTATTAATGTATGTTGATAAAATATTTCTTTAAAATTGATTGACACGCCCAGTGATTGGTAATTTCTAGTGCGCAACTGCGCATGACAAATTGTAAATAAAATTACTTTTAACACCACCTACTATGTGGCCTTTTTACCCTAAACTGATCATATTTTTTAAACTCTAAGTAAATTCAGTAAAAAAAAAAAAAAGGATTTCTCTAAGTAAATAAAACTAAATTAGGTAATCAACGCTCACTGGTCTCGGTCTCGACTCGGACTCGACCGTCTCTGGTCTCGGACTCGACTCGGACTCGACTCTCTATGGACTCGGTCTTGACTCGGACTCGACTCTCTCTGGTCTCGGTGTCGACTCGGACTCGAGTGAGGTGGTCTCGACTACAACACTGCTGTAAATACTGTGCGCGTCAAAGATCTGCGGGAGAAAGTAGACCGCATAACGAAGTGGGCGGTTTTAGCATCGAAATGGACGCTCTCAAGCAGAAACATGAAGCTTATGAACAGATATTGCGGTGTTAGAAGAAGAGAGGTTGTCCGATGCAGAGCGTTATGGAAGGAGGTGGAATTTACGGCTTTAACGGGCTAGCGGAGAACAGGCCAGATAAGGAGGTGTGTTGTGCTGTCGTTCCAGAATTCAACACGAGCACAGTTCCAGGCCTGTGAAATTCGACAACCTGACAGACTATGGCGTTATTTTCCTGTTAAATGTCGAGAGCGCATAATTGTAGCACGAAAGTACGTTAATGTGATGCGCGAGCGCGAATCTCGCTGGTCGCGCGTGGAATATAGGCTACCGAAATAACGCCATACAGACTTCATGAAATTTCTGTGTTCAGGTAAAAAAAAAAAAAAAAGGAAGGAAGTTTTTGTTCATTTTAACACAGAAGGGTTGTCCGATGATTGTTCTAGTAAACAGGACGGTTGTTGTTAAAGTTTTTTTTTCTTATCCTGTCTTTTTCTTTAGTTTCTCCATCCGCGATATAAATAAAAGAAAGCCTGTATTTTTATTTTTGAAAGACAAAAGATCCGATTTTTATTTATTACAAAAAACGCACACATTTTCAAAGGCTGATTATTTTTGGAAGAGTTGGTGGGGTCAGGACATTTGGTTGAGTCATGGTACAAATAGATCAGCAGGGGTCGCTATTCTCAGAGGGAATTTCAGGGACAAAATTCTTCATAATGAGAGTAATAATAATGGAATGTGGCTAAAAACCATATTACAGGACTCTCATAAGCAATATATTATTGCTAATATTTATGGAACTAATTGCAAATCTACAAAATTGATTTTACTCCATGAATTAGAAATACGAATTTTAGACCTATCAACTAAATACATGAATGCAAAATGTATTCTCAGGGGTGATTTTATTGTAGTCCCAGATAGTAGTATAGATGTCCTCCCAAAGGTGTAAAAGATGATAGTAGCAAGATTATCTCTGGGTTATGCAATAACTTCTTGTTGATATCTGGCAGAAAATTAACCCCAAAAAACTCAGGTGGAAAAACAATGATTTGTCTTTGCAGTCCCGAATAGATTTATGGTTAATATCAGAGGAGTTGACATCGTTACAACATTTGAATGAGTAAAACAGTTGCCAAAAATAAATGGGCCAAAATGTAAGCCATCATCCAAGAGTTTGGTGCCCTGTGTGATAAAACAGATTTAACGGAAGAACAAGCACAAAATTTCAGAAAATTACAAGAGAATTTAAATAGACATTATGAGGAAAAGGCAAAATCTGCTTTCATACGTTCCATAATAAACTGACTCGAACAAGTGAATAAACACAAGATATTTTTCATTCTTTAGAAAAAAGAAATGGTGATGATTATCAATTAATAATTATGCATAAATAATTCTGTCACAAATGATTTAGCTACAATCAAAAAAAAATAAAGCAGAATTTTATAAAACTTTGTGCTCTGATGTACAGTATTCGTAAATACTGGAGTGCTTTTTTAGAAAAATTGGATAATACTACTTTTGTTAATTGTTTGTTAATGATGAATTTGGCAGCATTTGTGAGAAAGAGCTTAGTATTACAGACATTATCAACATTATTAAGAAACTCAAGGACAACAAATCTCCTGGTAATGATAAGCTTACGCAAAACTACCCGTTTATTTTAGCTATGTTTAATGTTTAATCTATAAATAATGCCATACCTCCATCCCTGAGACAGGGGCTAATTACCTTAATACCAAAGGCAAATAAGGACACCTTATCTTTAGATGGGTGGAGACCCATAACTTTATTAAACAGTGATGCCAAAGTGTTTTCTCTTATATTTGCTAGCAGGTTGAAATTAGGATTGGGCTCCTTAATTGATCAGTCTCAGTCTGGCTTCATGAAAGAGGGGCATGTCTGTAATAATATTCATCTTATTCTCGATTTTATTGATTATAATCACCTTCTCAATGATGACAATCTAATACTATTTGTTGATTTTAATAAAGCATTCGATACAGTAGAACATGAACATGTGGTTCCCAGACACGTCTCAATACACAAACTAGACCTATAGCTATACCTATACCTAAATCTAAACTCGACTTCCTTCCATTCGGTCTTCTTTTAAGCAAATGTTTTGTCCATTCGGTCTCCTTTTAAATCTATAAGATTTTGATGTCATTTTTTTCATATTTAAAAATCTCTGGTCGTTTGCCATCATTTTATGCCAGTATCAAAAGCCAAATCTTCACCCAGTTCTTTATACAGTTATGGTTCGACAAGGCTATTCAAGCTCTGCCATTAAAACCACTTAATACCATCTACGCCTACTTCTACACCTGATTTAACACCCATTCAGTGGAGCTCTTAGTGGCACTTTGTTTGTTTTGCGTGCTGGGTCCATCAAAAAAAAAAGTACAATCACTAGTAAAAAACACGAATGTAAAAATGAGTGTCAGAGAATTCAATTTGCATTAGTCTACAGTTCCTCCATGGAGCCTCTAAGTGGCAGACATACTTTATTTTAAAACTGATTCCTGAGTAACTGCAGTAACTGTTCAGTTTGGAGAAAACCGCCTTCTGAATCATCCAAATATGTCTGAGAAGTGTCAAGAAGCCGGCGAGCTTTATTCGTTGCGCTTTATCTTTGTGGCAGCATTTTATAGAAAAACAAATTGCCTGTTAAGTGAGAAGAGGATGGAGGAGCGCAAACGCTGTAAAAACTTCAGGCCTTCCCTATTACTATGAGAATACATGCTCCATTGTGTCTTTGAGCTGTGCCAGGTTTCATTGTGAATTCATGCCAAAAGACAAAAGCTGAAGCTCACCCCTTTGTTCTCTCAACATAACCATTTTTCCCCCATTTAATTTCCGTAAAAGTGATATTTATTGTTATTTCATGTTAGTTACTGGATCAAAAGGTTTAAAAACGCTTCACTGTAAAAATATTGTTGGTTTAACTTAAAAAATTAAGTAACCTGGTTGCCTTAAAATTTTAAGTTGATTGAACTGGAAAAAGTGAGTTACTACAATGGAGATTGATTTAATCATCAGAAACTCAAAATAATAAGTTATCTGAACTAAATAGATTATTTAAGTTGATTTGACAAAAGAAAAAATGTTGTGATAACAAATCTTGACAATATTTGTGTTGTATTGTATTTGTCGAGACTGCATTAGTTTAATTTGAGGAGCTTTTGTCTGGCGTAAAATGACTGCGATTTTTGTTGTCAGGTTGTATGGGCTTTTTTTTTAAGTTTGTTAATCTGTAATCTGATATTAAAGATATCAGATAACCTGATTCCCGTTTGACAATAAGATGGCAGATGTGCACATTCAGTGGTACTATTTAAATTATCTGAATTAAAAACTCAATGAGTGAACAGGTAACATCACAATACAGACTGCATGGAAAAATATCCGCATTATCCGGGAAAGAATGTTCACAAAGAATACCTTAAAACTCGCTTTATCTTTACCAAAACATTTGAGCAAACCTTAACTTAACCAGCATTCCTCAAGCTTGCTTAGTCAGAGCCAAATTTTACATGCGGACAAAAATGATTACACTGTAAAAAAAATATTTCCATGATTTGTAATCACAACATTTTTTCTTTTGTCAAATCAACTTAAATAATTCATATAGTTCAGATAACATAACATTTTGAGTTTCTGATGATTAAATCAATCTCCTTCATTGTATTAACTCAATTTTTTTCCATTTCAATTAACTTAAAATTTTAAGGCAGCCAGGTTACTTAATTTTTTAAGTGAAACCAACAATATTTTTTACAGTGTGTAGGGTGGATTCTTATTTTCCTTTGTTTTTGTAATATACTAACATGAGCTCGGCTTACCTAATTTACAGAGCCAGCAGGTCAATATCCATAGGGCCACCAGGTATGGAGTTTCTACGTGATGCCATTTCCAGATGACAATAGGTAATGTAGTGATGGTCGCAGTGGTGACGTTGGTTGAGGTTTCAGTGGCTGATGACTTTGAAGAATAGTTAGAGCCTACTTTAGCAATATCTACTTCTACTGCTGCAACCTTGCATGGTGTGTTGAAAACGATCAATAATGCTAGAAGAAGTGCAAACGGTCGTAGAAGCGCCATGGCAGACGTTTTTCGATCCCTATTGGATTAATTAGCTCTCATTGATGTTGTAACTGTTGTATGCAGTCAATCCTATATCCTGGCGTTTCTAAGCTCCTATCACTAAAAGCTGTCTTTCTCCTCGCTGTGTCAGTCTGAGATTGACTATAGCATGTATATGCTGTCCATTCCTTCTCTTATTGTCCCGCCTTTTACAAAAAAAAGATTCACTTTTGAGGTAGTATGTGGCCCCTCCCTGTTGTCTCTCCCAGGTACTTATTTGTGTGGGACTCATCTGAAGGATTTGTACAACATATGTCTTTATTGAAGGGGGCGGGTTCAAACACCTTGGGCCAGGAGTCTGAGGAAAACAGAGGTCCATAGTATGGCAAAGACACAGTCAAACCATTGTCTCCTAAACATCAGATTGTCTTGAAAAGTACTGTGCACACACTAAACAATGCTGGGTTGTTATAACCCAATTTTGGGTAAAAAATGGATGAACCCAAATGTTGGGTTAAAGATATAATTCTTTTATAATTTACTTTTACCCAACTTTCACTTTCAACTGTGATTTTTTTAAATTACGTTTTTAACCCAACATTTGGGTTTGTCCATATTTGACCCAAATTTGGGTTGAAACAACCCAATTTGTTTTAGCAGTAGTGGCCGAAAGTGATATTCAGAGGGTAGGCTATATTTGTTTTAAATGACTCTACAAGTTTGATTAAATCATTAAATTTGAGGAAAATATAAAAAAAAAATGTATATATATATATATATATATATATATACATATTTTGAATATGATGGAAGAACAAAATGCTAAACTTGGTTAATATGTATTTGGCAAAAAAAAAAATACAGCTATTGGTTTTATTTACTATGCAAAAAAAATGCATAGAAAAGCTCACAGGAAAAAGCATTGACTAAAACATAATCAGTTATTAATATTTCATTCTCTCTTGTTTATGCATCAGTTCATAATTTCTTTGTATTTCAGCCTGGCCAAAAATGATGTTCGCACAATCTGGCATGTTTCATTGCGTTATGCATGCACAACTGCGTAATATGATTACAAAATCTTTAAACATTTAAAAAAATGATTTGAATAAACATTCAAGATCTCATTTTTGGGAACTATTTATTCAGTTTTATCACTTTCGATTATTTATTCATTTGACCTTTATGATTGTCTTGCTTTTCAGGGGAAATATCTAACATCCTTCAAATTAGATAATTTTTCTTGATTCATTTTTTAAATAAAATTAATTGAATTAAGTTTATTTGGAAATTATTATTTATTTTCCCTTCCTTTGGGCATGAACCTCACTTTATGTTTATAAAATGCAACCATTGTTGAAACAAATGAACAGTGGTTTGCGTTATAAGCTGTTATTAAGATGTCAATTCACGATTTAGACCTAAATGGAATAGGAATTATTGCATGGCAAGTTCATGTTGTCCAGTTACTTTGTTTATGTTTGAGGTAAAAACCACCTTCCCCTCAAAACACCGGAAGAAACGTCTGACTGTATGGCCTGCCTCCATAACCCCCATGGATCTGTGTTTATAGGACTCAGAAATTCATACTCATTGTCTGTTCCTAAATTATTCTTCTGGCCTATTTTAACAATGAGTCATGTGCCAAATACGGATTCAGACAAAGACAGACAAATATAATAGATTAAGGAATTTAAGACAAGTACACACAATTCCCCCACTTTTTGTGCCACTTTATTTACCTTTTGATAATAGCATAATCTTTTACACAAACCAAAATGCAAATAGCAAAGTAAAATGTACAATCGTTCCTAATGTTAGATCCTTGCTTTTTAATGCTTAAAAAGGAGTATATAATATAATATAGTATATAATATAATGTATATTCACAATATATATAGGCCTATACTGTATGTATATACAGTATATATATATAATGAAATAAACATTTGCACATACTGTATATGCATGGTTTATTTGATAAATAAATGTATTTATTATTTGTATTACAATATGTTTATTAAATTAGGGCTATTTGTTTAAAAAAATCCTCCCATTCACTCCATCTATTTATGAATTCATTGATGTGTCTATTATTAAGAAACTTCATCATTTAGACTATAATGTATTCACTTCTGTTTCAAGTTTGTCCATGAAGAATAGAAATTCAAGTTTGTCCATGAAGAATAGAAATGCATTGACAAAATGAATATAATGGTCTATCCTTCTATGCAAAAGTGCTATGTAATGTGTTGCAGTGTCATCTTTCCACCTCAAAATAAAATACCAAGAGGGATCCCAAGAGTTCAGGGTTTACAAGGTTTTGGTTTGGCGGTTATATAGAGGTAAAAACATTTACATCAATAATAAGGCTTGAGGGTAGTATAACATGTTGTTCCATGCTGGTTCAGATGCTTTGAGGACGTCATCTTTGCGTGCTTTACACATCAATGCCTTATATATAAAAAATTACATAAAGTAATTGCAATCAAAGTCCAAAGTTGCAATCCTTTATTTGCCATAATTTGTTCCAGGCAACATATGTTCATCATAAAACAGGCCACAGACATTATTGTCTGCTTTTTTTTTTTTTGTTCTGTTTAATACAGAGGAATTCTTTTATTTTACAGTTAAGAGAGGTAATGCAATCCTTTTGACAGACCGCCGAGTTTGTGATATGCAACCCGTAAAGCAAATAAACCTCAAGGCTTGTTTCAGATTGGCTTTAAAAAAACACACAGTATGTCAAAAACCAAGGGAATATGATATGATAGCTAAATGCACTCAGGGGTGGTAAAAGTACTCAAAAGTTATACTCGAGTAAAAGTATAAATACCTAAATAAAAAATTACTCCAGTAAAAGTACAAAAGTATCCGATTTCAAACATACTTAAGTACTGAAAGTAAAAAGTAAATATTCAAATTAACTGTAAATATCAATAATTATCATAATTGTTTTGGGAGTGATATGCAATGTTTTATTTGAATGAATGATAAGATTAGATACCGCAATTAAGAATTTGTTAGCTAGCTGTTTACAAGGCATTTTGTTAGCTAGATGTTGCAATATGAAATCACTTGGCTAAAAATAGTAACATTAAAGCAACACTAAAGAACTTTTCTTTTGCGGGCGCCCTACAGGTTGGAAGCAGCATTGTCCGTTACCGCTGTCGTAAATAATTTAGCCTACCGCAGCCTACTGTCGCACAGTGCTGTTTATCCACTGTGTATCCAGAACCGGCTTTAGAGTGAACGTTGTCCAATTGTAACGCTTGCCGTGAAGTCAAATTTGTAGTTTTCTCATGTCTCATTCGAACTACAGAAACGCGACCCGATCTGGCAAACTTATACAATGTGGTTCTAGCAGATATAGGACCACAAAGCGAAGGCAGAAGTGCCTTTCACCCTGTTACGACTTGATGAAATGCTGAAATGATTTTGGAAGCATTATTTTAAAGCTACATTGTGTGATTTTTACCCCCATCTAGTGGTGAAAAGGTATATGACCATCCAGTGAATATTAGTTTCTGTTCCTCTCAATTCCGATTTCGTTTTAACTCCTACGGTGGCCAATGTAGTCCAGATTAACATGGCTCCCAGTTCGACCTCGTCTATGAGTGTTAACTCAAACGTAAACGCGAAAAGCGAAGCTTGAATTAACGGGTATGTCCCTCTTTGGCTAATGTACTTTCAAGATGGAGGGGCAACATGGCGACCGACATTAGAACCCCTTACCCGTATGTATTTTCAATGGCATATTATACACTCACGAGAATACTTTATTACTTGAACTAAGTAAATATACATTAATGAGCACATATATTTTTGAAAGAACTAAGTGTTTTTAGCTAAGAATAAACTAAAAGAGTTACACAGTGGAGCTTTAAGGTAAAAAAAAACTTCTTTAGTGCTGCTTTAACTTTAACTCACCTCAATTTGTTTTCTCAGATTTGAGGGTGAAGTTTTGAATGCTGAAATTTCATTCACCCGTGGCAGGCAAAGACGACATTTCAGCCGATGAAAATCTCCCTGGACTTAGGTGAATTCGAACATATCATTGATATATGGCCATGGGTGATTCCTGTCGGAAATCTTGGGATCACTGCTGGCAGCGAGAGCTGTACCTTCACCTGTTTCTGCGGTCAATGGCGAACTGACTGCTATGTGAGCGTATGCTGGCAAAGAGCTTGCGCGATCTTTTTTTTTTTTTTTTTTTTTTCAAAAGAAAAACAAGTTTTCTTTGGTTTGGATAGCCAGTGTAATAAATACAGGGAGAGGGCATGGGGAAATGTATCGGAGTGAAAAGTAAACTTTGTCTTTAAATTGTAGTGGAGTAAAAGTGAAAGTAGATGCAAATAAAACATAGGCTATCAAGTAAAGTACAGATCCCCGAAAAAAATACTTAAGTAATGTAACTAAGTATTTTTACTTTGTTACTTACCACCACTGAATGCACCTAAAAAGCTTTGTCATAAATTCCCATAAAGCAGTTTAATTTTTAGCACAGAGAGAATTCTGTGACTTCATTCACAGACTCAACAAAAAGAAGCCCTCTCTATCTCTTTATCCTTTTTTTTCCTTTTTACTTTTGCTCCCCGCTAACTTTGTTATAATAAACAAGAAAGCAACAAACTTAAGGTTTTTTATACTGTCTCTTTTTCAGTACCAGCAGTTTCCTCAACGCACTCTGAGCGTACAGTTTAGACCCAAGGTGGAACATACTGTATTATTTTGACTTTACAGGCCTCGTGAAACTGGTTGTGTCACAGGAACGAGGGCTTGGTCATTAACAAGATTCCTAAGTAGCTTGCTAATATTTACTGTCACATGCAGTGAAGGACTTCTCAGCTAGCAGGAAAGTACAAATACAGCTGATTTAGGAGAAGGTCAGAATACCATGAACCTGCATTGACCTGTATTTACAGGAGGACACACCCGTTATGTGTCTTTTATTGTAAAATCAAATCAATCAAACATTGCTGTCATGCTTTAAAACATGGTTTCTGTTAACTAAATGTTGATACTTCCGGATTTAGGTTTGATTTCGGATTTGGCTAAATACTTGCGGTCTGTTTGCGTTGATGGGATTATAAAAGGATGACTAACAAGGATGAGTGTATCACTTTCTCTTTTAGACATTTTCCTCCGTGTGCTTTCAGAAAATACAAGAACAATTTCTAATTTCAGTTAAATGTTATGAATTAAACTGTGTGAACATACTTTATAACAAACACTAATTGATTATGCAAACAATT